TGCTTTATGCGTAGCGTGAATCTAGAGATGCCCAAAGCGTTATTTTAGCATGTTGTTATGCCCCCGTAATCGAAGATTCGGGGGCATATAGTTTTTGCCTTGTCCGTCTGGCTGTCTGTCCGCAAAAACTTTAACCTTGCCCATAACTTTTGATTGGTTGAAGCTATGACTTTCATATTTCACATGTGTATTCCTTGTGACAAGACCTTTCATATTTTTTGACATTGGAGTTTGACTTACTTTTGCAAAATTTTATGAGACTTTAACTATGGCCATAACTTTTGAACAGTTGGTACTTGGGCTTTCAAACTTCACAAGTGTATTCCTTGTGACAAGACCTTCCTTTGGACACCAACAACTTTGACCCTTTGACCTTGACCTTGAAGTTTGACCTACTCTTGAAAAAACTTTAACCTTGGCCATAACTTTTAAACAGTTTGTGCCAGGGCTTTTGTATTTCACATGTATTTTCCCTTTGACAAGACCTTTCTTAGGATACCAACAACTTTAACCTTTTGACCTTGACCTTTGACCTACTTTAATTTTGAAAAACTTTAACCTTGGCCATAACTTTTGAACAATTAGTGCTAGGATTTTCATACTTATGTATACTTACGTATTCCATGTGACAAGACCTTCCTTTGGACACCAACATTTTTGACCCATTGACCTTGACCTTTTTGAGTTTGACCTTCTGTTTAAAAACTTTAACCTTGGCCATAACATTTCAACGGTTGGTGCTAAGGCTTCCATATTTCACAGGTATATTCCTCGAGACAAGACCTTTCTTTGGGTACCAATATTTTTGATCTTTTGACCGGGAGTTTGACTTGCATTTTAGAAACTTTAACCTTCACCATAAGCTGCCATACGGGGGCATCAGTGTTTCACAAACACATCTTGTTAACTGTGGCAACTGATTGAAACAATTGTATATAAAGGTAAAGAACCCGAGATATGGAAGAGATCGCAAGTCGAACATATTCGACCGGAAGTCGAACGGCTAGATATGAAGTCGAACGCCATTTATTCTGAGTCGCATGAATTACACAAAATTTTGTGGATTATATCTGCTTTTTATGACGTTAACCGACTTCACTGTGTAGAAACGGACAAGGATAAAGTGCGTTACCCAAGTCCAAAATGGCGACAGGCAAATACGCTTCGATTATTTTGGACTTAGTTTACGCATTTTACAGGCTTACATTATGAAATGGGCGGTTTTGGTTTAAATATTTTAAACAGAAGTACATAGCTATTGCAAAAAATTTGCATGATCTAAGCTGACTAAAGCCAAAGAAAATTTGAACAAGATTAGGGTAACGCAGATTTACGACTTGGGTAAAGATTTTGTGACCTCAGAGTGATTAGGGTAATGCATGTGTTAAATGTCATTTTACTTGTTTTAGGGTCTTCAAAATGTTATTTCAGCAGACTCTAAACGCATTCTGCTAGGAAATTAATAATTCATTGCACCAAACACTAAGTAATTGAAAAATTCTCAGTGCGCTGACAATTTCTGGAAGAACACAATGGCGTAGTTTTCAAATCAGTTTCAAATCAATGTTTCTATTTAATCTATAAAACAAATTGAGTCTTAAAAACAGTGCTGTGTTGATTTAGATGGGTGAAAAACTTTTTAAGTATCTACAGATCAATTGAAGTATCATCAAAATTGTGAAAATAACGAACAGAAATGATGCTCAATAACCAATTTTTAACAATTCAAATTATGAGCAGAGCAGACATGGACCCCTGAAAAGTGAAAACAGAGGTGAGAGAATGTGCCCATGATTGGCATACAAGGTCATTTTATCAACCATAGAATTTGCGAAACGGGATGGTTGATATCCTTGTGTCATCCACTTCTTTGTATACTCCCTCTACCCCTCTCTCTCACTTTTTATGCCCCCCTTCGAAGTAGGGAGTGCATATTGCTTTGCTGCTGTCTGTCTGTCTGTCGGTCCACCAACACAGTTTTCGTTCATTTTCTTCGCAGATGTTGCACATAATTTAATGAAATTTGGTATACAGATTTATCATAAAAATATCTAGGTCGAATTCTGTTTTGGGTACGATCGAGCAATTTTTGACAGAGTTATGCCCCTTGGACTTAAAAAAATTCCAATTATTTGCAGTTTCTGTTCATTTTCTTCGCAGAGGTTGCATACTGAAATGAAATTTGGTATACAGATCTATAATTAGAATATCTAAGTCAAGTTCTGCTTTGGGTACGATCGAGCTATTTTTGACAGACTTATGCCCCTTGGACTTAGAAAAATTCCAATTATGGGGGGGGGGGGCATAAATGTATACAGATCTGTAACTAGAATATCTAAGTCAAGTTCTGCTTTGGGTACGATCGAACTATTTTTTGACAGAGTTATGCCCCTTGCACTTAGAAAAATTCCAATTGTTTGGGGGGAGGGGGGCATAAATGTTTCACAAACATCTCTTGTTTGTATTTAGATTTGCATGTTATACAGAAAATGTTATTTTACAAGCACTTTTATGCTTAACCCTAGATTGAAAAAAATCGGGCAAAATAAACTTTGCTGTACCCATTGAGAAAAATTTGTGAAAGCATTTGTCCAAGAATAGGATAAATGCAGATTAAGCTGGGCTTAGATTGAGAAAACCTGTGTAAGTTTTTCATAAAAATTGCACCAAAGTACTTCAAATATTCTTAACAAAAAAAAAAAAAAAAAAAAAAATTTGGTATTCAACCATTCAATAAATTATTCTTAGAAATTCAGAGCACGTAAAATCTCCTTAGCAACGCATATTCTTTCCGAACAAAAAGTGCACTCTTTTGTGATGAAAGTTTTTAGTTCGACTACTTTATTACATCATATTTGTCAAAATCATTTTATAAATAGATATTGTTAAAGCTATGTCTTCATCATTGCACATTGTCAATACATATATTTGTTTCGTTTTGTTTACGGATTTACGAGCTTGATCAATGATCGATATCACAGAGTCTGACACATTTGTTTCATACTTGGATAATTTACTAGAAAAAGATATTAATGGTAACCTAACAATAAATCTTTATGATAAACGTGATGACTTCAACATTCTATCGTCAGCTTTCCTTACTTACGTAGCAATATACCTTTATCACCTGCATATGAAATTTATGTCTCCCACTTGATTCGATACATGCTCTACGTACTTTCAATTTTTAAAACGAGGCAAGCTAGATGAAACAAGGATATCAACAGTCTCGTTTGAAGTCATCATTTCGCAAGTTCTATGGTCGAAACAATGACCTTGTCAGCAAGTACAGTCTATGTTGAATGCCGACTGACGTATTTCATACTAATTGTCAGGCCATTATTTAGACCTGAATTGTCTACGGATTTTCCGTTTGCCCGATCACGACATGAGCACACAGTGTGACCGGTCGACAGAGGATGCTTACTCCTCCATGCCACTTAATCCCGTTTCTGATGTTTTTTAGAGGTCCGTGTTTGCTCTGCTCCCGATTTTTATTGTTTCAATGGACCTTTGAGCTTGATTACTGTTTGTTATTTCCATAATTCGTTTATGAAATTATGACGCCAGTTCAAAGATTGGGGTTCCTTAATTTTGGTCCTTTTAAAATAAGTTATTTAAGATAGTACATATATTTTATTCCATTCTTATTCAAACGACTTCAATATTGAGTTATCAAGTAGAGTGTAAGACAACGTATGAAATTGAATTATCATCGAAATACCATAGATCTTTTATCTTAAATACAAGTACTGAGGTTCCACCATTATAATCTATATAAAAAAAAACAAGATTTTAAATGGTTGCAGCAAAGAACTTCGAAAGACATTGCCATTATCTTGGTTTTTTATTTAATCTGCTGCAATGTGACGCTTGAGATGATTTCAATGTAATTTAAAGGTAAATACATCTATTACAATTTCTAAGTATTTAAAGCGACATATGTATGTGTCATTGGTCATAACTCTTGGGTGACGCAAACAATTAAGAAACTATTAAAACTAATTATAAGTTCAACAAAACGGAAGAGGAAGTACATGTATGAAGCCTTGAGAAAAACTTGATAAACTTATATTGCTAAATATAAGAATATGACATGTTAATAAGATATGCTCCATCAGTTGTTCGTCATACAAGAGTGTTACGATATGGAAAATACCATCACACTTATTTCATTTATCATCATTCGGCTTTAGCGTGGGTTCGAAACACTGTGGCAGACTTAGAAAAGATTGGATTTGTATGTTTTTATGAGGATAGAGACATGCGCCCTGGGGAGAACATTCTAGGGTCGGTCCTTCAAAATATGAGAAAAGCGTTGAAAATCGTCATTATTCTCAACAAAGAATTCCTATCATGTAGGACAAGTCTTCAGAGGGCAAATTACGCAGTGCATGAAGACCTGTCAAGAGACAAAGAGGATGACCCGGATTGTTTGATTCCGGTCCGACTCGAAAAATGTAAGCTCCCAGATGTTCTGGTCCATGTTAAATCCCTGGATATTTATGACCACCCAAAAGACTGGATGGAAATACTTGTAAGATCGATTGATACAACTGCAAAAACCTCTCCAAATACCTCTAAATCTAACATCGGTACTACTGTTAATTCCCTAGAAGCAGCTGCAATCACATTTGAAAAAGAGTTGAAAGAAGCCAAGATAAAAGAAGTGCGTGCATTTCTTCTGACGCCAGTGGCACTTAATTTGTGCCAATTTCTCAACCAAAGTGGTCGATCGATGGCCTTCCATCTTGCCATGGAAACTTTGGGTATACCTTGTCTATGAATGCTTTTAAAACATACGCCTCTAGACCCTATCAAATAGCAAACATTTTCAGGCAAAACATGGGAGAATTACCAAATGAATTAACACATGTAACTTTAGAGGTATATCTGGAAGGCGATTTGATATGTCGAGAAACTGAGAGCGAAGTTAAAGAGTTTAATGAATTAATGAGAATGATTTAAGAGCAAGACGTGATCATTACTTGACCGGTATAATGTACTATGTTGAGGGTATTCCGAAATCCCGAGAAATAAGAGACAAATGTCGATTCTTGATTCATGACGCATTAGTGGAAATTATTCCAGAGAAAGCGGCTCATCCACAATTTGCTTCCTACGATGCAAGGTTGGACAGTTTTCAAACTTGGCATGCCAGTCCGCCACCTTCCAAAGAGGAGTTTGCTAAAGCGGGGTACTTTTGTGAACAGAATGGTGTCGTTTTGCGTTGCTTTTATTGTAGCGGTATTGACTGGGATTTCAAGCCTCATGAGGATCCTTGGAAGCGGCATGCTAAATGGTATTACAACTGTTTATTTATACGACAGAATAAAACTCCTGACTTCATCTTGCAGAGTAGATTTGGGAAAAGTATTCCGCGCAGTGTCTATAACTTAAGATTTGTAAGATTTTTAGATCGATTTATCTCATACCAAACGTGGAACCACGAGGAACTCCCACACGCCTTAAAAATGGCAGATGCTGGATTATACTACACCAGACTGGAAGATAAGGTCTGTTGTTTCTACTGTGGGCATGGTTTTAGGAACTGGTTAAAGTGTGATGACCCTTATTATAAACACGCTCTGTTGTCTCCACAGTGTAAATACATTAGGCAATTCAGTTCCACCGTATTTTGGCAAAATGTGTCAAGGGAACGAGATAAGATGCGAGAATCTGAAAAGTGTTTCATTACCTATACCATCAAAAGGCGCCTAGCGCGTTAATACACTGTATGCGTGTGTGTGAATTACACTGTATCATAAAAATTAAGCTATACCAGTGGAGGAAATATCACGGGAGCGGTGGAAAACTATCACCGTGTGAAATTGACTATTTTACTATCTCTTAATTCATTTTGGACTTTAAGTTATATTTCATTTTTTCAAAATTTGAAATTAAATATTCTTCATTATTTTGTTTTATAAGTTGCATTTTACAAATCTTTCTCATGTTCATTTACTAACATCTCATTTTTTACTAAGTGACACGTGTCGGAAAACAAAGGGGCCAGAGTGTCAATGCCCAAGGACCTTTTCATCACTTATGCCATCAAAGATGGTATAGTATACCACTGTGTGATAAAATTCTGTACACTTTGTAATAATACTCAATCTGCTGATGAATTTCATTATACATATGTATCTTAGAATGTAAAACTTTAGTTAACGTAAGACAAAATTACTTGGGCAATTATTATTCCCACAGACCGAATGTTATTAAATTCATGGAACTAATGTCAACTCAAAACGAAAAAATGCTGAAAAACTATTCATGTTTATTCTAAAAATTTATGATGCTGTCTGTCCTCCTTGATATATTTACCCCTTTCATAATTATTTATTTTTCAATCTTCTATCATGCTTTTTGTTTTGTATATGTAACTCTGACAAGATTGTATATCGTATGTTATCAATGTACCCCATGTACCAATATTTTGGTTTGGGTGAATAAACTGAACTTGAACTTGTCAAGATATTATAATAATTTAAATATCTATTTTTTTTTATGCCCAAGCTATCAAAGCATTTCATTAATCTATACCTGTATCACTTTTACTCATTGTCAACACTTGTCATTTTTTAACTCATTGTTCAATTCCCCTTATATAATGTTGTCACATTTTACCAGCTCAGGGCCTCGTCCAACTCGTCCCCCCTTCATGCTCTAATCATTTCATGAACAGTTTGGAGGCAATGGCCATTTCCGACTGGTTACTGTTTATAGTAATTACATGTTACTTATTTCCATCGTTTGAACTTGCTAATAAATTCGGCGGAAATCATATTCCTCGTTACTTTGGACTTATTGCTTTTTTGGGAAGAGCCCTAGGAATACGTTTTACTACTTCGGTCCAGAGCGCCATCCATTTACCTGCCAACATTCCCTCTTACCCATTCAACAAAATGTCTTACTAGACCTAAATCTACGCGGTCATAAAAGTAAAACAAGCCATGTTTTAATTTATGTGTATTATCTCTACTCAGGATTACAGCATGCAGGCTCGTAACTCCTATCCCACCCCTGTGAATTGCAAACTTTTTATGTTTAAAAAAAGGTGGTCTGGTCCTATTCACTGAACCACCTCTCTTTTCTCATCCTTATTTACAGAATTTTGGCAACTGGTGGTCATGGAAGGGGGTACGGGCTGCAATTGTTATTGAAATCGTACCCCCTCCTGAATAACGAAAATGGGGGGGGGGGGGGGGCGGGTTAACGAACGTTACTATGGTGAACTTTCTACCGATCTTCTCAACCTTTCCCCTTCCCCTGAGGTGTTTCTTACATATTATTGTTTTATTTCTTTAAATCGACCCATTTATACAGTGTAAGAAAAGGGGTGCTTATATCTTAAAACATTCGCCCAATAATACAAGAATAGTAGTGCCACGTTATATTTTTTAAGTTGGTATAATTCCAACTTTAAAGTTTGCTTTTCAAACTTTAAAGTTGACTTTTCCAACTTTAATCTTGGCTTTTCCAACCTTAAAGTTGGTAATTCCAACTTAAATCTTGACTTTTCCAACTTTAATCTTGGCTTTTTCCAACTTAAAAGTTGGTACATGTAATTCCAACTTTATTCTTGGCTTTTCTAACTATAAAGTTGGTAATTCCAACTTTAAAGTTGGACTTTCCAACTTTAAGGTTTGTTTGTCTGTTTGTTGTTTAACGTCCCTCTCGAGAATTTTTCACTCATATGGAGACGCCACCTCTTGCCGGTGGAGGGCTTCACATTTTGACCTGTACTCGGCACTTAGGGCCATTGAGCAGAGAGGGATCTTTTTCGTGCCAGCACCTAATGCGACACGGGACCTCGGTTTATACGGTCTCATCCGAAGGACCAGTCGCCACGTTCTATAGTGGGTTCGAGTCCGCGACGTAAGGATCAACTCCTTAAAGTTGGTAATTGCAACTTTAAAGCTGGTAATTCCAACTTTAATCTTGGCTCTTCCAACTTTAATTTGACCTATTCTAGCCCCTTTCCTTAGCTTCTCTTCCTTATTTCAAATTATTACCAACTTTATAAATGCAAAATTCATACACTGAAATAGATTGGTGAGCAATTAATCTGTGTCAATAATTTTTTTCATTGATCTTCCCTATGACCTTACATAAAACTTCCAACTTTTGATTAAAAACCCTTATATTTCTTTTGGCCCATCTTATATACTATATTGAGAATAACTTCATACAACTCTGTACATGACAGGATTTTAATCAAACCTATTTAAGGGATCAGACATATAGTTTGTTTTGTATAAGAGAATAAGCTGTAAATTTCAACATTTTTTTTTTCAAATTCCCAACATTTATTTTCATCAACAACAATAGCATTAGATTCAAATAGAAAATATTTCAAAGTATGAAGCGTTGCTAACTTTTTCAGAATTGAATACTATGTCTAATCATGATATGAAGAAAATTTGATAAGAAAGATCAGTAATTTTTTTATCTCTGCATAAAATTAAAAATACGAAGTATTGAAAATATTTACTGTCGTATCTATTTAATTCATATTAGAAAACATATTGAAGCGTTGCTATTTAAATCAGAATATCACATTGTTTTCTGTGCTTGTGAAATAAAAGTGCATCCAGCTACAAGAGTTATCATTCTACAGGAGTTATCTTTCTTCAAAATATTAATATTGTTTAAGAGAAAACAATATTAATTGACTATAAAAATTCTGCATCTAAAATTCCTTTAATAATTAAGAGAATTATACGTTAAAAGATAGAAATAGCTCAATTTAAACAGTTTAAAGGAGCTGAGTATAAATGTTTTAGGTAAACTTTTGTAAGTAATTAATAAAAATGTTGGCAATAGGAAATAGAAATCAATATTTGCAACATAGTTTAGAATTGTTTGAATCGACTACATAAAGGTCCTCTTTAGTAAACTCTGGGCAACTCATTGGATTGCTTGGAATAATTTCCTTTGAAAGTTATCTCTCTTATCAGAGGGGCATTACACCTTAAACAAATGAGACCATTATTAGGTGTTTGATATATAGGATGAATCAACACAATATTACATGCTACAAATACAACAGAACTAAATGTATCAATTCTTCATATGAAAACACAAAGACATATTTCTTTCTTTCATCATAATTTCATAATTAAATCGTTTCTTTCCATTATAATTACACGTGTACATGTATAAAACGGCAACACGAGTCCAGCTACAAAGTATCTGAATATAACGCATAAAGCCGTACAAAGATGGAAAAGCCAAGAATTCTACAATAAGATACATGCATGTTAAAACCAAGCTAGTTGAGGACCTGGCCCATAGGTTATTAAATTTTTTTTTAGTACAAATACTTTGATAGACAGTGACTCATAACCAGAGGCAGAGGTTATGAAACACTCTAAATATAAATGCGCAGACTTTAGATGGCACTTACAATATACGTGATTGATCATGTCTGCTGCTGAGATGTGTTAATGTGACGACTATTTGGTAACCATACAATAATTTACAAAAGCCAAATTATTGAACTTCATGCAGAGTATAACAACTTCCATTCAGCACAAAATACACAAAAAGATACAAAATAAAGATTTCATGGCAATAGTAGCTTAAAAGTGGACACGTAGGGTAGGTTCAATCCCAGATAAGCCAAGGCCGTCGGGAAGAGGGTGCGTTGGGTGTCATCGCACCCTCCATAAAAAGAACTTCAATATATCACTTGAAATTAAATAAATTTATTATTTACCTGGTTAAAGTAATGCTGCTATATTTCATTTATCCAATATGTGAATTTTAGTTATCCAATATGTGTATAATTTTTTTTTTAGCTTAGATCCTACACTCCCCCCCCCCCCTTTCCTGAAATATGGCGACGGCCCTGTATTTGCAAATTCTGTTCAAAATAAGCACTTCCACATTTTTTCATCAGACTGAATGTATTTTCAGCATCTAGTCCTATTATTGAACAAGGTTTAACTTAAAAGAGGGCGGGAGGTTAATATAATTAATGAATATATAAATATATTTAAAATCCTTCGGTCAATATATAAAATTCACCATATTATTACATATTTCTTCTGGTAAATATTTAAAATAAACAAGTGAATATGATGTATTTACCTGTTTATTTACAATGACATAAAATAGTACAGCTGACACAAATAACAGATGAATTGTAACAATGTAGAGAGAGAGTATTCTACCCCTGCTGATAGGATCCTCATTCAAACTGATTTTTATTCTTCAATAAATAGGCTGCAAGGTATTCTATAGGGTTAGGTGGTCTGGAAAGGAAAAAACCCACACATTTAAATGTTTTGGCCATAAATTCTGAAAATTTTCATTACCGGTACTTTTTGTGTCGCCTGGAGAGCAGAGCGGCACTTAGGGATCACTTTACCCGGCATCTGTCTGTCCAGCTGTTTGTCTGTCACACCTTGTATCTCAAGAACTGTAAGCGTTATGGACTTGATATTTTGCACATAAAATGCTTGGCACTATAACATTTGTGCATTGCCATGGTTACCAACCTCATAACCCTTGACCTTAACCTTTGACCTACTTTACAAAAAAGTTAAAAGACTTAAGTGCCAATATACAGCATATTTTTGACATTTAAGGGGTAAGTCTATGCTATTTAGCATATGCACCGATTGTCATAAAACATTATGAACAAGAGGCCCATGGGCCACATCGCTCACCTGAGTAACTTTGGCCATGCTGTTCTTTACCAGATTTTCCCCTTGTAATACCTATTGTGGCCCCTCCCTACCCCCAGGGGACATGATTTGAACAATTTAGAATTTACACTACCCCAGGATGCTTCCACTTAAGTTTCAGCTTTTCTGGATCAGTGGTTCTTGAGAAGAAGATTTCTAAATATTTTTCCTATATATTTCAATGTAAAACTTGGATTCCCTATTGTGGCCCCACCCTACCCCCAGGGGTCATCATTTGAACAATTTAGAATCTACACTACCCCAGGATACTTCCATTTAAGTTTCAGTTTTTCTGGATCATAGGTTCTTGAGAAGAAGATTTTTCCTATATATATTTCAATGTAAAACTTGGATTCCCTATTGTGGCCCCACCCTACCCCCAGGGGTCATCATTTGAACAATTTAGAATCTACACTACCCCAGGATACTTCCATTTAAGTTTCAGTTTTTCTGGATCATAGGTTCTTGAGAAGAAGATTTTTCCTATATATATTTCAATGTAAAACTTGGATTCCCTATTGTGGCCCCACCCTACCCCCAGGGGTCATCATTTGAACAATTTAGAATCTACACTACCCCAGGATACTTCCATTTAAGTTTCAGTTTTTCTGGATCATAGGTTCTTGAGAAGAAGATTTTTCCTATATATATTTCAATGTAAAACTTGGATTCCCTATTGTGGCCCCACCCTACCCCCAGGGGTCATGATTTGAATAATTTAGAATCTACACTACCCCAGGATACTTCTACTTAAGTTTCAGTTTTTCTGGATCAGTGTTTCTTGAGAAGAAGTTTTTAAAAGATTTTTCCTATATATTTCAATGTAAAACTTGGATTCCCTATTGGGGCCCCACCCTACCCCCAGGGGTCATGATTTGAACAATTTAGAATCTACACTACCCCAGGATGCTTACACATAAGTTTCAGCTTTTCTGGATCAGTGGTTCTTGAGAAGAAGATTTTTAAAGATTTTTTCTATATATTTCAATGTAAAACTTGGATTCCCTATTGTGGTCCCGCCCTACCCCCAGGGGTCATCATTTGAACAATTTAGAATCTACACTACCCCAGGATGCTTCCACATAAGTTTCAGCTTTTCTGGCTCAGTTGTTCTTGAGAAGAAGATTTTTAAAGATTTTTCCTATATATTTCAATGTAAAACTTGGATTCCCTATTGTGGCCCCACCCTACCCCCAGGGGTCATCATTTGAACAATTTAGAATCTACACTACCCCAGGATGCTTCCACATAAGTTTCAGCTTTTCTGGATCAGTGGTTCTTGAGAAGAAGATTTTTTAACGACCCCACCCTATTTTTGTCTTTTCTTGTTTATCTCCCCCCCCCCCCCAAGGGGACTTGGCCATTTATTTTAACAATTTAAACTTACCTTCACCCAAGGATACTTTGTAATAAGTTTGGTTGGAGAAGAAAGTGAAAATGTGAAAAGTTTACAGACGGAGGGATGGACGACGAACAATGGGTGATCAGAAAAGCTCACTTGAGCTTTCAGCTCTGGTGAGCTAAAAACCCAGCATTACAATTCACTTGACCTTGACCTTTGACCTACTTTGCAGTAAATTCCCCGGACAGTTTAATTTAAGACTTTTGAATTTTGAGAGGCAGGGTGTTGATAATTAGCATTTATACATCTTTATGAGCTCATAATACTGTACTTTGAAATTGTATGATATTCAATTACCACACAAACTGAAATTTTAATATTATGAAAATACGTCAGGATCTGTATCCCACAATGGATCGTGTAGAGTGACAATTGGTGTAAAGACTTTGAAACAGGTATTAACACATGTAAAACGATAAATTCTTATTTATAATAACTTCAACTTAATTATTCATTTGAGGGTTGGGAATCATATTTTCTTTGACTCAATTGCAGTCTTATACTATGTGTGGATGCTTTTCTGTGCATTCATGAACTATCAGGATAGTAGTAAATAAATAGCTAACTACACTTAGATTTATTTACATCTTTAATGAAGGTGCAAAGCAGGTGAAACATGCGTTAATATTTACTAACAAGTGTATCATAATCTTACAGTGAATTAAAAAAAATGTCTTAAAATTTTGGCAAATCTCTGCCATCACAGAAAACAGCTTAGTAGTGTGGCAGTTTATGCAATTATTCAGTTTTCTAATTGATCGTTTTTAATTCTTGTAAATCTAAATTCAAATTTTCTAATTCATACTTTCAGCGCTTTCTCAAATATACAGAGATCATTCAAGATTGTATACCTTTCTTTGGCTAGAACAGACATTCCACTCAGCAGTATGGGGACTACAGTGGTGTCAAGATAAGCTCTTGTTGGAAGAGACTGTAGGTCAACTCGTGGGCGTTTGGATGGATTTTCCTGAAGTTCTTTCTCACTTGTTATAATTTTCTGAAATTTAATCAGGTTATATATTTTCATCACAAATGACTGGCTTGTATTTCCTGTTGTATTACTTGAAACATAACTGTAAATTCATTATTTCTTTTTATCTAGATAGAATGTTTTATATTAAAATGATATTGTCTTCTGGACATAAATAAACAACAGAATTTGTTTGTGTATTTGCAATGTAGCAAAGTAACAAGGGGCAGGTAATTCCAAAATATGCAAATTCTTTAAACAGTGAAGGGAGTTCCCAATGTCACAAATGTAAGGAAAAAAATATTAAGAAAATACTGTCAAACTTCATTATCTCAAATTCAATGGGACAAAGAAAAATCTTACAGATATCCAAGGGTTAAAAAAGTGGCTGGAACATCCAAATCACTTTGACATATCCATGGTATTCAAGATATCAATGTTTGAGATACTGAAGTTCAGCAGTATGTTTAAGAACTATTTCTTTTTTAGCTCAGAGGTTCGTAAGAAATATGATTTTCAGTAAAATATTCTTTCAAAATCATGCCGCATCAGATCAGCTTTGTTGTGTTAAAGTACAGTTACATTGGGTGCATTCTTGTGTTGTTTGGGTCTTTCCTAAGACGTATATTGACTAGCACTTACTATTACTTTATAAAATTCAGAAACTTGCAGATGGTTACTTAAGTTTCTCAATTTCATGCATATATTTTTAAAAATTTAAAGCTTGTTGGTTCTTTGATTTTGATATTCCTCCAACTTTTACCCCCTGCTTTTAATACTGTAAGTCAATTCATTTCCACTGTGTTAAAATTTCACGATTTCTCAAAAAGTACCAATCGCTATGGTTTCAATTTTATGCAGAAAGAAATTAATTTAATTTTTGTATAAGCATTTAAACATTTTTAAAAACTAATGATTGCATTCACAATGGGTTTAATTTCACAAAAAAATGATGAATCACAAACATAGTGAAATTAAAACTATCATGATTATTTGCCAATCTATAGTATTTTGACAGGTCCAGGAAGAGTCAGAGTTGACACCATTCTGAAAACTCAGAATTCCCAACAACCAGTTGGTGTCATGACTCCCCTTACTCATGCATCTTTAATGGAACGGTCCAACCTCCAAAGCTTGGTAGATTTGTTCAGGAAGATTAAATCATATATCCTAGTTTTCACATTTCCAAGTTTGCGAACTTGCATACTGTAGCACTGTGATCACTGACAAAAATCCATCTAGACTGACCTGGCTCCAGCCAATTTTTTAAAAACTAATGACTAAGTGAATGTCTGTCAGTGATCATGGTGCTTAAGCATCGAACATGTGGTTTAGCCTTCCTGACATAATTTACAAATGTTCTAAGCCAAGAAAGTTGGGCACTTTCAATTAATATGCAAGCAGTAAGGAGTCTTGACACCAACTGGCTGTAATGAATTCCAGGTCTTCAGAATGGCTTCTACTCTCTTTTCTCATACTTGTCAGATTGTACAGTACATTGGAGAAATCTCAGATTACTGATGCTACTCCAAACTACACTTTAATTACATACAGTTTTATCAGGGACCTATAATACTATATAGGTCCCTGGTTTTATGCAGAATAATAGTGAAATGATTTTACAGTAGTTTGTAAAGTAAAGACTACAGCAATAGCAAAAATAAAGGAAAACTGTACGACCACTTCTTTCAACAAACTTGGTTTGCTGAACAGAAATGAAACAAAGACCTGCTTTTGTTACCTGTACATTTTCCGGTACTTCCTGTGGCACGGGTGTTCCTGACTCGAGGTCACCTGCAACAGATCCTGTGTTGATTTGATCTGAAATCATATTAGGATGAATGATCAATCATATATAATTTATTGAGGAAACTCGGATTACAAGAGCCGACAAATTCTATTATACAGGTAAACATTTAACATGGGCTTTGGAATTATTCAAATACACGAATAGTAGATCTATTATTTTTATTTCAATGGTTTAACGGTTTTACATCTATAAATTTTGTGATCGAACATTAAAAAAAACGTCTGTGTACAAACAAAACTTTACCGTCCGCCATTTTCAGTGTTATGGTCGCCAATAGTAATCTCGTGAATTACCGCGAGTGCAGGTCCCCGAAAGAGGGACAACTCTGAAACAAGTAACGATGTAATTTATGACGAGAAATAACTTTTGAAAGCAAAATCACAGGGGATAGAACTATATATGTTAGAGAAATATAATGTTCAGTTCAGAAACCTGTCTTTTTGGAGTTGGTGATTATCCTGTACTTGAAAACAGAATTTAACCCCCACCCCCATCCCATTTTTATAGAGCTATCAAGTTCACGTCAGTTCAATTTTTATTTAAAATCATGTTAATTATATATGTTTATTGCTTTACATCAAAATAAATTTATTTACACCATTTATTTCAGTGTTTTGGAAAAAGGAGGGAGGGGGTTACAAAAACAAAAACAAAAACAAAACAAAACAAAACAAAAAAAACCCCAAAAAACAAAAAACTTGTAGTCCTAAAAATATATCCTTTTTTCACCCATTCATTAAAACGCTGTGCTCTTTGAAATTTTAATACTAGTAACACGACAACATTGTACAAAGGTTTTTCAAGTGATTTACTTATATAGTTTTCGGATAATTGACGTAGTTACCGACCCAAAACTGACCAAGACGGGGAAAAGGCTATGACCTTATATTGATAAAAAACAAGAACAACAACAAAAAGACATTATAGTTCCATTCAGGTTCACAAAAGAGTTTCTAGACAAAGAATAGTGAGGTACAATGCAATGCTTTAGGGAGGAAGTAGAGCAGCATATGAGGCAGACCCATTCTGATTCTCAACAAAACGTAGATCTAGAACCGTGTCCGAGGAATCTGATGTTGAACCACCGGAAACAGAATTAGATAGCAAAGGACCAGCACGGAAGGAGAAAACATCAATCGTTTAGAAGGTTCGCTCTGTCCCAGGACCCAAGGAGTAAAATACAAGGTCTACAAGAAGTGTCCCAACTATGGACATTGTACAGAGTCATCTGGAAAAAGGGAGAAGTGCCGAATGTATGGAAACAGGCAGAGGGTTGCTTCGTGCCAAGGATGAGGAACATCAAGACTACTGGGTAGTTCAGGACATTATTTCATCTCGACATGAAGGGAAAGATCTTTCTAACAGTGTTACCAAAGAGGCTGTCGTACTATGGTGAGAAACAAATACATCAACACACCTACTCAGAAGGCACGGATCCAAGGTTTCTTATGATGTGTGGAGCACACCAGTATTCTGAGTCAACTCATCAAAGAACCAGAAAAGGGCAAGATCTTGCAGTGGTTTGCTAAAGCGTTCAGTACCGCATAAGTTGATAGAGGTGGTGATGGACACTTACATGTATTACGTACCACATGCAGCATACGATTGATTGATTGATTGATTGCATGCTGTTTTACGTCCCGTTCGAGAATTTTTTTCAGGGCTTCAAATTTAGGCCTTTACTCTGCACTCAGGGCCATTGAGCGAGCAGTGAGGGTTATTTATCGTGCCAACGCCTACCGTGACACGGGGCCCCGGTTTTTAAGATATTATCCGAAGGACCCTGCAGCATACGAAGAAGATTTTCAATGACTACTTGGGTGGAGTTGGAGAGTTTACAACAGTGTGACAACAACTGGAGAAGGGAACTGTGACAGGAGAACACTGTTTGTGATGTGCATGGGCTTGATGACAACAGCTACAGAAAGAGAAACAAGAGGATCAAAGAATAATTCAGAATTTACCAACTGCTGATACTAGGCTTCATGGATGACCTCACAATGACTACATCCATAACCGCCGATACTAGGCTTCATGAATGACCTCACAGTGACTACATTCACACAAATACAACCGCCGATACTAGGCTTCATGAATGACCTCACAGTGACTACATCTATACACATACAACCGCCGATACTAGGCTTTATGGATGACCTCACAGTGACTACATCTATACACATACAACCGCCGATACTAGGCTTCATGGATGACCTCACAGTGACTACATTCACACAAATACAACCGCCGATACTAGGCTTCATGAAGGACCTCATAGTGACTACATCTGTACAGATACAGATACAACCGCCGATACTAGGCTGCATAGTGACTACATCCACACACATACAACCGCCGATACTAGGCTTCATCGATGACCTCAGAGTGACTACATCTATACACATACAACCGCCGATACTAGACTGCATGGATGACCTCACAGTGACTACATCCACACAAATACAACCGCCGATACTGGGCTTCATGGATGACCTCACAGTGGCTTTCCACATACATAGAAACGCCGATACTAGACTTCATGGATGACCCCACAGTGACTACATCCACGTGCATACAACCGCTGATACTAGACTTCATGGATGACCTCAGAGTGACTACTTCCACACACATACAACCGCCGATATTAGGCTTCATGGATGACCTCACAGTGACTACATCCACATACATACAACCGCTGATACTAGACTTCATGGATGACCCCACAGTGACTACATCCACATACATACAACCGCTGATACTAGACTTCATGGATGACCTCACAGTGACTACTTCCACACACATACAACCGCCGATATTAGGCTTCATGGATGACCTCACAGTGACTACATCCACATACATACAACCGCTGATACTAGACTTCATGGATGACCCCACAGTGACTACATCCACATACATACAACCGCTGATACTAGACTTCATGGATGACCTCACAGTGACTACATCCACACACATACAAACGAGATGGGTTTTAGTCTTACTTGAGGATACTGTAACTTGAGCACACATGAAGTTTAAAGCAAAGGTGTTGGTGCTGAAGAATTAGTAACCAGTCAAAGAACTAAATGTTACATATGTATGATATTGTTTATAAATCGTTTTGTTGTTGCTATAAACGTATGTACAGCTTCAAATATTGAGTTCAAGGCCGTGATTAGGACTACTGTTCTTTCTCATAGGCGCTCCCCAGCTTAATTATATCTACTATACTATAAACATAACGTTATGTTTATAGTATAGTAGATATATTAAATATATCTACTATACTATAAACATAACGTTATGTTTATAGTATAGTAGATATATATTTTTTAACAATTAAGCTGGGGAGCGCCTATGTTCTTTCTGACAGATTTTATTTATCAAATAAACTATGCAATATGACTACTTTAAAATAATCATATTGCAGAGTTTATTTGATAAAATATAAAATCTGTCAGAAAGGATACTGCCATTTTATAATAATTCAGAGAGATGGTCACAGTTTATAATATCATGTATTGCTTGAAAAAAGAACTTCTCTTGGAGTTGTAGATTTTGAACATACAAGAAAGTAATGGTAAGCATCTTCAACAGAATAAGTACAATGTTCACACATTGGAGTTTCTGATAAACATTACTTGCAGGCGCGGATTCAGGATTTTTTCGGGGGGGGGGGGGTCCACCCCACTAAAAAAAAAATTCCAACCCAGAAATTTCTTGACAAGCAAATAAAAAAAACGTAAAATCCATTTCCCAAACGTCAAAAAGACCTATTTCGTGGAGGTGATGGTGGGGGCCACGTTTTCGGGGGGGGGGGGGAGGTTCCAAAGTCATTTTTCATTTGCTTCAGTATATACTTTCAATGACACTGTAAATTCCAGGTCCGGACCCCCCCCCCCCCTGCATTTTCTCATTCCAAAATTTAAAAAAGTTCATTATTTTTCTTTAAAAAAGTAGGATTTCAAAAGACTCTTGAATGATGATATTCCAGGAGCATTTTTAATATAATCTGGCAAGATAAGCAAGGAAGAAAACTCTCCATAAAAGATGTTGTTCTAATGTTAGGGATTTTGACTTGTACATCATTGGTTCTGAGATTGTAATAATAACTTGATTGGAAATACGGTTCTATCAAATCATACAAATATTGAGGTGAACAACCATTTTAATAATTTCATTAAAAATATATATATTATTTGTTTAAGACCTTGTTTTCAAATGATACAGTCATGATCAATGGTCATTTTTGCGAGAAGTAAAGTAACTAAACTGAAGGACGAATTTATTCCTGGGGAATTCATCAAGTTTAGAAAAAAGAAAGTCTACCTGGATGAAGTGTTGACATTGTACTTTCAGATCAGCTCTCCGTTCGTTGCATATACAGAAGTGAAATATCAAGTATTTTGCATTTAAAAAAACTGATTGTTTTTTCCTTTATTTCAATGTAATTATAAAGGCAACAATTTACAGAAAATACTCCTTATAACTATTGTAAGCTTCTCCGTGAATTCAAGCAGCATTTTAATCATGGTATATTTATAATAGTCTTCTCACTTTGTGAGATGGGAATATATAAACCTTCACATACTCAGTAACTCTATTAGGACTTTTAAAGTCCCCCTACTATTCAGGTTAACTTTTAGGAAAGCAGCCCGTCCTTCCGATTCACTGGGTCTGACTCATTCTGTTAGTCATAGTAAGTAGCAAAACATGCCCCCACAGCCCTATATTCAGGGCCTGAGTAGGATGCCGTGGCAAAATTGTCAAAGTTAGGGTCCCAGAGACATCGACTGCCATATTGAAAACCCTGTCGCTTGTCCTCAAAAATAACGACATGTGTAATCAGTTTGTATCTAGTAATCCCAGTTGCTTTGACTTCATCTTTAATCAATTCAGCAAGACGGATGCACAAGTTCAAACAGTTGTCGTGGTCGTATGATTCGCCCTTAAGGTTATCTGACAGAATGCGTTCAATAATTGTCGAAATTTTGATTTCATCAAAAACAGTGTTTTTATCCGGAGATAGTCTGTACGTATTTTCATAATTAACATTTTGTTGAGGTCGCACACACACACTTGGGCTTTTGATCCTATCTAAATTTTGCTGCAACCGATTTGGTCCTTTAAGCTTGTGGAACTTTTTCGGAAGTGAGTTTGAGACTATGCTGCTTGTATCGGACTGGGCATATTCCGTTTTCACTTTTCCAGAACTAGACACCCGGATCTGTTGATTTTCTCTCCTTCCTACACTCGGAGTCCGGATCCGAAAGGCTTCATCTTTAAGGTTAAAAGTCACACTGCTGCGTCTTGCGGACGGAAAGTCACTCTTTGTTGTCATAGTAAGACTATATACTTAAAATTTCCAAATTTTAATTATGAGGAATTGCCTTGCCTTGCCTTTTGGTTGATGACTAATTCATGTATTGAGGACCGCTTTATATGTTTGATTGTAAAGAACTTCGCCTTTTGTTCGTAAACGTGAAACAAAGGTATTGATTGCAAGTGACCAAAACAAAAGCTGTTTTCGCTGTCTGCGCATTGGAGATAATATGTTTAATTAGCCCTTTTAAAATTCTCAAAGTGAATGCATGTTTGAATAGTCATATAAGAAATTGTCAATACGTATGTAAATGTTTTCCTGGATTCTAATGGACAATTCTGATAACTTGCTCCCCTTATCTTTCCACAAATATAATTATCAAGGAACGTGTGTATATCGCGGATAATCAAACAGGAATATAGATCAGTATCAAACCTAATTGAATTAAGACAGTTTTTCATTTTGGCGGATTTTCCTAAATCCTAAGTTTCTGACAGGAAAGGAAAAATAACAGATTTTAACATCGACATGGTGCTCACACAGATTTCCAAAGAAGACATCAATGTCTACTAACCTAGCTCAAGTTACATTTAAGTGTAAGATGCTTCGATGTCCTGCATCATTTTATCAACTTTACATATTTACAGTAATATTTCAAATTCATATACCTTTGACAGTATAGAATATTTTTTGAATTTAAAGTAAATAAAATTCAAGGCCACAAATGGGCCACTGATTCTAGCATTTGAAAAGGTTTTGAATTGAAATATGGAAATAACGAACAATATTCAATCTCAAAGTCCAATAAAACAATACAAATCGGGAGCAGAGCAAACATGGACCTCCAAAAACATCAGAGTTGGGATAATTAAGGTGCCATGGAGGAGTGAGCATTCCCTGCCGACCGGTCACACCCGCCTTGTGCTCCTTGTCATGATCGGGAAAAAAAACAGAAAAATCTGTAGACAATTCAGTGAGTAAGTAATGGCCTAACAATTAGTAATGTCAGTCAGCATTTAACTTAATGATAGGTTATAAATTTGCTGACAAGGTCATTGTATCGATCATAAAACTTGCGAAATGATGACTTCAAACGAGACTGTTGATATCCTTGTTTCATCAACTTGTTTGTCAATAGCTTGCCTCATTTTAGAAATTGTTCATAAGCAGAGCATGCTCTTGCATATCGAATCAACTGGGAGAAAAAAAAACCATATGCAGGTGATAAGAGTATATTGCTACATAAGTAAGGGAAGTTGACGATTGAAAAATTGATGTCATCACGTTTATCATAAAGCTTTGTTGTTAGGTTACAATTAATGTCTTTTTCTTGTGAAATATCCAAAACTCATAAATCACCCACAAGCACTGTGACTCAAAGTTAAAAAAAAATAATGACAGAATTAAAAAAAAAAGTCAAGGGTCCATGCCAAGGTCACAAACTTAATAACTGCTAAATGTATTTTTAGATCAAACAATACACAATGTTTGTGCTTAATGTCAGGGTCTAACCCCACATTAATAATAAAAAGATAAAAGGTGCATGTTGGTCAAATACCAAGATCAGTATCTCGGGTATTTCTGACACTTATTCAGATTTTAAACGTCAAATCCCTCCTTTCCATGGTTCATGCGATGAAGGGTGTGGCAATTGGTCGAACGGAATCCCCTAGCGTCGATATATATTTTACAGGCAAAAAATCAACATTTAATTGAAAAGTATCGTCATAATGAAATTCTTTTGTGAAGGCCAAAAAAAAAAAAAAAAAAAAAAAAAAAAAAAAAAAAATGAATTTTAGAATAAGTTTGTTAATTTTTTTTTTCAAAATCTCTCTGGTGTGTGATAAATGTAATGTAAAAAAAAAAAAAAAAAAAAAAAAAAAAAAAAAAAAAAAAAATTGGGTTGGATATGGAATTGCATTCGTGAATTTATATATATATATATATATATATATATATATATATATATATATATATATATATATATATATATATATATATATATATATATATATATATATAAAACAAACTTAATAATAAATACATGTTTTTCGCATATTCGATATGCCTGACGTCACAATAGCTGTATCAGCTTCCAGGACCTGGTATGGATCTGGAGGGCTGATACGGATTTATTATATCACACCCCTAGTAGATTAAACCTTAAAAAACAGTACTTGCGATAATACACCTACTTTTTGTTCATATTCTCTTAATTTTAAATTACCGTTCTTGGAGTAATAAGTTATTCAGTCAGTAGTTAGTGCATGATTATTCATTTGTATTGTTAATGTGTGCTGTATTTTACAACTATAAGTATGTAATAAACATAATAAAACATTCCCTTTTCCATATCACATCCTGTATCAATCTGAGACACCAATATCAGTCAGAGGGCAGAAGGCGCCTGAGACACCAATATCAGCCAGAGGACCGAAGGCCCAAGGACTGATATTGGTGTCTCAGGCTGATACAGGATGTGATATGGAAAAAGGTTTTATTCTCTCTCTCTATATATATGTACGTCATTATCAGAGTTATGCCAGTCAACTTTTACAGGGAGTTCATACTTACCATCTTCAACTATGACCCATTTTCAGATCTCATTTTTTTAAACTCTCTTCTGTACTATTGGTTATGACAAGCACAAGAGGAACATTTAGATTACATAATTAAAAAATGTAAAACAATATTTCACAAAGAAAAATCAAGTTCTTAATTCAAATCAGCGATAAAATACATGGAGTTCGGGTGTGTTGAAATTTAAAAGGACAATGGTATGTATACGTACGTACTAAATAAACAATTACAGATGAACGAGTGGCATTGCTTTTCTCCCAAGGGCTGTTTCTTGGACGACCAACAAACATTACATCAATTTAAAAGGATCAAACGAGGAGAGGCATTAAAAACGCAAAGCTCAAGTCGTTTACAAACAAATTATGATTTTACGATCGCCTCCATAATCTAAAATGTCTCCCCGGTAACAATCAAGTGTTCGATTTTCTCCGCTGTTAAATCCATGATTTATGTGTGCACTTTTTAATGTAATAAACATAAAATTATAGGTTTATGTCGACACAAATGAAAATTCACATAGATAACGTAAAGGACGTCACTTTTGAAAAAGGCTTGGTTTGAGGATGGGCGAAGTGCCGATCGATGTACATGTCTACACTGAACCGAGAATGACACTATTTCTATCCTTCTACAAAAAATGGTTGTAACATAATTTAAAGAAAAAGAGTTACCTCAAATCACGATAGAATATCCATTAATTAAAAAAAAAAACCTTTCTTATGGAATTATGGATAATTAAATTCAGATTTCCAAATTTTTTTTGAAAGAAGAACGTGGCTGGTAAATCGAGTAGATATTTATAATGGCAGAGAAAACAAGGAGGGAAAAAATCAGAAATGTCCAAAATAAAAAAATAAAAAAATAAATGAAAAAAAAACCCCAACAACAACAATTACAGAAAAAAGTAAACAGGACATGCAAGCAAACAAACAAAAAGTTGATATCGATACTCTTCTACACTAAGCATATATTCAGACTGCTTTGTATTGAAAAATTATGTTTCCAGAATTAAGTCACTGACAAAAAATCTTACATATCTTTTCTTTCTTGTGATGGAAATGTTGCTCTATAGAGTTTCAGCCAAATTTTAGAAAGCACGTGCAATTTGATCAACATTCACATCTGCAGCTGGCCACAAACTAGGCAATTTTCAATTTCGTGGCGAGTCTAGTGTCCAAACAGGTGACACCATTATTCAGACATTTTTATTTTGAATATAGACTGATTTTGTAAAAGTTATATTTGTAAAACAATATCATTGTTAAAACATTGCTTTTTAAAATTACAAGTAAAACTATTCATAACTTGAAAACTAACATTTTTTCTGGATTATTTCTTAATGCTTTTTTAGTAAAATTAAAATCATGTGCTCCAGACATTGAGAAGTGTACCTCTTGTAATTAATAACAAATAAGCTTTACAACGTTCAATCGTAATAAGTGGCAAAAACAGTTCCTATGGCAACAAAGTCAGCCCCATTGTACATCGCTGAAGCGAAATTGTCGAGGTTCGATTCCCAAAGACACCGGCTTGTGTAGTGAATACTCTGTTTCTTATTTTCGAACACCATCACATACGCTATCACCTTATACCGTTTGAGTCCAGATAGTTTTACACGCTCCTTGATTAAATCAGACAATGTTTTACACAGCTGTGGAAACTTTTTCTCGTCGTAAACTCTATCTTTCAAGTACATATTTAGCACATTAGTAATGATCTGTTCTCCTTTTTGAGGATTGAATTTTGTCCCTTCCTCCGGCCCAACTTTGTATGTATTCTCCAGTACCTTCGTGGGTCCTCCCCTTTCCGATCCTGACCGTTTTGACAAAGCACCACCAAACAAGGTATGTAACCTTAACTTTGTCCGGATTCTGGAGAATCTGTTTCCTGGAACAAGAGAAATTTTACTACTTGTTTCCGAGTGTTTGTCCGACCGATCCTGACTTCCTCCTCCCCCGCCCTCCAAAATCTTGCTCTTCATACTTAGCCTCGTCGTTGTTGGACCACTCACATTGCTAGCGGAGGATGCCATCGTGCCCTTTTCTGGTGTGTGTTCTCTTTTAATATTAGCATTGTGAACTTTCAACAAGTCCGCACTCAACTTTCCGTCCATATTTGAAATATTGCCCCTCCAGTAAAAGGTTTGCTCGAGAGCTTCTTGTCAGTCGCTTATTTACGTTGAATCCTTTATCGGAGAAGATAGATTGATTTAGCAATAATCGGGCCTGACACCAATATCATAAAACGATCGTCAGGCGAGGACTAAACCACACCGATGGCTTCACTTAAACAAATTTTTACGGGGTTAGAATAAGAATGTAAATATTGGTCCTAGTGTTTAGAACACTCCATAAGGAAATCACCCGCGGATGTAATGATACGCACAGATTTTCTCTCTAAGTCAATAAAGTTATTACCAAAGCGGACTAATAGATTTGTCCTGGTGACACAATGCCTAATTTGAAATCCAGATTGCATATAGGAGCAACACTTCACCGGTTAAACTACAAACATAAAAAGGCAGCAGACTTTCCATTAAATGGCTATATACCCACACTTCATTCCTCGCCTCCAATCGATACAAAAGAAACAAGATCCAATCAACTAGTAATCAAGATAAAAACGAAATCTGCCACGACCTCAGACTTTTAAACACGATGTGAAATCAAGCACGAGTCATGGAATCTTCAATGTTACAGCGTTAATTAGATGGATGTGTTCCCCGTGTTACGGAAACGTTCTGGTCTGGCAAGTCCTTTGGTTCTAAATTCCATACTAATGTGTATTCACAAGAGTCGGGATCCTGTGTCTCTCCTGGGTCGCAGACGCAGGTGCGTGATCAATACTTCTCCATCCTATACAGGTGATGTAAACGATTCGTTCTCCGAGAGAAATGTTACACTTTTGTGAAATATTGATGGATCGACAAACTTTCCATGGTAATAAATGAGCAACATCAACAAAGGACAATAATTAATGCCTTGGTGATGGAACATCATGTCATAATGCACTCCACTGCTATACTAATAAAATACTGCTTTGTATTCCACGACAAAATTAAATGAGAAAAAAACGGTATTCTCCCAAATATTTAGCAATAGGTTATTTTCATTGACACTTCTAGGGCTTTCATTCATATATGAAATAGAAATTTACATGTATCTCAATACTCAGAAAATGTCGAGTTCACAGCAACATCCGAGTGCGTGTCGGTGTGAAATCATTTTCAAAAGATTTAAATACCCCTTTATTATATTTCATTTAAATGGCTGCTCAAAATGCCGACAGAAAATAACAACTTGTTTAATTCCCCCTCAGTTCTGACATTAGATACTTTAATTACAGAAATGAGTAGAGAGTTAAATGATTGATCCTTGCTGATCAAATGGCATTCATTTTCCCATAGATTTGAATCAAATGCTCTTTTCAAACCTACTTCAAACAAAAGCAACGTTTCATTGAAATCATCATATTTTCCATAATACATGAAATCTACCTTGATTAAAATTCTGTAATTTTATCAAACTGAACTTTGCAGAGTAAAAAGTTCATCGTTTTTAGAGTAAAGTTTTATGGGAGATGACTCCATTAGAATTTTTGAATCATTTATTTTTATATTAATGTAATGACCAACATATCATTAATATATTAACTACAATTTACAATATATAACATTGGATTTACAGTAAGACATTAATGTCACAACACTGGTGGCCAGTGTACAAAAATACTGCACTGATGGACAAATGGACAATATAAATAAATCTATTAGGATTTAAAACAAAATAAAGTATAGGTATACAAAGAAAATTGGAAAATGTTTAGAAAAAAAACAACAAAAGATAGAAGTGTGACCAGATAAAGTTGTGTGTTAAAAATAACTAGAAAATACAGTGCAGAAAAAAAAACTCCAGGGAGGTAAGCCTGCTTATTTACTAGAACAAATCATATATTTACCTACTGGTAAATAACAGACTGCAATGTTATTTATGTCATACCTTAAAAAGAGATTCCACTGTAAATATGCCACATTAACCACTGCTTTTATGTAAATGTGTTTCATATAATAGACAACATAGATATACATGTACTCCAAGATTGATTAATGAATACAGGATTTTGAATGACAGAATGATATTATATGTAATTTAATATCTTGAGGAAATCAAAGCACTTCTAACCAAATACAGCATCATTTTCAGGAAGTATTTTCTTATGTTTCTTCAATGACAAGATCTCAAAATTTATTTTGTTGTATTTTACATTTGAAAAATTATTACATTTATTTATAAGGGGAAAATTGTGTTTTATACCTGCAAAAAAATTGTCAAAAATTCTAATTGAATTCAAACATGTACATTTATTATTTGGATACTATTAAAAAATCCATTCAAAAGAAACTGAGCATTGAGTTTAAAAAAAATAATCAGGCTCATATATTTCAATAGAGAAATTTACAATTCATGTACAATGCATTTTAGAATCTACTTACATCTAAACTGATTTTTTTTTATACATTTACATGAGTTAATTTTAAAGTAAAACTACATTTATCAACATCAGTATGATATGTAAATAGAGAGGCAGTCAATAACAGGAAAGGCCAAAAACATAAATCTTAGTTTCTCAGAAAACGTGACGCACGGATCATATTAAAATGGGGAACAACTCAATTTTCTATTTTTCAACTTGAAAAAGAAAATTGGGTTATTCCCCTTTTCACCCATACATACACACAATACATATTTTTATTTATCAATAAACATTTTTATTCAGAAGTTGAATAACATTAATTAGTTTATTGAGTATCAAATATTATTAAGAGTACAAAAAAGTAAGATTCTGTTGGTATAATTATTTGTTGAAATGAAAAACAAACATAAATCTTACTCCAAACATTTCTGAAATGTTTGTCCTGAGAAACTTAAGATGCATTTTGGCCTAAAAATACAGTAAATAATTTGCAGCTAAAAAATTAACTTTTTCCCTTTAGAATCACATTTTAGAAGGCTACTATAGCAATGAGATCATGACCTTTTGATGAATTTGATCTGGATCATAGATGACATACTGTACATGTACATAAATTGGTGTATTCAAAATTTAGCGCAATCACTGGGTATGGAGTGGTTGATGTAATCATGAATTAGCGCTACACACGTCTGCACCATATATTGCATTTATTAATGATTTATTAACAGTATTCATTAATTAGTGCATTGTTGTGTGCACCAAAGGCGCTAAAATATGAAGCCCGCTTTTTTAAGTACACATACAGTAATTCGGGTAAAGCTGGTTAGGTCAAACTATTGCCAATATACACATTTACTTTTATCTATAATTAGTATGGAAAAAATTACACGTGTGTTATAAACATCTAAATCTCTATTAAAAACTTGAGATATTGTCTTGGTAATCAAAATTGATAATATTTTAAGTCCAACATTTTCCAAACTCCAATCAGCTATAAAATGTTAACTCTAGGTAACATTTTGTCTTATCAAACCCTCTCTTTCTTTTGATCTTACATATACATGTATAATATATATATATTTTTTAACCAAAGACCTTTATACATCATGGCAAAAAATCCACATACTGATAGGTGACTGCTTAAAATCTAAGCTTAGTTCCTGATACATTAAAATTTAACATTGATTTCTTAAACAACATAGAGTGATAGCACATGATAAAACATAAACAAGCTAACAGGAATTTTTATGAAGAGGGTACAAAAATACCTACCTAAAGGGCAGAGTATTCTATAGCCCAAACTCTAATAAGCATTGTCTTTTATAAATTTCATACACTATAATTTTTAAATTACCATTTTTCTTCTGTATTGAAAACAGAATATATTCCCCGACTAGAACCATTGATTTACTAGGCAAGAATGAAAACAAATCAGGATATTATTTATACTTAAGAAAAAAATTCATAGCTGAAACAAAAAGGTAATCCTTACATGAAAAAACCACATAGCTATAACTTTATAAAGCCATAGAACCACTGCTGACTACATAAAGCCTTCTCAATCTGTGAAATCTCTGACTCGTCTGAGGCCACTCTCACAATGTGTTCTATCATAAAACCTTAAGGTATCACATTTGGCAACACGCCAGTACACAGAAGAGTCTCCAATACAATATTTATCTGCTATAATATACACGGTAATACAGTGTCTTTGATCTCCACAGAGAGTAAGAATTGTCAAATTTTAATAGATACACGCCCTGGCCAGGGTAAGCGTGGCTACCACAGTAAACCTCCTCGTGGCAGTCGCGACGATAAACAGGGATAATCTCGTCAGTGGGAGGACGGTCATCTTTCTTAGCACCTTGCTCTACATCATTCTTTGTGTCTGCAAGCAAAAATAATTGCATAATCTAATGTGAGATAAATATAAAGAATTCTGTAATATAGTCATATTTCTGTGAATTGTACACTTGTTTCTCTGCATCATAAAACTTCACCAGTTATAACCTTTTCACATGGGGATTCCAAATGAAAAGATACTCTGCTAATTCTTTAGCCATGAGGCTGATACATGTAATTCAACCCAAAATAAGACAATTCTAACACTAAAAATGCATATAATCCACAAGGTCCAGTGCTGTGAGGTGTCTAATGAATTTCATTAATGTTTAATATCTAGTATATCTCAGCATAGGCCCAAATAGCCATGTTTACAACTTAATCCTACACTTAGAAGACAACTGAAAATCTAGTCAAAAACAACTACTTCCTTGTTTTAAAGAACTGATTAAAAATGTTATACATATTCTTATAAAACTTATAGAATTGTAGTATGTCCTGCTCATACACAAAAACATCTTTTACATGTAATACTAAATAATTGCTAATTCTGACTTAACTCCCCCTGGAGCTGAAATTTAAGTTTAAGAAGACAGATATGGATACCTATAAAGATGAACAAAGTTTACCATATAACCTTAATCAAAAGTACAGTTTCAAAAAAAAAAAAAATTAAATTTGACCCTCTTCAACCCCCCCCCCCCCCCCCCTTTCCCTTAAATAAAATTCAAACCTTGCTCTTCATCAAATTCCTCCTCGTCACTGGACTCGCTGACGGTCACACTCACAGTAGTACTAGGGGACACCGTCCACTCAAAGTACACACCAAATCCAATGTCATAGTAGTCAGTGGCAAACTCCCAGAACAAACAAGTTCCGTCCTCATGTGTGGGCACTCTCACCTGATATATACAGGCATAAAGATGGCTTTATTTTAAACATTCAGAATATAAGACAAATTATAAATAGGTTTTTGACAGTAAATTCTATTCCAAGATGGAAAGCTGACTAACTAGAATGGTTGAAAGTGCATGAATCTTTAATGTTCCCCCAAATTTACATGAACTATATCATAGTGTATGACAACATGCATGTCAGCTTTGGTTAAATATTGAATGATATATAATAAATACATACAGAAATAGTTAAAATTGTGATAAAATATAGATGTTGTTATATTCAGTCAAACTTTCTTCTTTAAAAGCCAAAGTTCACAAGCATTTTGATGTTAGATTTTCTAAACTATTGTGTAGGATGTGCTGGAGATGATAGGGGTACACACACATCAGAACATTCTGATAAACTGGAAGATGACATTGTTTGAAGCTGAAAAGCAGGTAGTTGAGCAAATTTACATGTATGTGTAATCCATTCTGTCTATTCTAATTTGAAAAAAATCATGCTTAGGGTAGTAGGGAACATAAAAAAAGAGATAAAAAAGTGTGAAGTTACAACAAACATTTTTTTGTATACAAAACACATCCTATTAGGTAATTTTACAATAAGAAGCTGGGAATAATGCTGTAAATTTAGTTTAAAAACCTACTTGGTTCTTAGACATTTAGTCAATTATAAAATTATGGTAATTAGATTAATATGTCTTAGATGTTCTGGCCAACTGTTGATGCTGTGTTACAATCTGTGTGATATAATACACATAACAGCAAATCATACTGTCTTTTGAAGTCATGTAACTGTAGATTATGCTTTTTATGTTAAGAAATGCCCTGTAAATAACAGAAGACAATAAAGTTGTGAAAAGTGTTTTCTTATTAAATCCTTCAACACTTATCCAATCACAAAATCAAGCCAGCAATTACAAAAGCAGCCATATTCAGTGTTTACTAGCAAAATGCAGCCATATCCAGTGAGGGTTAGGCTAATTGCAGGTTAGAGTTGCCAGGTTGGCCTACTTACAGTAACCGTCTCTCCAGACCCTATCTTTATTACTGAATCCTTATCTTTATGAAGTGATTCTTTAAATTCTTTAATGTCTTTACGAGTCCACATTGAGGCAGCAGCAAAGGGAGGCATTTCATCTACAAAATCAGTGAGAAACGTAGCAGACCAACAAAAAAAGCAAAGGTTTCTTCTACGTGCCTGCAAAGCCTGATGGGAAGTTCCAGAGACTTGCATCATGCTCTGCATTTTGAAAAAAAACCCAGCAAGTCTTCAGATAACCCTCATGTACAGGAAGAATTTAAAATAAATTTTCTTAGATTTAAAAGCAACATACTCTTTAAACTATCTGATTTTTTTTATATTCATGTATAACCAATATAGATTTAAAGACAATAAAAGGGACATATTTTACAATACATCCAAAATGCAGTGATATTATTCTGAAGACTTGCAGGCTCAGGAAACCATGCAGTGATACACCAATAAAAATCTGAAGGGCACTCACAGTAGCTGTTGCTAGGGAACCAATCTTAATAACATTTTCTTGACAATGTTTGACACTGTCTTTGAAAGATTGGATATCCTTACGAGTCCAGATGGAGGCCGGCATTAACAAAGCAGGGGGTGGAACATGGCCTGAAAAGTTCCCAGTTATACCTTACAGCCTCTACTTAATCTGTTCAATCTCAGATTCATTACAAATACTTGATAAACTGAGTGTATTTAAAACATATATTATCATAGGTTTAATATGAAGCTCACCCTGATGAATGTTATCAAATAATAAGGCAAAGTCTCCTACCAAATAAATATTCAGCGAAGTCTGTGAGTTATCTGTAAATTCATTATTAAATATGAACCTTTCATTAAACAGCTAAAATACACTTTACTTGCAGCCTCTGACGTTAACTCATTAATGTGTACTTCTAGATACATCGTCCATGCAAGTTTAGTCAAGGAAGAACATACTGGTACAGTGGTACTTTGAACTGATCTGCTCAAAAAAACTTTGACCTGTTCACTGAGACTAATGCCTAAGGTACAGCACAAGCTCAACAAATTATTAAAGGTAAGCTAAAAATCAATACTAGTCTTCTAGATTTTAAAAGCCTAGATTTTTCTTTTAAAATATATTTTAATCAATATGATTGTATAGGATTATACCATAAATGAATGGATTTCAACTGTATCATTGGCCAATCTCTTATTATTTTATTGATTTGTCTCTCAGTAAATCCATATGACTTAAACCAAAAAAAATTTGATTTGGTGATTAAGGATATATGTACAATAGGCACATGAGCCACACCACTAACCTGAGTCATATTTCCCTTCTTGAAAGAGAAAGGAAACCTCTATTATTTGCCTAAAAGTACCACATACATTCAACAATTAAAGAGTAAACTGAACCATAATTCATAAAAAATCCTATCTGTTATAATAGAGAAATGTCTACATACTGTAAACCAACTATTATTCGCGTCATCTTTTATTCGCAATTTGTCAGTTTGAAATCAATCTGCGACGATTAATTTTCACGACTGAGGAAATATTCTCTACAAATACAAAGCAAAATAAATGGTTCACGGCGATTAATATTCACGATTAAAAGTAGGTCGCAAAACCCGCGGATATTTCTCGCATGCAAATAAAAGTTGGTTAACAGTATTCTTATGTAAATGTTAACCTCCTACTGGGTCTTAACCTAACCCCTGATTGGTTGCTGTGCCCTAACCTAGCCCCTGATTGGTTGCTGTGGTCCTAACCTAGCCCAATTGGTTGCTGTGTCCTAACCTAGCCCAATTGGTTGTTGTGGTTCTAACCTAGCCTCCAATTGGATGCTGTGTCCTAACCAAGCCCCCAATTGGTTGCTGTGGTCCTAACCTAGCCCAATTGGTTGTTTTGGTCCTAACCTAGCCCGATTGGTTGCTGTGGTCTTAACCTAGCCTGACTGGTTGCTGTGTCCTAACGTAGCCCAATTGGTTGCTGTGGTCCTAACCTAGTCCGATTGGTTGCTGTGATCCTAACCTAGCCCCTGCTTGGATGGTTGCACATTAATTTGACTACACTGTAATCCCAGTGTTATTGAGAAGACTATTTTTAATACTTTAAACTCTCCTCCTTTGTGCATTGTGGCCCCTCTCAAGCCACAATAAGGGATAACTAATCAACAGTTATATCTATACTTTGTACACAAGCTCGTAAATTAATTTTCTTGACTCAGTGGTTCTTCAGAAGAATTTTTAATCACCCTAGCCGATTTTTACTATTCACTCATTATCACTGTGCTGTCACAGTTCTTATTTTTCATTTATTTTTGTTTGCTTTTTTGTGTAATTATACGGAGTGAAATATGTGTATTATTCAGATATCAGAAAGAGTTATCCTTCTTTGTAAATTTTTGAATTATCTTCCTTGAGTGGAAATCTTTTGTGTCAGGAGTTATCTCCCTCATTTTCTCGTGGAAGTTTTCATTCAGTCTGCCATTAGAGTTCCATCCGTGATGATGTACATGTAACATTCTACCTTCTTACAATTTGTGGCTATTACCATGAAAGTTTTTATAGGAAACATTTGTAACTTCATACCTATTATTTGTAACGTTGTTTGATAATTATTTATAGAGTTTTGTATTGAAAACTTATTCAGACCGGTATTTTTTGTAAAGTTTAAAGTCACTGAAGTCACGAGAATTAGTTATTGTTATTCAATTTATCTAGTATGCTTTATAGTAATTTGTTATTATGATAAGGTTTATAAGTGAGCTATTTCTATGGAACACCGTTATTGTCTTTTTGGTATATCAGTATTATAGTATTTGATTTTGTTTATTTCAGTTATTTACCTCATTCGCTCACTCGCTCGTGTAGACTCATTCGCTCACTTTGTCTCACTCACCTGGGCTCATTCGCTCATTCACTCATTGGAATATGAATTCACTTGTTAATAAATATGGAACCAGTTACCATGTGTTCTTCAATGATCAAGCGTGAGGTGTGAGGTTTAGCTAGCTGTTCCAGACAGCATAATCACCCCTTGGTATGGGTATGGATATTTTGAATTCCCTTTAGCAAAGAAAACATTGTGCTAGGTCATGGTTATTGAAGAGAAGTCAAAACATGAAAAGTTAACAGACACACAGACAAACCCTGATTATAAAAGCTCCTCTGGGCCTTGGGCCTTTGGCCCAGTTGAGCAAATATATAAAGATGAATAGTGTATATGTAGAACATAGTTCTTGATAAGCCTACTTCTATGCTGTGTCGGTGATATATTTATCCAGTTAACAAATGGAGTACCTTCTCCCTCTTGCTTCTTTTCTGTTGTTCCTTCTACTGGTCCATTTGGGGTGACGTTTGAGTTAACATTTGTTTGGGGAGGAGTCTCACTTTGCTGACTGCCTGGCTGTTGGGTAGGGGGTGGAGCCATCTGTTGACTGGCAGGTGCCTGTTGTGTTGGTGCTGTGTTGCTGGCTTGTTGATGCATCTGTTGGTACTGCTGTTGCTGATGTAGAAGCTGCTGTTGATACACTTGTTGCATGTATTGCTGGTAGTGTTGCTCTTGCAGCTGTCGGATCAACTCGTCTTGCTGTTAATCAGATAAATGTTCCACATATAGATCCTTATAGACATTAAATTCCCTCCATGAGACTTTCTACACATGCAAGATTTATGCTAATCAATAGTTCAAGACTAAATAATTTTGTAAAATTTTTATGGCTGTACACAAATATATCCAAGTGGTTATATAAACAGAAAAAATTATTTTGCTACTGAGTTTTTTTCTTCAATAAAAAATAAATACACAAACCTTGACCTAATTCTGAATTACTCTATGTTGCAACTTTCATGCATTTGAAACAAGTGTGGCCAATCAATACAGAACAGGTTTAGTATCAATACTATTTCCCCCAGAAGTATTGAAATATTGAACCATAGGGTGCCCTAGATGGACTTATCTAACAGACCATATCAAATAATTTTTCATGGTATCTTAAATGAGATTACTAAACAAGACCACATGTAAGTACAAAGTAATACAGTGTTAAAGTATATAAACAGAATGCATATATCGGTAAAAACAACTTTCACACCACATATTCATTCAATAGGAAATAAAAACTTGTCAACATCTATATATAGCTATCTCATCTCAGAGGGAAGTCAGAAAAGAATGAAATTATAAAAATGCACTAAGTATTTAAAACTGATTAGCAAGATAACATTGAAGATTATCCCCAAATCATAAAATCAAATTTCATCAAAAATATGTCTGACCTGTAAGGATATTTTCCTGTCACAAGACTAACACTATAGTAAGACTACAATTTTAACACAAACTATTAACACCCTAGCCATTTAACTTCCCTATCCTGTGATATAATAAACAAATATGCTGGATAAGTCGAACAACACTCATCTGACAAAACTTCGTGATACAAAAAGTACTGATCATTACTGCCTGCTGATATTTGGTGTATTTCTTTTTTTGTAATGAAATTCCATCCATCTGCATCTTATATACTTTTGTCTAAAAGACATGTACTTACATCAGCATTTCCTGTATCCAGAAGGCAAAACAAAGAACTGCAGATAACAAGTTCCCTTACTCACAATGTAGAGATTACAACATCACAGAAACGATGAAAAAAAGTCAATACATTTAAAAAGGAGAGGAATCAATATCTAACCTCCAAGCATGGAGCCAACAAATCAATACATTGTCCTCCACAGTAACATTACACAGAGAACTGGAGACAACGGGATGTTTAAAAAAAAAAAAAGACACCAGCTTTGACTTTAATCCAGCTGCTTATATTTCTTAATGCAGACTCCTTAAATCATTTCATGTAAATGACTGTAGCAGCTGGATCAATAGTAGACACTTAAATAAAACAGTAAACATATGATTAGGCTGTCCTCACTGAGAATAGGGAAACCATGGTGTAACAGGAAGCTGGTATTCTATTTTACCGGTAAATGGTATTGGCTTTTTACAACAGAATTTCCCCTCTCCTTTCATGTCATACTAAACTCTTCTTAACTTTAGAATCCAGTGGCTAATGTAATACTAAAAACATGCATCTTGTTAAAGTGATCAAGTCTGTGAACACTTTTCACATACTTAGATAAGTAAAATAACTGGCTCTTAAGGACAGATGATATGAACAAACTTATTTTGTCAAAAAACATGAAAATAACAACTAAAGGCATGTTTATATAAGTAAACTAAAAAAGTTTAGCAGCATTGATTTAAATTTTTCATTCACATTTTCACAATAATGTTCTATACAAACAAGCAGCCTAATTAACACTCACTGTAATGTGATATATTATGTAATAAGTGTAACCAGTGTAAGTAATTAAATGTTTCAGTTTCAATGTTTTATTTTATAATTATTTCTGTTGTGTGTGTTTACATTTGTGTTGTCATGTGTGAATGTCCACGTGTGAGTATTTATGTTTACTAGTGTGACGTACTTGACCATTTCCGGTTTGACCAGTTCTATTTCTATTAATAACTTTTTACTAACTTTCCCGCGACTAAATGTTTTCCATGCACACTCGGCGCTACACCCTTTACGGGTATAGACGTTATATTGTATTAGAGCTGATTAACAAGTGGTGCTTGGTAAATATATTTATTTTATATACATATTTCTTATTATCTTTGTAATTAAAAGTAAAGTCATCAAGTATTTGTAAATGTTTATTAATTATTATGACTTTATTTCAGGTTTTTCTTATATATATTACAATAATTAAAATCTTGGTCAAACCTTATTACTGACTTATGTCTTACTGAAGAACCTGGAATCTACCGACATGGTTTACAAATGGCGCCCAAGTTAATTGGAAAACCAGGCATCCAAGACTGATCCACTGGAATAATTAGGAAAAGAACCCGGGGAGCGGATTGGAGAGAGGGCGGACATAGAGAAGTCGATGACCTTTTCATTTCCATATCCAGCGAATTATAGGCCTATTCTATACATCTTATGTGTGAATTCATGGATCTAAATCAGCTTTGAGTGTACACTAAATCATTAATGTGTTTTGTTTGAAACTGGCCGGTATTGAAAAGTGTGTTCATAACAGTGTAAAAAATTCACAGGCGGATCCCGAGAGGCGAATCCGATACTTCCGGAACCGTGACGTCACAGTTATGCGCGCAGCGAACCAATGACCGACCAAAATGGAGTCTTCCAATTCTATTCAGCGTGATTTGTAAACTGGTCTGCGGCGCGGAGCAAAGGTACTGTAACTAATTGTGCATACAAATGGTCATTTCCATGTGTTATTCTGTGTACTTGTTGTCATATTTGTTTGTGCAAGTTACTGTCTTCGTCTAATGTGTTGTCTCAATGTCTGTACTTACTACTGAGGTGTAAAAAGGGAATTCCCAAGGTCTATTTTTGTTTCTATTTATAGTGCACAAGACAGTTTCTAAAGTTTTGCTGTATTAGTGTATATTTTTTTCTTTTTCAGGTTGATAATTGTTTGTTTTGCAAATTATATTTTTGTATCTATATTTATATTTTCATTGTAAGTTCATTATTTATAGTTTTATTTATTTCTAGGTAGCTGTAAATTAGGTGTTTGTAAATTTAGGTAGCAGCAAGCCGAGTTCACTTTCTAACCAGCATGCAGTTATTTCACTAATCAAACTAATATTTCTTTCAGTCCATGGAACAGTAGACAGACCTACGGAGCAGAGAGTTATTGTGTGTATGTCTGTATGTTGTGTGTTTGTGGTTTTGAATTTTAGGAATTTTATGATGAATTGTTTAAAACTGGGTATCATAAGTTGAATTAAACCATCTTTAAAGTATTCAATTTCACCAGTATACATATCACCAGGTAACTTACCCAAAAGTTAATTAAGAATTACTACATCAGATAGCAGTTGCTGTGGTTGTATGTACAAAGTTGTAATGATCTGTTGAGGTGATCAGTTGAACAGTTTTTTGGTTTGTTGTTGTGAATAGTTATTTTATATTGGTTTGAACTGTACAGTTGGCGTAAATATTTGGTGTGAAGTTGTGAAGTGTAATTAATTGTTCATAGAAATGGCTGACAAAGAAAAACAAAAGGTTACTGCAGATGTATCCTCATCAGAGGAAAACAAACTTGATTTTGCTGGTGTTGCACAACCTGCAACCAGTACCCCCAAAACCACAAAAGATGGTAACCCTGTTAAAACAGAGGTATCTGTACCTGCTGAACATTTACAAAGTGCAAAACCAAAGGTATCTGTACCTGATCACAATGTTCCTTTACATCTTGGACAAAAGCACAATCCCTTTGCAAAGTTAGCTTGTAATTTTGGTGATACTAGTAGTAGTGGTAGTAAACTACAAAATACCTTTTATGATAAGGATGGGAATAGCATCAACCAGGTGTATGAGTTTAATACTAACATCCCAAGAATCCCACAATTCTCGGGTGATGACCCTCCTCAGAAGGGGGATGTTTCATACAAAGAGTGGAGATTTGAAGTGCAGTGCCTAATGCGTGACCCTGATATAAAATCAAATATTCTGATACAAAGTATTAGACGGTCATTAAGGGGTACAGCAAAAACAATGTTAATTCCGCTAGGTGAGAAGGCTGGTGTTAAGCAAATTTTAGAAAAACTTGACATTTTGTTTGGTGAAATTTCCAACAATGGCATGATTATGCAAGAATTTTTCAATGCATTTCAACTACCAGGTGAGTGCTTGGTAAATATATTTATTTTATATACATATTTCTTATTATCTTTGTAATTAAAAGTAAAGTCATCAAGTATTTGTAAATGTTTATTAATTATTATGACTTTATTTCAGGTTTTTCTTATATATATTACAATAATTAAAATCTTGGTCAAACCTTACTACTGACTTATGTCTTACTGAAGAACCTGGAATCTACCGACATGGTTTACATAAGCATCAAAGGTAGGTTAATTAACAGTACCAGTAAACCAATGGGTTTTAAAACCCAATGTTTTATGTTTTTTTACCAGGTAGTAAGTCAAAGGTGGGGATGTGTCTAATATGTAATAGAGTTAATGCTAGGGATTGAAGTCTTACTGCAAAATCCATCATATACAGTCACATAGTAATACTGTACACAGTCTTTGACTTCAGATCTGGTTAACATTATTAAATGCCTTTTTTTTTTAATTCTGTAAATTTTTAAAAAAATAATATTTTTGCAATATAACTGAAATTAGATGTTCCAAGTTCCTCTACCGCTTCTCAAACATCCAACAATATCCCACAAAGGATCACATCAGCCCGACATTTCATATATTAATAAATGTATTATAAACATGAACATTTTGGCAAATCAGATCCAAGCTTCTGTATACAATTCTAAAAATAGTACCATGACTGTATCTTAACATTTCTCATGTTCAGTAGTCTGTTTTATAATGATCTAAGTTAATTGTGGTGTAAATTGAATGTGTATAGTCCACCCATCAGCCATTCTTTCCTGAATAATAAGTGAAAATGCACAAACTATAAATTTTAGAATTCAAGTTTGGCTGCAGATAAGAAATGCATTTGAACTACAAGCCAAGATTTTAGTGGCAGTGATTTCATTGGCTAATCTAAAGGTTGCCCTGATGTGACCCTGAATGGGATGTTGTTAGATGTTTGAGAAGGGGTAGCTCATTTGGAACATTTCATTAAAAAATTTAATTAGATTAAAGCTGCCAGAAAAAAAGATTTAGATTTGAAGCTGCTAGAAAAAAATATTGAGGGAATGCTTAATATATAGAGCTGTAACAAATGGTTATCATTAATTATAAATAATTCAGAATGTTAAATGTTTAGTATGATGAATACCATAGAATTACTGTATAAAGGGTAATTTTCGCCCTTTCACACTTGCAAACAACTTTGCCCCAATTTAGATTTGCCCAGTCACAGTTCTGTTTTAAGAAATTATACCATGTTCTTTGAATTTACCCCGTTTAAAATCCATCCACCTATGAGTAGGACGAAAGGGGTGAAAATAAAATAGGGCTAATATTTCCCTGCAAACAGTATATTGCCTGGGGTGGGGATATTAATTTTGATATGAGTATTCCATATACAGCTAATTTACAGACTTAGTAAATATTAATAAATTTGCTTTAAAATTCTTTCATAATCAGACATTTACCAAAACTAGAAAACTGACCAGTCAGCAAGCCCCCCCCCCCCCCCCCCCCCCCCCCCCCCCCGTAGGGGTAGAAATATAAGGGTGCAGCTTGCAGAACGATAATTTTAACTGATTACAAATATTTAAAAATACATGAAGAAGAATATGCAATAACAACTGTATATATAAAATTTCAAGATAATTCCTAAATATCCAACAACCTGTAAAAAATATCCCTGTATTTACATAAGGCAGTAAAAAACATATCTATAATAACTCAATTAAATATATATTTAAACAAGAATAAAGCATGTGTTTTATAAAATGCCAGCCTTCAGTGAATGCAAATATCACCCAGGCTTGACCTTAACTTCAAAACAAACATCAGTTGCAGACAAAGGTTAATTTATCTTAAAGTGACAAATAAAGATAAGCCTGGAAAATTTCTGCCCCAGACAAGATAATTAATCCCTGGGGATTAACTGTACTGCTCTCTCATCCTTTTCTTCCAAGTTTACAATAAGAACTTTTTCAGTAATGATAGAATGAGTTTATTATCAGACTACCTGTTAATAGTATTCTTGAATTTACATATGGCAGCAAAAAAAAAAAAATAATAAATAAATAAAAACAGAAAAATAAAAAAACATATCTTGATGTATATCTTGTTTTTAGAATTCAATAAAATCATAACTCATCATGTATTTTACCAAAATAAAGTATGAACATTATTTAAATCCACATTTCAGAGAATGTAAACATCATTCAAAATTGACCTTAACTTCAAAACAAACTTCATTTGCAGACAAAGGTATTAATTAATCTCAATTTGACAGAAACAGACAATGCTTTGGATTTTCTTCAAGAGGAAAGTTAATTAATCCCATGGGACTAGTTGCAGCTTTCATAGTTTACAATAGGAACATTCTCAGCAGTTATCTCTCTTTGTCCTGGCATTCATTCTAATGTAAAGTTAAGGAATCAACCCCACCACCCCAGCTCCAAACTGGATGACATAGAGAACCAAACTTAGCATCAAAATATGTCTTACTGCCTCTTCAACCAACATACCAAATTTGAACTTAATTGGTCAACTACCAAAGAAGTTACTAGAAAAGAAACAGAAAATTTGTGGACGGAAGAATGACAGACGGACAGACAGACAGACAGACAGAGTGATTACTATAGGGCACCCGCAAATCCTTGCGGGGCCCTAATTATGCACCTCAACCTTATAGCAGTTCACAAAATTTTGTCCCCAAATGATAGAAACTGATAGAAAGAATTCTGTAATAATATCTCCAAGCTTCTGTGTATTTGAAATAATTCATCATGATATATATTTGTAATGCACTTCTCACTTACTACACATTCTAGAAACATGTCACAGTTTAGAAATATTTTATAAGAAATTTAGTAAGTGCATGCCCTTTACCACAATGACTTTTTTCTACTCTCCAGGGTACATTTTGAACAGGGAGAAAAAAAATTAGCATATGATTGACCATATTATGTAGATATAAAATGACATTTCAGAATTAGGGTATCTGCCTCAGAAGTTCCCAGGGGCTCATTCAGGACAGATTCTTTGCTTTGAATGCTGCTCTGACTTGAACATTTAAAATTTGAAGTAAGTATAAATCCTTAAATACTTTAGGATGTAAAGTAATGTTTGTTGTTGGGCTACAACTGTTTTACTTACTTGTTGTTGTTGTTGGAGTAATGCTGTTTTACTTACTTGTTGTTTGTTGTTGGGGTACTGCTGTTTTACTTACTTGTTGTTTGTTGTTGGGGTACTGCTGCTGGGCATATTGGGCAAACTGGACAGCAGTCTGTTGATTCAGTGCTGCTCTTATCTGCATTCTGAAACAAAATACATGCATGTAACGAAAAATTTCAATAACCTAGGTTATACATAGATTGAAATATTGAAACAAGTTATAGTTTGCAATGATTTGAAAAGGAAAATCAATCTTCTGAACAAGAAGTTTTATAAAAGTTCCAAGTTCAAAGCACTTTTATGTTAAGTTTGTGAGTACAATGGCATTAGTTTATCCATCAAAAAATTCCAAAAAAAAAGAAGAAGAATATTTAATCCTTACAGCAGTTTGTCCTTTTAATTCAAACTACCCAAGTTTTAAAATTATTTGTCTTTGAAGCCTCCATTTAATACTTTATTTCTATACCACATAGGAATACTTGAAGCCATGATGTAGAAATGAAACATAATCCAGATGAATGACTATAAAATTCAATTTTAATTGTCAATACATACAAGAAAATAAACCTATAAAAATTCATTGAAAATTGATTAAGTCAACAAATATTGTACATATTGTAAATACAATTAATAAAACTTCAGAGAAGTTTTCAAAGATTTGTCCTTGTCATTAAAGATTTTAAAAGGAAGTAGTGTACTGATGACACCCTCTATCTGCTCTGATAAAGAGGCCGACTTGTATCAGGATGGGTGGAGTGGCAGGAGTTGGAATTATGAATTTGATACTACTGAGGTGAGGGTTAAGTTTCTCTCTCCTGTCAATGCTAACGATAATTGAGCTGATTTGTTAAGCATGAGAAAGGATGACTTGATTTTTTACAAGTGTGATCTGAAAGTGATAATGGACATAAATGGAATATTCCTGGCTGTCAGTCATGTGTATCAGCAATTTTGTTTTCATTTTATTTTAAATTTTGACTGCTTTATTGTTTTGCTAAAAACAGACTAGAAATAAGGATTTGTTTCAATTTTTCACACCTCACTATCCACAAATGATCATGTTATGAATTCTATTTTAATGTCAAAACTGACCATTGGTCGGGTTAAATTGGTAGATTATGCAGCACAGAAACAATGTAAATCTTCAGATTATGTCCTGATAATGTTTAACTTGTGTGTGGAGGGGGGAGGGGAAGGATGGGGGAGGTGGGCTCAAACCTTCGTTTTTGTAAATTCAATGGCACAAGTACTACCATTACCATGTTTATTTATGTGTGACGTCTGAAGTCTAAAGCCAACAATAGATTACTTAAATTTTTACAGTTTTGAACATTTTTTTGTTTCACTGGAAGCAATTGAAGTTATCTAGATATATTCCATAAATTTTATTTTTATGATCAACCCATTTAAAGGTGCATAGAGAATCAGCTAAAACATGGAGGCAGCCAAATTTTTTTTACTATAGAAACAAACTGATGAAAGTGGTTCAAGAATGAATAGTATATATATATTTATTACATTTTCAACAGTGAAATACTGTGATTTATTTATTGAATAAAAGTGATATTCTCTCACAGTGTGAAAGAATACCAAAAATGATATTCTCTCACAGTGTGAAAGGATATCAAAGTAAGTAAAAAATAATTTCTGGCCTGTCATAAGATAGAGATAGTAACTAAGCATCTTAATAGAGCTAAAACTGCAAATTTCTTCCTAAATATGTTGCTAAAATCCATGCTATGTAATGTTTTCAATCTGACACACAACTTCTAAGCTATGACGTCTCAACCGCTCAACTATGACGTCAAGCCTATGACACTGTGTTAAGAAAAGACAGAGGCAAAGGGAAAATCAAAGAAAATGTAATAAACAGAAAATTCAACGTTTTGTAGATGAATATGGAATTTATTTCACTCGTGAGACAGGATTTTTTGATATTTTCACTCGTGCTTCGCACTCGTGAAAATATCAAAAAATCCTGTCCCACTCGTGAAATAAATTCCATATTCATCTACAAAACATTGAATATCCTCTATATATATTAATTCTACAAAAATTGACAAAAAATGTGTTGAATAGTTTCAGAAATAAACTCCAGACAAAATTTGTCTACAAAGATATGGACAGACATAGGGCCATGGTAATTCCAATGTACATCCATCCCAAACTTCGTTTGCAGGGTAAAAATAACAGGAAATCCCGAGATCACTGAATATAGTTCGACTGTAAAAAAGCTCTTGCTTTCTATAATTCTAAGATCACTGATCCCCCTTTCCTGAAATATAACACTTGCTTACGTACCATCCTGGAGGTATTGATTCTCCTGCCATTAACTTACTCATCTATAATCCTGAGATCACTGATCCCCCCTGCTGATGACTTACTCCTCTATAATCCTGAGATCACTGATCCCCCCTGCTGATGACTTACTCCTCTATAATCCTGAGATCACTGATCCCTCTGCTGATGACTTTCTCTTCTATAATCCTGAGATCACTGATCCCCCCTGCTGATGACTTACTCATCTATAATCCTGAGATCACTGATCCCCCCTGCTGATGACTTACTCCTCTATAATCCTGAGATCACTGATCCCCCCTGCTGATGACTTACTCATCTATAATCCTGAGATCACTGATCCCCCCTGCTGATGACTTACTCCTCTATAATCCTGAGATCACTGATCCCTCTGCTGATGACTTTCTCTTCTATAATCCTGAGATCACTGATCCCCCCTGCTGATGACTTACTCATCTATAATCCTGAGATCACTGATCCCCCCTGCTGATGACTTACTCATCTATAATCCTGAGATCACTGATCCCCCCTGCTGATGACTTACTCCTCTATAATCCTGAGATCACTGATCCCTCTGCTGATGACTTTCTCTTCTATAATCCTGAGATCACTGATCCCTGTGCTAATGAATTGCTCCTATATAATCCTGAGATCACTGATTTCCCTGCTAATGACTTACTCCTCTATAATCTTGAGATCACTGATCCCCCCTGCTGATGACTTATTCTTCTATAATCCTGAGATCACTGATCCCCCCTGCTGATGACTTACTCCTCTACAATCCTGAGATCACTGATCCCTGTGCTAATGAATTGCTCCTATATAATCCTGAGATCACTGATTCCCCTGCTAATGACTTAGTCATCTATAATCCTGTGATCACTGCTCCCCCCCCCCCCCCTTCATTCACTTACTCTTGCTCCAGCTGTTTTTGTTTCTGTAGCTCCAGCTGTTTCTGAGCTTCCTCCTCCCGTCGCTGTCTCTCTTTCTCCTCCGCCTCCCGGCGTAAGCGGTCCTCCTCTTCCTGTCTGCGGAAGAAAACAAAATCATGATATTAAAGATTTTCATCTACAAGAAAATGGTTTTACAAATTAAAGTGTGTCACTGTGTGTGTGTATAAAAAATTAAAATAGTAAGTAAAATAAGACAATTTTAACTAAAGCACCTCATTGGTAGATACTGGCCATTCTAAGAAAGTGATATTTATAATGAATCTAATCCCCCTAACTTTCAATAGAGATTAAAGTTGTTAGATAATATGATTTACTTTTTTCTTTGCTGTTCCTGTTTTTCAGCACTGTGGGCCTCTGTAAAAGGTCTAAATAGTGGACATAGAGAGTCTAATTGCTTAACAAACTCAGCCATAGCCGTGCTCTGTGACATGTCCCCAAGGGCCTGCCAGGCTTGCCTGTTAATAAAAACCAGACATTCTTAAAATACATTTTAAACACACTTGAGATATTTTATTTTATTCAATCTTTACAGATCATCCATGATACTTAACAATATCAGTGTATCTGAGGTGGCAGGGGAAAATATGATCATTTTGTGTAAAATGAGCATTGTCCTTTTTTAAAACTCATTTCTTTTAAGCCATTTTTTAATGAAAATACTACAAGGTGACCCAAATGTAAATAAATGACATGAGAAATCATGTATGAAGTTTGTGTCTTTGAATTCTAACAAGTGTATACAAATTGGAGAGTGTATTGACAACATAACAAATGTACAACAATCCTCATACAACATAATGTCCTGTAAACAATGAGTTCACCTGAGAAACAGTGCGAACTCTAGATCATCAATAGATCATGCTAGACATAACACACAGTCTTATCTACTGAATCAATGGGGTTAATCTATGTTAAAATGATGTTACATCCATCAAAGAATTTCATCATGCCAGCAGACTTTGGAAATTTTTGTACTTACACCAATCAACAAAAACTGTTCTTCTTTATAAATAATAAAGAAATGGACAATGATTTCATGTGTTCCTTTGAAATAAACAGCAGAGTAAAACAAGCATAATTCAGGGAAAGAAATAATTTCAAGGCAATCCTGTGCTTTAATAATCTTAATCAACATATATTCAAATGCACTAAACTAATGATATGTTGTTTTTGGTGCACTGCAGAAATGAGCAAAGAGAAAGCAGAACTAGGTTAAGGTAATGAAACCAATTAGATCTCTTATACTGCACCCAGATGAAAAAAAAGAGTGTTTCCTCGATTATTTTAAATGATTTTAAGTGCAATCCATCATCATTTGGAGATATGCTGTAATAATCAACAGTAAAACTTGCACTATACTACATAAATAAATCCTCATAAGCAGCAAAAGACCAGTTACAATACATAGTTTGGGAAATGGTTACCATGGATACAATGTCTGTAAATGATGCTCTACTTACCATTCACTGGGATTGGTACTTAAACTAGGGAGACAAAAAAAAATATGTCACCAATCCAGTCTAGTAATCTGGGATTGGTACTTAAACTAGTGGAGACAAAAAAATATATGTATCGTCACCAATCCAGTCTAGTACTCTGGGATTGGTATTAAACTAGGGAGACAAAAAAAATATGTCACCAATCCAGTCCAGTTTACTCTGGGATTGGTACTTAAACTAGGGAGACAAAAAAATATATATATATTCTCACCAATCCAGTCCAATACTCTTTAGATTATGCAACACTGACATTGTGAACGTTCACAGGCATGTGTAAGGAGGATATGTTTACAGACATGTATAGGAATAAGGTGTACATTTGTTATGTTGACATTTGCATCTCAGACTGACAAACATATTATACTATTTACAGATTCAATAAAGATGTTTGGGATGCAACAAAAACTCAATGCACCATTTTGGTCATGGTTTTCATTCCATAGCCTATACTTAATTGATGTAAACATAAAATAGCTCTTCCGAGCTAATGTTGTTTTTGTTGTCAAAACCTGACTTGGATTTTGAAATGGATTAAACTGCATTTAATCACCTCCCCATGGAAAGGGCAAAACTCTTTTGAAGAAGCTTGAATCCTTTCACTAAGCATGCCTTATGCTAAGTTTGGTTAAAAATGGTACAACGGTTATAAAGAGTAAATTGTATGGGGACATACATGTACATACATACAATTTAGGACAGAAAACATTGAAGAATCTAGTCTAGGTAGGCTAGAAATAACATGACAGATGTCTTTGGCAAAACTTTGGAATCTTAACGTAGACATAACAGATATATTTTTGTGTGTGTTGGGTACAATCTGTTGACAAGAGGAGTAATTTAATTTACTCCCATTCTCTTATCACATAACAGGTGTTCCTCCAAAGATTCACATGACATATAAACACAAAATTATTGAAAAATGTCAAAAAAGAATATATAACTTATTCAAATTGTAAATATTCTAAAATGATCTATTTAAAAAAAAAAAATCATTTTTGCCAATTTTGCAGTTTTTAACTTTTACAGAGTTGAATATATTTGCCTTATTTCAAAGCACTTTTACAAATTTTAAGTCTCTTGTTTATCTCTTTATTTCTCGTTACCTTCTGTCATTTCCCACAACATCCAGAAACCCTACTTCAGGAGAGACATCATTTCTGTACTTTCCGTACGTAGCTTGTTTTGTGTAAGCCACTAATCGAAGTTTATCCTTGTACGTCAGCTTCAGTGCTTTCCCATCTTTCTCTACAAATTTCAAAATATTTTGATTTAACTCATTATCTTTCAATAAAAAATCAAAAAGTCATCACATTCACATTTATTTATTTTACTGGGTGGGGGTGGGGTGGGGTTGGGGGGTTGGGGGGGGGGGGGCATTTGAAAACCTAACTTGGTTGATATGCATTGTAGCTGCACATTCTTTTTTTAACCTGGACATATCTAACATATATATTTTATGATACTTCATGTTCAAAGTTTTTCTTTCTTATAAGTGAATTGGAAAGCATTAATTTTTAGCCACTTTTTAACTCTATCATATTTGGTGCCCTGAATGTATATATACATGTATTAATTTGTTCCACAAACAAAAAGGTTTTGATGAAATTTTTGAAATCTCATTTATAGAATATGGTCATATAAATACTACATTGGTGGAAATTCAGGAGTAGTAATGCCTGCAAATAAAATATTTTAAGCATGGCTTTAAAATATGGCCTTATAGGGCTGTCACAGTTTCAAAATTTTTCAGGTCAGGTCGGTTCTGTAAATTTTTGGTTCGGTTTCAGGTTTTTCAGTTTGGTTATTTACATCTTTTTTAAACCTTAATTTCATGAACTAAACTTGAAAAATCTTTATTTGTTACATTAAATTCACCTTGAAAACAAATCTTAATCATGTTAACATCTTGACATCAGTGTTTAGGACTACAACATGACCACTTTTGCTTGTTTTGATAATTATTCCATCCTTTTGGGACAAGTGTTTTGTCATGGATGAAGTAAATTTCAGTTGTGATGTTATTTATCAATATTACTGATGTCATTCTTTTGATTTCAACACCATTTTTTGTATAAAACAGTTTTTAATATATAAACCAGACCCGAACCGAAATCCAGAAAAATGGTACCGAAACTGAACCAAACAACTTGGAGAGTCTCATCAAGATATTAATCACTTAATTGTAACTTAAATGTCAATCCAGTGATATTGAATACATAGTACTGTAAATGACTTCAAATTTGATAACATGACCCATTCTGGTAAAAATGCTTGCAATTTCATCCTTAAATTATTTTTTTGACTGTGACCTTTTTTCCTACAAGTTTGAACTTTCATTGTGGCTCCACCCTATCCCCAGGGGGTCATGAATTGAACAAACTTGAATCTACATTATCTGAGGATACTTCCATACATTTTTCCTATGTTTTCTTATGTAAAACTTTGATCACCCTTTGTGGCCCCACCCTACCCCCAGGGGTCATGATTTGAACAAACTTGAATCTACACCATCTGAGGGTGCTTTCATATAAATATGACCAATCACAGCTTTGCTGTTCTTGAGAAAGAGATTTTTAAAGATTTTTCCTATATATTCCTATGTAAAAGTTTGATCGTCCACTGTGGCCCCACCCTACCCTGGAGGTCATGATTTGAACAAACTTGAATCTACACTACCTGACAATGATTCCACATGAGTTTCATCTTTCCTTGCCCATTGGTTCTTGAGAAGAAGATTTTTAAATGATGACAATAATTTTTACTATTACGTAATTATCTCCCTTGGTGGAAGGCGTGGACCTTCGTTTGAACAAACTTGGATCCCCTTCACCCAAAGACACTCTGTGCCAAGTTTGGTTGAAATTGGCCATTAAGTTCTGGAGAAGAAGATGAAATTGTGAAAAGTTTACAATGACAACACCAATGCCGACAGACAACGGACAAATTTTGATTAGAAAAGCTCACTTGAGCCTTCGGCTCAGGTGAGCTAAAAACTTGCTCTTGTTGCATTCCAATTAATAAATGACTTGAACAAACCAGGCTCTGTTTCAGAATGGTGTACATATATTCAGTATTGTGTTTTCTTTCATGTCTGTTTGAAAATTTAAACTGAAAACTGCTGAAATAAGAAGATTCTAAAATAATGTATTTCTGTACATTAAATGAAGGAGGGTATTTGCGATCATATATTTTTGCAGGGTCTTGTTTTACACTAGATTTTTATCACTACATTATATCTACAATTTTTCTACAAAATTTGAATGAGATCTAGCTTTGGAAATAATTTTAAATTTTTTCTATCCTTTTCTGTCTAATCACACATCAGGGCTAGAAATAATGATTTTTTTTCACTGGTTACTCAGGCTATCACCTTAAATTTTTACTGGTCTACTCAGTACTTTCACTGTCCCACTGGGCCAGTAGATTTAAAAAAGACTGGCCCAAAACCATAAAAATAATAATATATTGTTTATATTGTGATAATAGCACAACTTAGCAAAACAAGAAACAATAGAAATTGGATGCACAACCCTGTCAATGACCATGAATGTATTTTGATATGCATTAAAAAAAACACTGACCCAAAGGGCACATGCCCTCTACAATGTACTAGCCTAGATTATAAATTCACTGTCCCCAGAACAGCAGGCAATCAATTATTTCGAGCCCTGACACGTGCCGTAAAGAAGCAGTGAACCAACACACATCAGTATAGGTGTAAGCTTTGTAAATTTTTTTTTATGGTATACAATTGTGCTTGCCACAGTGATAATGTAAAACTTAATAGCCAATGCAGCGAGCTTTAACAGGTCTGGATGATTTCCAAATATGGAAGTGAAGAATGGTAATCGTAAATTGTATAAATACACAGAATAAACAAGGTGCTAATCCTTCTGACCAATTCAATAACTCATTAACTGCATTTAGACAAAAAGATTTTTTTAGAACAAACTTTTTGTAAACTTTATGCATATTTAGGAATGATAAAGTATATATGACTTACAATTCTACCATGAACAAATGCGACTTGAAAGCTTAGAATAAATTCTGAGTGGGATTAAAAATCTGTCACTAAGAGGTAGTATCCCCAAAAGTTTAACTTGTGTTAAGAAATTTGATATAAATGCGGCAGATTTTCATTTTTCATAGCCTAACATGAAAATGTTCTCATATGGGAATAAAACAGTCTTAATTATTTCCTGAGTGTTTATTACATTGTACAAAATTGTCCATGCAGTTTCTGGTATGCGAGGCAAGATATGGTGATAAAAATAATTCAGACATGCAAATTCCCTTTTCTCCATGTTTTTCATCTTTCCTTACGTCCATTTAAAGTGTATATAATATGGTATTCGGCACTCATGAAACCCGTGTTATTTTAAAACTACATGTAGTCTACATGATGAATACTTGTGTGCATTAGATTTATACGCATGGAAACCATGCGTTATCGATAAAAATCAGACGGCTTAGCAAAATTATATTTACCAACATAGAGTATGTTCTTATAAATGTTATAATTGTACTTGATAATAGCTTGACAATGTGATCTATTCCTCCATAAACGATCGCATTGTTACATGCATTAATTTTTTCTTTTCCGAGATGAAAATGTCAAGTTTGTTCACGGTAAATATGTGGGGAATACCTTATTCTTCCAAACTCTTCATCTTACTTCTAAAGATTTTTTGTCAAAAAATCTTTTTGAGGAGAAAAAAACAAAAGCACGTGTTCTCTTTTTGTTCCTTTGAAATATGTTTTGGGGTGTGTAAATATGCTGTTGTCTGATTGGGCAGAAAAATATTTATGTGTATATGATGTATATTTCAGTTATCGTTTTTGACTTCCATATTTGGAAATTGTCAAGACCTGTTCAACGACAAAGCCTGGGCGAAGATAAAATTCGGACTGTGCATATTCATCCAAACGAATTTTAATCAGCAGTAATCTCTGGACCCACAATGCAACGCTTACTGCATCTCACCACAAACTTCGTTCTCGCGGTAACAAAAAAAAGTTCAACAAAGAAATAAACTCACCTTGATTTAAAGAATATTGCAGATAAATAGCAGGTTAAACTTTCTATATTTAAAATTAGCATTGTTCAGGCTTCTGTTTAGTAATGCAACTTACGTACGACGTCATGTGAAGTCAGAGTCTGGAGGTACCAAATGTCATGTGCGGATAGAATAGACAGATCTAAATTAAAACTGAATAGGTAGATGTGCTCGCCCAAACGGTCGCACCGTCAACATTTTAAAGGTTTCAAATTCACAAGTATTTCTAAAATCTACGATAATTCCCTGATCAGTTGATAGCTAGAATGTGAAATGTTTGATTCGAGAAAAATTAAAATGAGTTTGCAAAAGAAAATGTGAGGTAGCGAAAGTTTTATTATAGTGTACGGGTGGTCAAAAAGAAAGACATATTGATTGTGACAAGCCCCTGTGGCTACATTCTTCTGATGTTCCATGAATAATGTTATGTCATGATGCTAAGTTATCGTCTACACAACTAAAAGTTCAGACTGATTTCTCGCCATGTAATTTACCGAGACTGGCGAGATGGGTTAACCGGGTTAGGGTCAAACACAATCCGATATTATCAACGTATAGATCAAGTACCTTTAAAAAATCTAACAGCAAGTTTGTAGAGCTCAGGGAGATTAAAACCCCAGCTTTTCGCAAATTCATCTCCATCTTCTTTGCTTTTATCATTGCCGTGAACACTTATATTGGTGACACCATTCACAAGCGACTGCTCGGCCTCCGCCATCTTGGATTTAGCCACGTCGGATTTATAGATAAGTCGTGCTTATTCGAGATTACAAGTTTGGAACCATTGCAGTATCTATATTTTCCGTATTTTATCAAACAAATTGATGAATAAAATTTTGAATGTATACATTTTTAGAATAACAAATATACTATCATAATGTAGTCGATTAGAAAATTTGTAAATTAGCCTATTGAATCGAAATTTTTGTTCTTGATGTAACTTTGGAAAAATTCGCGCGAAACATCAAATTGCTGCAGCAGTGGAAAAGGCGGTATAGCGCGGTAGGTAGTAGAAGTGTGAAAAAAAGGTACCGTATACAAATTGCTTGTCACATTTTTAAGCTGTATTTGTTTGCATGGCTAGGGGCTGGATTCTACAGCCACAATAAAAAGGAAATAATATGCAACAGCTAGTTTGCATAAACCATGGTACCGGGTACGTTCGCCCTATCTACCTGTTCGCATATATGGCAAGAAATTAGCCCTGACTTTCAAGTATGTTCATTTGTAACCAGTAACAAGGGTTACAAAAGCCTGTAACTGAGTAGCATTTCCTCAGTTATTTAATGGTTACAATGGTTACAGTGGTTACAGTGGTTAATAGGGCTGTCACGGTTCCAAAATTTTTCGGGTCGGGTCAGTTCCGTAAATTTTCGGTTCGGTTTCGGGTTTTTCGGGTCGGGTATTTACATCTATTTTAACCCTTAATTTCATGAATTTAACTTGAAAAATCTTTATTTGTTACATTAAATTTACATTGGAAACAAGTCTGAACCATGCAAACGTCTAGACATCGGTGACTTGGCCTACTATTAGCCACAACCTGACCATTCCTGCTCATTTTGATAATTATCTAATACTTCCGTGACAAGTGTTTTGTCGTGGAATGAAGTAGATTTCAGTTGTGATGTTTATTTATAACTGTTATCATCATCATTACTTTGATTTCGACGCCATTTTTTGTATTGAACAGACTCTAATATATAAACCAGACCCGAACCGAAATCTGGAAAAATGGAACCGGAACCGAACCGAACAACTTGGACTGCGGTTCTCGGTTATTTCGGGTACTCGTGACAGCCCTAGTGGTTAAAAATGGGGACTTTATGGTACAATTTTCACTTTTAGCTGGTTACAATGGTTACAGTGGTTACAGCAGTTACACTGTGGTTAAAAAATAAGATTTTATGGTACACAATTTTCACTGTGTGGTTACAATGAGTTCTTCTATTCCTTGTGACATGACCTTTATTTGGGTACCATCATATTTGACCTTTTGACCTTGACCTTGGAGTTTGACCCAGTTTTACAAAATTTTACCCAACTTTAACCTTGGCCATTACTTTTGAATAATTGGTGCTAGGGCTTTCATACTTCACAATAATCCTAGTGACAAGACCTTCATTTGGATACTAACAACTTTGACCCTTTGACCTTGACCTATGATTTTGATCTACTTTTGAAAAACTTTAACCTTGGGCATAACTTTTGAACAGTTGATGCTAGGGCTTTCATACTTCACATGTGTAATCCTTTTGAAAATACCTTCCTTTTGATACCAACAACTTTGACCCTTTGACCTTGACCTTGGAGTTTTACCTACTTTTGAAAAAACTTTAACCTTGGCCATATCTTTTGAACGGTTGGTGCTAGGGATCTCATATTTCACTTGTGTATTTCTTGTGAGAAGGTCTTTCCTTGGGCACCATTAATTTTAACCATTTGACTTTGACCTTAATGTTTGACTTACTTTTGAAAAACTTTAACCTTTTCCATATCTTCTCAATGGTTGCTGCTAGGGCTTTCATATTTCATAGGTATATTTTTCTCAGGACAATACCTTACTTTGGATACCAACATATTTGATTTGCATTTGAGAAAGTTTAACCTTCGCTGTAAGTTGCCATACGGGGGCATCAGTGTTTCACAAACACATCTTGTTTTCCAAATGTTGCTACAGTAATTTTTTTAAAAAAATTTAATCTTAATTAAATAATTCAAATTTGATATTAATGCTTTTTACGTGCTTAATTGGTTTAATTATACTTAATAATGTCACTGTAATTTGGAGGTTCATATCCATGTTTTTTTGTTTTTTTTACAATCTGTGATGTTTTGAAAACAATCAAAGGACTGAGACATTAATACTTGTAGGCCCATTATGGAGCTGAGCAGCAGATGAGCAAGGTTTTACCTCTGAAGATTGATAATTTCACACATAAAATCCAAACCTTTGATTTAAAAATGATATATAAGAAGAAGGAAAATAAAAATTCATCAAACTACTATGATACGCCTGTTGTTTCCCATGTGCAATTTATGTACCAATGTACATATAATTTATTGAAAAAAAATCCATTGGTTCATTATTCAACTTTCTGCAATATAAATAGGGCAAATGGACAATGTGTGAACAAGTTTTAGGGCGATTGGATTCTGGGCAAATGAGAATTAGGGCGAACGGCATCAAGGGCGAACAAATTTTAGGGCGAACGAACATACAACCATAAACCACAGGCACTTGTTTCGTATACGGGGCACCATAGTTGCCAACTCGCCCGATTTCGTCGGGTTACACCCGATTTTCCGACCCTTAACCCGATTATTTTTTATGACACGGCGGGTCATGCTTTTCACCCGATTTTTGCTTAGCCATGTACTCCAAGATCTTCGCATCTCTTTCAGTGTGATTTTCTCAGTTTTTTAAAAAAATTATTAGCTCTTCTGAGCCAAAGGCTCAAAGAGCTAATGCTATGGCCATTTGTGCGGTGTGCGTAAACTTTTTAGAATATGGGCCATAACTCAAGAACCCCTTGGCCAATTATTGTCAAATTTGTCACAGGGTATCCTTGGCCCAAGGGCTCCCATTTATACTAAAACTAGGGTTGTGACCCTTAAACAAGGGGAGATAATTAGGAAAATAGAAACAAAAGTACTCGTTGCTAAAAAATCTTCTTCTCAAGAACCACTGGGCAGATTATCACCAAACTTACATAAAAGGATGAGGATATGTTGTAGATTAAAATTTGCACGGGGATTTACCCTGGGGCAAAGGGCGTGGTCTCAAGGTCACTTCAAAGTTGACCAAAAATTACATTTTATTAAAATGTTGATATTTTGCTTACTATAAGGACTAGGATCATCAAATCTTGTCAGTTGATGCATCTAAGGACCTCATATCATGTTGACTCAAAAGTAGGTCAAGGTGACCTACTTTTTGAATTTTGCGGGCATTCTTTTTCAAAATGATTTAGAGGCATATTTTGAACAATACAAGGCCTATGATCATCAAACTTTGTCAGTTGATGTATATTGGGTCCTCGAAGTATGTCAACCAAAAAGTAGGTCACCTTGACCTACTTTTTGAATTTTATGGCTTATCTTTTTCAAAAGAATTAAGGCCATTAATTCGAATACTGAGAGGTTTAGAATCATTAAATCTTGTAAGATGATGCATCTTGGGGCCATAAAACATACTTATTAAAAAGTAGGTCACAGTGACCTACTTTTTGAACTTTGCAGGCATTCGATTTCAAAGCGTTTTATAGGCATAATTTAGACATTTTGAGGCCTATAACCATAAAACTTTGTAAGTTGATGCATCTTGGGTCCTCAAAAAACAACAACTGAAAAGTAGGTCACCGTGACCTACTTTTGAAAATTTATGGCTTTAATTAAATATTTCAGGTACTTATTGGCTTAGAATCATCAAACTTTGTCAGTTGATGCATCTTGGGTCCGTGGAGTACAACAACTGAAAAGTATGTCACGGAGACCTACTCTTGAATTTTTATGGCTGTATTTAATATTTTCGTGTACTATTTAGCTTAGAATCATCAAAATTTGTCAGTTGATGCATCTTGGGTCCTCAGAGTAGGTTGACTGAAAAGTAGGTCACCTTGACCTACTTTTGAAAATTTATGACTTTAATTAAATATTTTGGGTACTAATTGGCTTAGAATCATCAAACTTTGTCAGTTGATACATCTTGGGTCCTTGGAGTAGGTCAACTGAAAAGTAGGTCACCGTGACCTACTTTTGAAAATTTATGGCTTTAATTAAATATTTCAGGTACTAATTGGCTTAGAATCATCAAACTTTGTCAGTTGGTGCATCTTGGGTCCTTGGAGTACAACAACTGAAAAGTAGGTCACTTTGACTTACTTATAGAATTTTATGGTTATAATTAAAAAAAAACATTTTAGGTACTAATTGGCTTAGAATCATCAAACTTAGTTGATGGGTCCTCAGAGAATGACAAGTGATAAGTAGGTCACCATGACCAACTCTCAGGTACTAATTGGCTTAGATTCATCTTGGGTTCTCAGAGTGTGAATTGGAATTTCAAGGGTTTATCTAAATATACAGGATACTTAGAGGCTTCAAATAAAAGTGATAGGTTGTACAGTATATCAGAAGAGCGATTCAAGGCCCTTGGGCCTCTTGTTTTTTTTATTCTTCAGTTTCATTCACGTCATTCAAATGTGTACTTATTCCTAAATTGAAGTGTTTGCTGCCAAATAAATATTGTATTCCACGTGAAGTTTATTCTTTGGTGGTGCATGTACTTGTCCACTAATCCACGTTAATATATTGGCAAGGAAGCATATCAGTGACAAGAAATAGCATGAAGCGATCTGGTGATCAAGATCTGATACCCCACTGTCATTGGCTGTTGAAATCTGCTGTTGCAGAAAGTAGTAAAAGAAATTGATAGGATCTGAATGAAAAAAACCCAATATGACCGGCCTTTACATACAGAATTTAATCGGCCATTATGTCTGTTCAGTGTTAAACTTATAGGCCATTTTGGCAGTTAAATTTTATTTTTTCCGGCCATTTAGAATTTTTATCGGCAAATGGCCGATGGCCGACGGCAATCTGAATACTTTTTTTGTATCGATGATTTCATAGATTTCAAGCACATGTTTGACAATGACAAGTGCACAAATCTCCGTAATTCCATTGGTTACGACGAATTTCATCAATATCCCCACCAAGAAAAAGGGAGATATAGTATTCTAGAACTGGATGAAAACTTCTGACATCGTCCATAAAAATGAAAAAGGGAATCAGCATTTATTTAATACTTTTTTTGCATCTCTAATTTCGTTTTCAGTCATTGTGGGAAATCCATTTTTTTAGCGAAAGAAACGAGCTAGTTTTAGATCTGAATTAAACAATGTCATCATTTTCTGTATTTGATAGCTAAATGAACATTTAGAATTATTGCTTCCGGGCTATATCAACAAAGATTACCCTTTAAAAGGCTAAATTAAGCAGCCAATCAAAGCCAAAGTGATGAGCATGAAAAATATTTATAATTATATTTGTATAATTTATGTCAAACTTAAGATGTTTTTTTTTTTGTCTACTTCATTGCAGTTGATATTTGAGTTTAATTATTTTAGTGGTCATTTAAGGCCATATTTACAGAAATCAATGCATAAAACAACTCAGGCAATGCTACCTCTTTTGAGGCCTGAACCTCTCTCTTTTTCATTGCAGTAGGTTAACGTGTATGCAAAAATATTCTTGGAATATTCAATAGTCATTTGTTAAAATGAAAGAATCAGTAGAGGAAAAAATGAAAAGCACTACACATGCAAAAGGATTTTATCTATCTTCAGATGGCAAGAACCAAGCAGACAAGCAGGCAGAATTCAAAAAAAAATTCTTTTCCAAGGGCAACATTTCAGCCAGTGAGTATAAATCTATAATGTCACAAGTTATGCTATGAAGCTTTTGTATACTTGCGGACTCTAAATTATATGGTATTTGTATGTAGCACAAAACACGAGCACACTATACACTTGACAATATGTTATCTTCAGATTGGCTTTAACAAGTAGATATATCAGCACTTTTTGCAGAGGATGGGTTAAAGGTGCATATATAATGTTTTTTAATTTGTTTATGATCTGTACAAAATACAATTTACCAGAAGTGTTTTATTCTTTAATTAGGCCCGTCAGAGGAAACGTCCCAGAAAACCCAAAGCTGAGCGTTTATGGATGACTGAACGAGAAGCCAGAGCCCCGTGGCTTTACCTGCCGTACCGCTATGATCCCTGGAACAAATCCGATTCGGATTCTGATACAGAAGATGAGATGGGTCATGATTATTTGGATGACGAGGTTCTGTTTGGGAGTCTCCGTGGTAACATAGTTGGGATTCGCTATTATACTGGAATTGTAAGTTTATCATTTACAAATTATTTTAAACATATTAAAACAGTTCTAAAAATAGTCAATCTTCCTGTTGTGTACTGCATGACTTAAATGGGATTGATTATTGTTTGATACACTGCTTTAACTTAAGATTTTAATTTCACTTGTAGGTGAACAATAATGAGATGGTGGCATTGGAGAGAGAACCACAAAATAAGTTTGATAGAAATGCCATAAAAGTGGTCAATATGGTCCGTCAACAAGTAGGACACATTAAACGAGAACTGGCTGCAGCATTAGCACCAATTATGGACAGTGGTTGGGCCAGATTGGAGGGGTAACTTACTTTGTTACGATCAAAACTATTTAAGGAAGAATGTACAATTTTCACCTGACAAAAAGAAACTGAATCTAAAACACCTGATGCTATCAAAAAATTGTGTGAATTGAAGAAATTTCAGGTGAAGTGAGAGAAAAAAAAAGACAAACAAGGTAAATTTGATTCCAATATTATGACAGAATAGTTCCATTTGGGAGTCAGAACCAGTTTAGTATGCCAGTAGACATCACTCTATGGGGCAGACCAGAACACAAGCAGCAAACCATTGCAAGGTTAGAGAGAAGTGGTATTAGGATGAAGGTGGCCAGTGATCCTGTGGGCGGGGCCCTGAACTCAGCACCAGGACCGAATTCTGGTATGATGTATGGAGTGGTGTCAAACAGAAGAACATTCCTAACTCCAGCAGAGGTAAAATTCTCTCTACTGATTGCTTAGCTCACTTTTGGTGCCTCGAGAACTTTGTTATTTTACAGGAAGAGAAAGGAAAAAAAATGTTAAGAGGATACTGTGTTCGTTTAATTTATCTTCATTAAAAAAATGACATCTGTGGCATGTAAACAAATGAAAGAGGGTCTCAAAATTGTTAACAGGTCAGTGGTCCAAGTTGCAACTAAAATGGTCACATTTGCTACCAAAAAATTAATTTTGCAACTAGAAGTAAGGCCAAAAAAATAACTTGGTTCTCAGGTCATTTTCTCAAAAATAAATGCAGGAGGGAAGCCTATTTTTCCCTTTTTAACTCATAAAAACAGACACAGGATTTTTGATTTTTTTTATGATTTCGAAACTAACAACTTTTAATCAGTAGTGCTTCAACATTGAATGTAGAAATCAAGATAGTTTATTTCCTGCTTCTTTCTCTTTTCTCTTACATCTTCTACATTCTGATGTTTGGTGTAATGAAATGACGGCATCCTAAAAATCAGTAGACATGTGTTAAACTTACAGAACTCAACACTTTTAGTGATGCATCTGGTCAATTTCTTACGTAACACAACTAATCTAAGAGTGTTTCAGCACTTATGATTTTATTAAACATTGTCAAATTTATCAGTCTTTGGTTTACCCACACTAGATGAAACGTGCAAATCTTGCTGACGTCCAAGATCCAAGGTTGAGGGAGCCTTTGATAGTGTTATTGATCGAGTTCTAGCATGGAAAAACTTTCAAAAACCCCCACTTTGTACCATGGAAGTCTTACAGTCATTCCCTTATGAATTGGCACTGAAATCAATGCCATCATGACCAAACTTAATCTTGATGCTTTAACCTGTTAACTCGACAGCCATGTTTGCGATTTTTAACTAGGCCAATAGTCTGGATCATTTTGATGTTTGTCAAACATTTTACTGATATCCAAAATGCAGTCAAAATGCGGTCAGGGATTCTGGATTTTTTTTGGCGCTGCGCCAGCGCATGAGAGAAATTTTATTTTATTCATTTGAGGATAAAAATAGGTGATGCACATTGTTGAATGAGATGCGGGCAGGTCTGAGAACCTAGTTGTTAATATTTTTAGGCCTTAAAACTAACTCGCATTTTCGCGACTGAGAACACTGGGGAAGGCAATGGTCCATTTTTATGATCAGGATCGAGATTACTTTTTCCCACAATTATCCAGAAAAAGTTTGAAGACATTCCTTAATCTTTGTAAAGTGTCGCAAAGACTGAGATTACGTAATGTTGTGACAGCATGCTGATCATGCTGTATAGAACGACTGCCAAATGTCATAGACTTTTTAAAACCCGACCTTGTTAATGGAGCATTTGGTCAATATTGCTTGCATATCATCATGTTTTGGCAATATTAACAGCAACTGTTTAATAGATTAGGTACATAGTTATGAAGTAAACATGACAAACAGCTGACAAAGTCCTATCTCAAAGTTTCCACCTGATTCTCACATGAGCAGGGTTGTGGTTAACTTTTGAAATCTTAGGGGCCATGTGGGCTCCTAACTTTTCAAAGAACAAGGTATGGTTTTAATACAATTCTTGCCCTGTGTTTTTCTTAAAAATGAAAGTGGTGTAAAAAAATTAAAACTCATGCTTTCTGAATCATTGAAATTCCATGCAAAAAGATCATACAAATCATTTTTCTCTCATGACCTTCTAAATGCTAATTGTGACGTCATAAACTTGTGCAATTTCGTATTTTCTTAAAAAGTTGCAGAAGACACCAATTTTCAATGGAATTTTCTTTCAGATAATATTGTCCACAGCCATCGCCCACAAAGATTTTGAGATATGTGATTTTTCAAAGAATTTTACACAACATATCCAAAAATTAAAGTGGGCGATGGCTGTGGACACTATTTTCTTAAGGAAAATAACCCTTGAAATGAGTCATTTTGAGGCATTTTCTGTTTAAGATAGAGAAATGAATCAAATTGATGACGTCATATTTCCAGAATGGTACTCCTTCATGCCATATTCTTTCCTGATTTATCACAGTCATATACTCAACTAATATTAAATCCAGTTTCAAAACTTTTTGAAAACATTAGATTTTTAGGGCACAATAAAGCTAAAACCGTACCTTCTTCTTTTACGGGCCTACGATGATTCACGGGCCCACATTATAAGTCAATTAAAAATAACAACAACAAAAATCCCAAATTTTTCTAATTGATTTTTTTATTCGTAGTATCGATATGTTCGCAGTAAATGAATTTTTGTCATGTTTTCTCTTTTCTAAAAACTTCGATCCGATAATATGTTCATTTTGTAGTGTTTAACCTTATATAACTGAAGCATCTATGGTTTAACAAGGGGGCATATTAAATAAGAAATAACATACAACCTGCGATGAAGTTTGATCCCGATCTTTTATTGTGTGCATTTGACACGGTAATTCAAATTCTATCAGTGAATAACTACTCGGATGGAGTGTGTGACAACCATAGCCGATTGTTACAATATTTCTATTAGAACAATCTCAAACATTTGCTCTCATATCACAGGTTTAACGGAGATTTCACCACTTCGATAAATTGCCATGTTTGATCTCAGTCACGTACATGTTTGAATAAAATGCTTGTAGGCAACACAAATAATCTAGGATAGTAGAGCGTTTTCTTAAAAACTGAAAGTACATAAAATATAAAACTGAAATGTGATTATGTTCCGGAAAAAATCGTTCGCCATGTGGGCGACCAGATTTTTAATATCTAATCGCCCACAGCAAAATTTACTCGCATTTGCGAGTGGGCAAGTGGTTATCCACAACCCTGCATGACTCAAACTTGTAGCAATTTAATTGGATTTAACTTTAATTCTAGGATAAAATCATTTGTGTTCTGTGTGCAATCATATGGGTGGTTTTATGTAATAACAATATTTCATAAGTGGTTCCTGTAGTATGGTAAATTGTTTAGTCACAGTAATAAGTAATCTTTGATTTAAAAAAAAGGCATATATGTACATAAATGAGTGTTTGTTCTTTGCTCTTATGTCATACACTGTACTAAATGTGTTATTCACAAAAAGTTTTCACCATGGTGAGTGAAATATCTGTTGATGGCAACTAGAAATTTCTTTAATGGCAACCCCCCAAAAACTTTGGGTTGCCATTTAGGATAGTAAGTGTGACTTGGAGCACTGCAGGTCAAGGTTTGTCACTAACTTTTCTGGGCATTAGTCCAGCAGGACAGTGTTTCTTCACTTTTACTAGTGCTCAGGCATTTTTGATAGTCCTTTAAAAAAATGAAATATAATATTTTGTAATGATTTTATGCAAAAAGTTAATAATTATTGCATTGTACTTTCTATATTTCTCTTTGAAATAAACAAAGCATTTATGTGAAGTGTTTTATTCCACAAATTTGTTGAAATCTTGCAATCAGCAACTTCTATCATATTCTGAGTCTTGTTCCTTTTACGTTTTTAAAAACTAATGGTAAAAATGACTTTTTTTAAGGTGAAGAATGAACTTGACAAACTATTTGAGAGTTTGAATGAGGGTGATAAAACGACTCCATCCGAACCTACAGAGGTACAGTGTAGTAGTGAATTGGTAAACAATATATTTACATCCACTAAATATTGTCTCCTTTATTTCATATGAAAAAAATATTGCCATCATGACTACATTAACAATAAACTAGTAATAACCATATTTTTGGCCAACAATAAAAAATGATTTGTTTGCACTATGACCGACCTGGCAAAATCACCCCTACCTGAATATTTTTTAATACTTTGAATTTTTTGTTTTTTGTTTCCAGGGAATTACAGATTGTCCATATTATATTTAAAGTTAATATCATTTGTCAAAGACAGTCTTTAGTTTGAAAATATTTACTGCAGTAGATATTAAATACCGGTATGTGTAGCTGCATGTTCCATGTACATGTATATTGAAAATGTCAATTTCTTTGATTTATTGAGGATTGTAAATGTGTACATTAAGGAAAAATCCTACCTACCTATTTACCCACCTTAAAAAATGTGGACCAGAGTACATCAAACAAAAAAATCTTTTAATAATGGCCTTATAGCAATCTGTTTGAATCAATGTAACATACGGACCAATAAGTTCAATATTGCCAACTTTATACAAAAAGGTAATTTATACAGATGTAAACAATGAAATTGTCTTTCAATGATAAACAATGAAATGACTTTCTTTGTTTGTTCATGCAGGGAATAATAATGAATTGACGGATTTCTGCGATTTTCATTCCCTGTGACTTTAAAATACATGTATTTTGAGAATTAACAAATTAAGTTTATAACGAAGCAAAATCATCCTTTCCTGGCACTTCTTATAAGCATGTTGTACCATACATAGGAATAACTTATAGAAATGTCCCCATGAACCAGTAAAATTTTAACCCTAAAGATTAAAATGATTCACAGTATCCATGAATATAAAAAGAACTCTTTTTAAAGGCAATATCCAGTGCTATGTATAAACATCAGAAGCAGGCTCTGCACTGGATGATTCAGAGAGAGAATGGGAATCAGCTGCCCCCTTTCTGGGAGAACAAGAATGGACAGTACTTCAACTCTGTGACCATCTTCACAACCAAAACCAAGCCAAAGAGTGTCTGTGGAGGTAGGAATACTAATGTTGTATTTACTAAAAAAAGCAAGCCAAAGAGTGTCTGTGGAGGTTGTACACGAGGTGTTTGCAATTACAAGAATTACCTAATAGCCCAGGGGCTAGTGGCAGTTACAAAATTACTAGCCTGAAGTTTTTAATTTAATAATTTAATAACAGCAACACCTATATATATGTACAATTAAAAGCCTAAAAATATGGTTAAGTTGAGAATTGTCAGTTTTTAGCTCACCTGAGCTTTTCTGATCAAAATTTGTTTGTTGTCTGTCGTCGTCGTTGTTGTCATCGTTAACTTTTCATCACATTTTCATCTTTTCCTCAAGAACCACTGGACCAATTTCAACTAACTTGGCACAGAGTATCTTTGGATGAAGGGGATTCAAGTTTGACCAAATGAAAGGCTACACCCTCTTCCAAGTGGAGATTACTAAGAAATAGTGAAAATTGGGTGGGGGGATTTAAAAATCTTCTCAAGAACCACTGGGCCAGAATAGATGAAACAAATGTGAAAGCTTCCCTACATAATGTAAATTCAAGTTTGTTCAAATCCTGACCCCTGGGGGTAGGGTGGGGCCACACTGGGCGATTAAATCTATAGGAAAATTCTTTAAAATTCTTCTTCTAAAGAACAGAAAGCCATGACTGGTGATATTTAAATGAAAGCATCCTCAGGCAGTGTAGATTCAAGTTTGTTCATACCATGACCCCCCGGGCTAGGGTGAGGTCACAATGAGTGAACAAAGTTTTACATAGAAATATAAAGAAGAAATCTTTAAAAATCTTCTTCTCAAAAACAGCAAAGCCATGATTGGAAATATTTATATGGAAGCATCCTCAGGTAGTGTATATTCAACTTGTTCAAATCATTAATCCCTGGGGCTAGGGTGGGGTCACACTGAGTAAACAAAGTATTACATAGAAATATCTAGGAAAAATTTTTAGAATCTTTTCATGAGCAGCAAAGCCATGATTGGTGATATTTATATGGAAGCATTCTCAGATAGTGTAGATTCAAGTTAGTTAAAATCATGACCCTGGGTGTTGGGAGGGTCCACAATGGGCGATCAAATTTTTACATAGGTATACATATGAAAAATCTTCTGTAAAGGCATGATTAGACATATTTATATGGAAGCATCCTCAGGTAGTTTACATTCAAGATTGTTCAAAGTATGACCCCCAGGAGTTTGTAGGGCCGAGGGGCCATAATTGGTGATCAAAGTTTTACATGAGAATATATAGGATATATTGTTAAAATCTTGTTCCCAAGAATAGCAAGTCCATGACTAGTTATATTAATTCAGAAGCATCCTCATGCAATCTATATTCAGATTTGTTCAAATCATGTTGGCAAAGGGTAGGACAGGGCCACAATAGAAAATCAAACTTACAGAAAAAAATCTTCTAAAGCCATGATTAGTCAGAGAAATATGAAAGCATCCTCAGTTGGTGTAGATTCAAGTGTGAATAAATCAAGCCCCCCCCCCCCCTTTCCTGGGGGAAGGGGGGTGAATGTGATCACTTAACCTTTTCAATACTAAACTGGTTTCTGCTTTTCTCTAGCCAATGTGCTCAGGTAAGCGATGCGGCCCATGGGCCTCTTGTTATATATATAATTAATCGATTTGTTTGCAGCTTCTGGAGCTTCACTAACCTTTTAGTGTTACCACCTACATATTTGTTACTGAACCAACTATTGCTAGCAACACACAATGCATATACATTAGAATAGATTGGATGTCTTGATTTGGCAATAAAGTTTAATCTTATGTTAATTCAATTTTTCTTGCATGACCTCTAAAATTAGTAGCCCTGGGCATCAGGGGATTGTAATTGCACACCTCCAGGGCTCGACATTAACTTTTTTTCCTACTTGTCCATTCGGACAAGTTACCAAGACATTTACTTGTCCGAACTTCAACTTCACTTGTCCGAAAATTGTTCAATAAAGATACAATACTGTCAACTTGAAAACTAAAATAAAGTCCATTACATGTGCTTGATTCGTGATGTTATTGATAAATACATAAAAACAAAATTTCATCTAGACTTTCTATCCTAACAACAACATAAATGTTCACAAATGACAAATGAAACTGTCAACATCAAACAGAATCTAAACTTCGTAACTCGACGTAACTGTCATGCCTTTGCAGTAGTATGCAATTAGTGAACTTCGATCCCGATCGAGTGTGAACTCGGTTACCGGTACATAGCGATCCATATCGGGATCGAAGTTCGTTTTTTATGTACTGCTTCTGGCCTTCTGTCCTTACCGATGAACCTTCAACAGATGAACAGTCGTTCTTTTTATTATTTTAAGACTTCTTTACATTAAAATACACTTGTCCAATCGGACAAGTGCCCGGCAATATTCACTTGTCCGTAAGTTTTTTTCACTGGTACCGGACAAGCGGACAAGCGTTAATGTCGAGCCCTGACCTCTGAACATTAACAAAACCAAGCCAAAGAGTGTCTGTGGAGGTAGGAATCAGACTCATTCAGAGGGTAATTTTAGATGTAAAGTCCCCCAACAATTAACAACAAACTGTGTGAAATTTTGAAATACTACATGTATTTGTAAAATCTAGGAATACTGGCTGATGACATGGGTCTTGGAAAGACTTTGCAAACCATTGCTTTGATCTTGACAAACTTCAAGGATGGAAAACCTCTTGCTGTTCCAGTTGCTGGAAAAGTTCGACAGTCCAAGATATTACGAATGCAACGCAAAGTTCAGGTGAAACATTATAGTGAAATATTACAATAAATTAACAAAAGTTCACTAGTCTTAATTGTTTGACAGCTACAGTTGACTGTTTGTTACAGCATGGGTATAAGATATTCAGAAAAGCACTGAATTATAGTCCCTGGATGCAACATGAACAAGAACACCACAATGTGTAATAATACATGAATGTATCAACATGAATGCTAAACATATAGTTCATGTACAAAGTATCATACTAAGTACATGAACTACTGATATATGCACCAATATTTCTAACCAACAGTATTGAAATGGCCTTCCCTTGCATTGATTTCAGAGAATGGAGGATTATAAAAGCACTCCAAGTAAAGCTAAGAAGTCATTTGTCATCAAAGGGGAGCCAAATGAGATGCTAGACGACAGGAAACCTTTGGTCAATAGAAAACGTAAAACACTGGGTGACCTTTCTAGATATAGCAACACCGTGGATGACATCACTGATGAGGACAGCACTGACCTAGAGGAGGAGACAGAGGAGGAAGGTAAACAGGAGTCCTCAGAACAGTTAGACCATGTTAACATATATATAGGCATGCTGAAGGTATGGAGGCATGTTCAGCACATGTGAAGGTATATAGGAATGTTCAGCACATGTGAAGGTATATAGGAATGTTCAGCACATGTGAAGGTATACAGGCATGTTCAGCACATGTTAAGGTATACAGGCATGTTCAGCACATGTGGAGGTATACAGGCATGCTGAACTTATGGAAAGGTATAAAGGCATGCTGAAGACATGTTAAGGTATGCAGGCATACTCAGCATGTGAAGGTATGTGGGCATGCTAAGCATATTTGAAGTTACATGTTATATAGGCATGCTCAGCATAAGTGAATGTATACAGGCATGTTCACCACATGCGATTCTCGAATGGATGATAGGGTTATTATTATCATATGATACTTGAAGAAAAGTATCTGCATTCAAAGATCATATGCAACAAGCCCCTCTGTTTACTGCAATAAATTGTACATCTGATTGAGTCAACCGTTTCTGTATCAGCACAAACTGTGTGCTGGCAGATTTCTCCTGTATAGCACCACAGAGGTACTGTTGTCAGTAATTTTAATACTGGTGAAATGTGTCTGAATTTTAATTTTATTAATTCAACTTTGTAGACGGGAACAATGAACAAGTCATGTTAAAGAAAGATGATCCAGAATTCAAGTTAGAAAAAGATGCAAAGAAATTTGAAAAAATTGCATCTCCCATTGCAAGTAGGAGACCTAGAAGGTACAATTGTGTCAAATTTGACCTCTTGAATGGGGTGAAAAAAATGGTTTTTATATTATTCAACTGTCTGTCACCAAACATTATATTCTGACCCTTATGAAAATGAATTCAAACATTTGTGTGGTGTTGTCCCTGACCTAAACATATTTATAATGGAGATCTTGACTCGAGGTCACATATATCAATAAGATGTTGAAATTTTGTCACATATTATATCGAAGACGCTATATAACTGTAATTATTGATCATTTGATTTGAATGAAGTAATACTTCATATTTTGTTATCATGATCTAAATATATGTCATGAATTACATGTAAATTCATACGAGGTGGATACCTTGACGTTTTTAAATGGTGGGAACATCTGTCGTAACTTTGTTAAAACAGATATAGTAGATTGTATGTTTGAAGAGAATGGAAGCAGTAATGTATTTTTAGAATACATATGATATACATATATATTACATTTTTTTATTTGCAGAAATGTGAAGAAGCCCACCAGATATACCTACAGTAGCGATGAGGAGGAGGAGGATAAAGAAGTCAGAGAGACACCAATGAAAAGAGGTACATGTACGCAGAATAAAAGGGTAAACAAAACAAATACAGTCAAATGTTCTTATCTCAAAGTCAGTGGAACCTAGATAAAGCTTATGATATCAAAGGATCTGAGATATACTTGTAGATAAAGAAAAAGTTTTTTGGCTTTTAACTCACTCCGACATATCTATGGTATCAATGTTGGGAGATACCAAAGTTCAACTGTGTTTGTTATATTACATGATAAAACAGGGAGTGAACAGGGTTACATTATATAAATACTCCATTTAGTTTAGGGTAATATTGAAAATTTTAACCCCAAGAAAACCATTGTCAACCGAGGCTGTGCATTGGTTGACAGTGGTTTCATTGGGGGGAAAATTTTCAATATTACCCTCAACTACATGCAGTGTTTATTATACTGAATGTTTTAAACATATACAAAGAAAGGTGAAGTGTGCGAGCATAGATTTCATGCAGTCACGGTTTTTTGGGAATTATCACCCATCGTCAAATAATGTTGACTGTTGCCAAGTTCTATTGTGCTGGTTTCATCATTGAGAGTTAACAGTGTTTTTTAACAAATGTTTCTCGGTGAATCAAATTCAAGTAATTGACCTGAAAGTATAATATTAAACAGTATCTAGCAATTTCTGAGACAAATATTATGCATGAAGTTATAGAAAAAATACTTCTAGTATTTCCTTGTTGGAGGTACATGTACATGTATATCTGAATTCTTGAAATAATATTTACTTTTATTGATTATAGCAAAAGTAGTCCAAGTAGACAAAGAAAATTGTCAGCAGACTGGTACAGCAAGAAAAGGTCAAAGACTTGGTAAAGGAAAGGGGAAACAACTCCTAAAATCTGGTGGTCAGAAGTGTGAGAGCCAGGTGAATAAACTGATTGAGGACACAATAAGGATTGACAATGTCTGTACACAGGATATGGGAAAAGATCAACAGCATCTATTGGGGGAAGACACCATCAAGATTGACAGTGTCTCTGTAGAGAATGTAGGCAAGGATCAGCAGGTTCCAAAGGGGGAGGAGGGGGCACCTGTTCAGGAAAGTGGGGTACAAAAATCAGATAAGAAACAGAGCAGCCCTAATGCTGAGGCTAAAGATAAGACAGAATGTATAGCAGAGGGCCAGATAGGAAATGAAAGTACCGGAGGGACTGTATCTAGCACTGGTGTGTTTTAAGGACTCTTTTTTTCTTGACATGCACATTGTAAAGAGAGAAAAATAATTCAAAATGAAAGTTGAATTAAAAAAAATATTCTAAGCTTGAAAGTTTTAACTTTGTATTTCAGAATTGTATGCAGTGATTTGATTTTTCAGATAATGAGCAGATTAATGCAGTCTTGTGTCCAAAGTTGAAAACAGAGGGAGTAGGATGTGGACAAAAGCTAGAAAAGGAGTTTAAGTTTTGTACCATGTGTGGATGGAAGATTAATCCAGATATCTTTATAGAGAATGCCATGATGTGCCACAACAAAATGGATGAGGAGAAAATTTGTGAGAACATTGTCTACCCTCCTCAAAAGTTTTGTTCTAATTGTGGAAAACAGTTGTCATTCACAGGTAATCCTATTACTTACTTGTAAGATGAGAAATGATGAGGAAAATTTGTTCTTACTTATATGTACATGAATGTTGCTGTGCAAAGTGGACCAACAAACGTGTGGCTAAACCAAATGCAGGAAAAAAATTGAACTATTAATTTAGACGATCATAACCACGGAATACATGTGTTGTAAAATCTGTATCAGTGTTCTCAATTTGTAATTGTATGTGTACACATTTGATAAAAAGTATTTCAGAAGACTATAATGAAAGCATAAGCTTATATTGAATGCAGTCTTTGACGAACAAACTATGCATTTTTGTCTCTGAAAATAAACTCTATAATCAAGGTTTAATAGATATCAAATTTTGCAGAGAAGACAGTTGTTGAAATGAACTTGGGGCAGGTTTCTTCACAAGTGGAGTCTAAACCAAGTACAGGAAATGAGAAGAAAAACAAAGAAGAGGAGAAGATACCAAATGCTTCAGCAGATAAAAAGTTATTATTTAAAAAAAAAAGCAATTTTTACTTCAATCTGCAGTTGTTTTTGAGAAATTTAGTAATTCAGCATTATTTCTGTGTTTTGCTGTAATTTCCACGAGGGAAAATTTAATTAGAGGATGAAATAATTATAGTCTGACAATCCAGTAAAAATTGTATGAGTTTTCTTAGTCTTCATTATCTGTATAACATTAAGACACACCTGGTGTGATGACATTTTCATACAAATGTTTTATAGTTTGCCGTGTACGTCAGGGCTGAATCCAGATGCAAGGCCATTTGTACCTGTAAGTTTTTACTCTATTATTTGTATTGTTTAAGATGAGTTAAGATACATGTAAATTCATTGACGTCACACTTTGTTTAATTATCAGAATGGAAATTTGTGATTTTTAGGTCACCTGAGTCACTCAGGTGACCTATTGCCATCCGTTTTTGTCCATTGTCGTGCCACGTCCGTCGTGCATTAACATTTAATCATTTTCAGCTTCTTCTCTGAAACCGCTCAACCAATTTCAACCAATTTTGGCATATAGCATCTATGGGTGAAGGGGGACAAAAATTGTGAATTTCAGGTTCCCTGCCCCCCTGGGGCCTGAGGGGTGGGGCTAAAACCACCAAAATTAATGTAATCTTTAAAAATCTCCTTCTTTACTCCTGGATATCAAGCAGTCAACTGTTGGCATGATTGTAATAAACATTGAGCCCTCTACCAAAATTGTGAAATTCATAGCCCCAGGGTCAGGGGTTCTGGTGCTAGGGTGGGGCTATATAGATCATATAGTGAAAGTGCATTATTTCTTTGAAAATCTTCTTCTCTGCTCCTGGGTATTAGATAAACTAACTAAGTACATAGTTATGTTGAGCAAGACTGCCTCTTTCAAAATTGTGAATTTCATGGCCCCTGGGTCAGGGGTTCTGGTGTTGGGCGGGGCTCTATTGATTATTTAGTGAAAATGCATTAATTCTTTGAAAATCTTCTTCTCTGCTCCTGAGTATTAAATAAACTAACTAAGTACATAGTTATGATAAGCATGGCTGCTTCTTCCACAATTGTGAATTTCATGGCCCCTGGGTCAGGGGTTCTGGTGTTAGGGCGGGGCTCTATTGATTATATAGTGAAAATGCATTAAATCTTTGAAAATCTTCTTCTCTGCTCCTGGGTATTAAATAAGCTAACCAAGTACATAGTTACGATGAGCATGGCTGCCTCTTCCAAAATTGTGAATTTCATGGCCCCAGGGTATGGGGTTCTGGTGTTAGGGCGAGGATCTATTGATTATATAGTGAAAATGCGTTAAATCTTTGAAAGTCTTCTTCTCTGCTCATGGGTATTAAATAAACTAACTAAGTACATAGTTACGATGAGCATGGCTGCCTCTGCCAAAATTGTGAATTTCATGGCCCCTGGGTCAGGGGTTCTGGTGTTAGGGTGGGGCTCTATTGATTATATAGTGAAAATTCATAATTTCTTTCAAAATATTTTTTTCTGCTACTGGTTATAAAGCAAAGAAACAAGTGTATAGTTATGATGAGCAAGGATGCTTTTACAAAATATTTAAAACTTGTGGTCCTAGGGGTTCTGTTGTGTCTCTGAGGGGGGAGGGGGTGGGGGGCTCTATTGATAATATAGTGAAAATGGGTGAATTCTTTGAAAATCTTCAACTACATGTAATTGCATAGTTATGATGATGAGGGTACCTCTTTCAAATTTGTTAATTTCATGATCCTGAGTCATGGGTTCTGGTGTTAGGGTAGGGCTGTGTTAAATAGTGAAAATGCATTATTTCTTTGAAGATCTTCTCTGCTCCTGGGCATATTGGAGGCAAACAGACTAAAAGTTTTAATAAGCAAGGGTATTTTTACCAGAATTTTGAACAACTGGACCATTTAGTCAAGTGTTCTCACTACTGGACGAAAAAAGTGCTGAGAATCCCAAATTTTACTGATAATGTTTGATAATTACTGATACGGTACTGTTCTTGCTGATAAATACTGATATTTACTGTTATCATTACTGTCGTTGCTGATAATTTTAGTTGTTTCTGATAAATACTGATAATTACTGTCGTCTTTACTGTGTAGTCTGATAAATACTGATAAATACTGTTGATGTGCTGTCGATGCTGAGATTTACTGATAATTACTGTGGTCATTGTTTTTAATCTGGGAAGGGACTAAAATTGCTTAAGAAATGATTATTTGTTTTAAAGAAAGTATTTTATCAACAAATTCATTACAGTATTCTAACAAAAAAAATTATTCTACAAAAAAAAGTCACATTTTTTTTTGTTTTCATATTTCATGTATTGGTTTTATTATAATCATTTTTACATCATAATGTTAAAATCAGATCATAAATGTTTGTGTTTTTCTTTACCTTTATATTTCTCCTTTCACAAAGTTTTCAATATCTGCGGGAAATAATAGTTGTGTTGTTATTGCAGTGTTTTTTCTCCCCAAGTACTTTTTAAAACAAGTTTTTATTCTTAAAGGTTAAAAAAAAAATCCCATCTCATATTTTTTCCACGTGTATTTGTATTGTCATCAAAAGCTTTTAGGGGGCATCTTTAATATAGTCAATGGTTGTTATTGTCAATTTATTTTTTCGTGTGGAGAACTGAACATGTATGAGCTTTATAAGTTGAGACCCCCCCCCCCCCCCCCCCCCTCTATTTACATACATGGACAACTCTCATTTTAAGAAGACACTTTAGCCAGTATTAAATATATCTCACAAAAAAATCTATTCTGATTTTATGTTGTGTACACTATGTCCTTTTATTGAAGAATGTGTCAGGTTTAAACAATAAAAAAAAAACATCTTTAATTTGTAGAATAATCTCTTTTATATACATATAGCCAGTGCGCTCTAGTTCTCTGATTATGTCCTTGATGCGAATTTGATATCATTGTGTGGTATCGACGCTTTCTATCTTTCGTTTTTTTTTATTTTAATTATTATGCCTTCATTACACTAAATCTTATGCAGTTGATTTTCAATCAATGAAATACACGTCTTTCTTTAATTCTTTGTTAATAGTACATAAATCTGCGCTAGGTCTTTGGACATACGCGGAGATCAGTAAATAACTGCTTATACATGTCATACGCGGTCAGTCAGTTAAAAACAAAACAAAATAAAATAAAACAAAACTTGAAGTTACTTTCGTCCATAAATGCCGTCTAGCTAAATTCTGTTCTGGAACACACATGTCAACCGCGTGTAAAAGTTGTACTTTCGTTTTGAGAATCGGGTCAATTATTAGTACATTCTGTGTATCGTGCGACATGAATTTTGTAAAATTGGTTTGTACAGAGATTATAATATTGTTTTAATTCCATTTTCTCCTTGTCGGAGACCTTTGTATAAACGAACAGTATAGGCTGGGCGCTTACCGACTTGATTATGCTTTATTGTAGCACAAAAAGGGGGGTGGGGGTGAAATACTGTTAACTTAAAACTGATACGCGCAAGGTTGATTCTTTAGTTTTATGTTTAATAAGTCATACATGTTATAATTACTTATTACATATTTTTTATATACATGAATAAAATTATTTTAGAGAATCAATGAACGATACCAAATTCAGAACTATAACATTTATTCTTGAGTGCGATAAACAACGTGACGGTCATGTTACTGTCATTCAAAATTCATAAAAAATTTGAGCGATGTGGAGTTTAATTCCCTGTTTCTGAATTGTGAACAGTTAATGCTAATATAATTTCAATAATTGCTTTCACTAAACCATCTATTTTTTTTTTAATTTATATGTATATTTTGCATAATGTTTTAATTATAAGATGAAGTCAAATGTTCCGTATCAATTTCTCGTCTCCGTTTCACGGGCCCCAAACCATCGTTGACCGAGATTCAGAATTGAAAATACATGTAGCCCCCTCCCCGGGATTTTCTTTTAAATTTATCTCAAGCATGTCAAGAAATGTGCATAAAACTAACAAATAAAATTAAATACTGAGCAAAGATAGATTTATGTGAATTAAATAATTATTGAATATTAAGTCTGTACAATGTATATGTATATAACTTCATTTTTTTTTTATCTTTAAGTTGGTACTGCAATGTCCTATTTTGCTAAATAGTTTTTTTTTTCAATTTTCAATTTCATTCGTCAACAAATTGAATATTGCAGGATAATTTTTTTCAGTGCGACCGTAATTAAAGATTTTCCTGCTCAAAGAAGAAAGTACATGTACAGTGTAGGTAGTTTGTTTATTATGTACACCGGTGGCCGCAGACGAGGAACAATAGGTAATTAGTGCCCATTGTTACGCTGACCACTACAATTTACATGGAATATACAAGTTGTACCCCGTTCTTCCCCGGGGCGGAAGACTTGTACACAATACAGCCAAATCAGAGACTGGTCTTCGATTTTTGATCAATGAAGATCAATTTATTCCATGCAATTTTTGACCACACAAGATTAAAATCGATCAATTTGATCATATACATGTACTTTACTAAGTAAACATATTTAGGTCTCATTTCTTATTTCACATTCCATAAAATTAAATTAATGAGATTTTAAAACTTATTGAATAAAAATGTTTCCTGTCATGAAATTTTAAGAGACCAACATCGAAATAACATAAACACATGTGTACCTTCGCTCTGACACTTGGGATTTTGACCATGCACTAATATTTAATCAGCCCCCAATCTGCCGGTTGCACTTGTATGTATCGTGTACATGTAGATGTAGAAGAGATATTCTGGAAGAATCTAAAATGCCTATATTACGTTCAAATAAATGAATGTATGAATGAATAAATAAATAAAAAAAAATAAATAGATAGATAAATAAATAAATAAATAAATAAATAAATAAATAAATAAATAAATAAATAATCTGTGCCTCCAGATTGAACATATTCACCTCTGTTTTCATCTCTTTATTAAATTTAAAAATGCATAAAATTTCTCATTTTCGAGCAAATTTTCAAATATCTTGACAGAGTCCAGAAATCCAAACATTTAAAAATGAAAAAAAATAAATGTCTTTGAGAAAGAAAAAACAAAAATAGCTATATGAAAGGTCATCTTTAAAAAGAAAATGTTCCTCTCTTGACCAGTTGACGGAGTGAAACCGTGCGAATCAAACTTTTCTAACCTGCAGGAAATATTTTTTATTCCGATTTTTTCCCCACCCATTTAGAACTATTTCTTATTATTGAAAAAAAAAAACATCACCGACCTCCCTACCCAAATATCTTGGAGTCTGGAGAGGGCGGCGATGAATCTTTTTAAAAGATAGCCTTATTTTCTAAAATTCCATTTATCTTGCTTACAGATAAATTATATTATTTTCATAGATTGGTAGAAAACATTTGCTAAATATAAGCGGAATGTTTCATTTATTTATTGTCAACATTTTCACAACCGTATTGTAGTAAGTGAGATCAGCGTAATTTTTGTCACTAGCAGAACATTTAAAGAAATATGAAAATGTCGTAATGATAATTTATAATTAAAAGAAAGAAATAATTGAAGGTTTTTACAGCCCTCAGTACTTCTTTAGCCCTTCCCAGCTTAAGAACAAAGACCACAGTAATTATCAGTAAATCTCAGCATCGACAGCACATCAACAGTATTTATCAGTATTTATCAGACTCAACAGTAAGGACGACAGTAATTATCAGTATTTATCAGAAACAACTATAATTATCAGCAACGACAGTAATAATAACAGTAAATATCAGTATTTATCAGCAAGAACAGTACCGTATCAGTAATTATCAAACATTATCAGTAAAATTTGGGATTCTCAGCACATTTTTCGTCCAGTAGTGTCTGGTCCTGGCCAGGGCTCTATTGATTTGTATTCTACTGAGTGAAGTTATTCCCCTTTGCCATTCACCTTTGATAATTAATCAATGTAAATAATGTATTTGAAAGGTTAATAGAATAAGAAAATTATGCAAGAACATTTATTGTATAATACAAAAAGTACTTTCTTAGTCTAAATAATCAGGTAGACTTGGAAATAATACATGAATAAAAATGGAACAAAAATAACTTACCTTTTTAAATGTTCTTCAAAGGCCAAGTGAGGTCAATGTGAGAGGTAATAGACATTTTGTTAAAAATCTGCATGGTAATAGTGATAAATGGGGGACAGATAGATAGATACTAGAACAATTATTTTGTTGATCTTAATTGTACTATTTTTCTTGCTTTTTTGCAACAAAGCTTCATTTATCAGTTTATGGATCCTCTAAATTGTTGTACTCAGGTGACCGTCAAGGCCCTTGGGCCTCTTGTTTCATTGTTTGTTGGTTTTGATAACTTTGCTGTACAGGGTCAGCCAGTTTTGATGACTCCAAAGAAGATGAGAATTACATCTATATCTGGTAAGAGTTGTGTGGCAACTCGATGTTCATATTAGGCCTAAAAAAAATAAAATCTAGGTTCTCAGACCCACTGGCATCTCATTTAACAATGCACATTACCCATTTTTATCCTCAAATGAATAAAATAATATTTCTCTCATGCTCTCGTACTGTGCCCCCCCCCCCCCCCCCAAAATCCAGAATCCCCGACCGCATTTTAGATACTCCCATCAGTAAAACGTTTGATGACAAACATCAAGATGATTCAGACGTGGGACCGAGTTAAAATTCGCAAGTATGGCCGTCGAGTTAAAAGGTTAAGGCATCAAGATTAAGTTTGGTAATGGCATTGAATTCAGTGCAAATTCATAAGGGAATGAATGTAATACTTTCATGGCACATACTGGGGGCTGCTAGAACTCAATAACGCTATCAAACTTGGAACTGGGACATTTCAAGAAAAACTTCAGCAAGATTTGCTGATTTCATTTAGTGAGGGTAATCCAAAGACTGATAAATTCGACGATGTTTAATAAAATCATAAGCACTATTTATGGTGCTGACTCTTAGATTAGTATTGATATGATTGATACGTACCAGATGCATCACCAAGAGTGTCGGGTTCTGCAAGTTAACGCTTTGGTTGTTAGGATTCTGTTGTTTCATAACACGAATCATCAGAACGTAGAAAATGCAAGAGAAAAGAGAAAGAAGCAGGAAATAAATGATCTTGATTTCTACACTCACTGTTGAAGCACTGTTGTTAAAAGTTGCTAGTTTTGAAATGTAAAATGAAAATCAAAAATCATGCATCTGTTTTTTATGAGGTAAAAAGGGGGAAAAGCCTACCTCCCACATTTATTTTTGAGAAAACTGGTCTGAGAACCAAGTTATTAATTTTTTTTAGGATCCTAGTACTGAAAAATCTTCAAAAGTGTTTGATGGACAAACTTTTAATAATAAATCCACCCACTCCAAAATATTGTCATTTCTAAGCACATTTTCAGAATTATTTGCGAAATTCTTTAGCAAAAAATGTTTAATTAATGGCAGTGTTTTTCATCCAAATTTTTAAAAGCAGCTTTTAAAATTCATTTGGGAAGAATTTTACTTTGAGATCTTAAAAACATTTGGATAAAGAAAATTAATGTTGAGGAAAATAGTCACATTTCCTCGGGGAGTTGCCTATATTTGGCTGTGAGTAGAGGTCTTAAAAAACACTGAATTAGGACAATTTTTGTTTGAAAGAAATGTCAAATTAGTTCAAATCTCTGGAATGAAATGTTGAATTGGGACAAATTTTGAAGGTAAAATATTGGACCTGATTAGATACATGTATCTCTATTTTCTTACCTATTCAATGGAATTTGTTTACAGATGATCTTCCTGATCCAACTTTACCAATTTTGCCTAGAATATCTACTGCAAAGCAAAGCCCTGGTAATGATGGAGTATGATGAAAATTTAGGGCTGGGACGATACAACTTTTTCTATATCAATATGTATTGTGATATTTGAGCCATGATATGATATTATCATGATATGTTGAATTGGTTATAAAATCTTTTTTTGATATTGAAATGAACAAAACATTTCTTTACAAATAAGACAAATTTTTTCAAAGAAGTTGTGTATCTGTTGTCAAACAAAAGTATTTCACACAAGTTGTTTTTATGTATTTCATATTTATATTTACATTTAGCATATTTATTAGGTCACCTGAGTAAACTCAGGTGACCTATTGCTATCCGTTTTCGTCCGTCGTCGTACGTCGTGTGTCGTTCGTCGGTCGTAAACTTTTGAACATTTTTAGCTTCTTCTCTGGAACCACTGAACCAATTACATCCAAATTTGGTATACAGCATTTATGGGTGAAGGGGAACAAAAATTGTGAATTTCATGGTCCCTGCCCCCCTGGGGCCTGAGGGGTGGGGCTAAAACCACCAAAAATAATGCAATCTTTAAAAATCTTCTTCTTTACTCCTGGACAACAAGCAGTCAAACTGTTGGCATTATTGTAATAAGCATTGAGCCCTCTACCAAAATTGTGAAATTCATGGCCCCAGGGTCAGGGGTTCTGGCCCCAGGGTGGGGCTATATAGATCATATAGTGAAAGTGCATTATTTCTTTGAAAATCTTCTTCTCTGCTCCTGGGTATTAAATAAAGTTACTAAGTACATAGTTATGATGAGCAAGAGTGCCTCTTTCAAAATTGTGAAATTCATGGCCCCAGGGTCAGGGGTTCTGGTGTTCGAGCGGGGCTGTATAGATTATATAGTGAAAATGCATTAATTCTTTGAAAATCTTCTTCTCTGCTCCTGGGTATCAAATAAAGTAACTAAGTACATAGTTATGATAAGCAAGAGTGCCTCTTTCAAAATTGTGAAATTCATGGCCCCAGGGTCAGGGGTTCTGGTGTTTGAGCGGGGCTCTATAGATTATATAGTGAAAAAGCATTAATTCTTTGAAAACCTTCTTCTTTGCTCCTGGGTATTAAATAAAGTAACTAAGTACATAGTTATGATGAGCAAAAGTGCCTTTTTAAAAATTGTGAATTTCATGGCCCCAGGGTCAGGGGTTCTGGTGTTAGGGCGGGGCTCTATTGATTATATAGTGAAAAAGCATTAATTCTTGAAAATCTTCTTCTCTGCTTCTGGATATTTAATAAAGTAACTAAGTACATAGTTATGATGAGCAAGAGTGCCTCTTCCAAAATTGTGAAATTCATGGCCCCAGGGTCAGGGATTCTGGTGTTAGGGCGGGGCTCTATAGATTATATAGTGAAAAAGCATTAATTCTTTGAAAATCTTCTCCTCTGCCCCTGGGCATTAAGGTGATAAACTAAGTACATAGTTATGATGAGGAGGTGGGCCTCTTCCAGAATTGTGAAAGCCATGGCCCCTAGGTCAGGGGTTCTGGTGTTAGGGCGGGGCTCTATTGATTATATAGTGAAAATGCTTTAATTCTTTGAAAATCTTCTTCTCTGCTCCTGGGTATTATTTAAACAAACTAAGTGCATGGTTATGATGCATAAGGATGCCTTTTCAAAAATTGTGAATTTCATGGCCCCAGGGTCAGGGGATCTGGTGTTAGGGCAGGGCTCTATTGATTATATAGTGAGAATGCATTGATTCTTTGAAAATCTTCTTCTCTGCTACTGGAGACTATTTAAACAAACTAAGTGCATGGTTATGATGCATAAGGATGCCTTTTCCAAAATTGTGAATTTCATGGCCCCAGAGTCAGGGGTTCTGGTGTTAGGGCAGGGCTCTATTGATTATATAGTGAAAATGCATTGATTCTTTGAAAATCTTCTTCTCTGCTACTGGAGATTATTTAAACAAACTAAGTGCATGATTATGATAGACAAGGATGCCTCTTCCAAAATTTTTATATATATCTCCTCAGTTTTTGGGGTTCTTGAGGAGGGGGGGGGGGGTTTGCTTAGATATGATGAAAATGGGAGCTTCGAACAGAATTTTTAAATCTTGTGGTCCTAGGGTCAGGGGTTCTGGCATAACGAGGGGGGGGGGGGACTTTTGATAATATAGTGGAAAAGTGTTAATTCTTTGAAGTCCATAGTAATGAAGATGAGGGTAACTCTTCCAAATTTGTAAATTTCTTGACCCTTGGTCTTGGGTTCTGGTGTTAGGGTAAGGCTTTGTTGAATCTGTAGTGAAAATGCATTGTACCTGTGAAATTCTACTCTGCTTCTGGGCATATCGGAAGCAAACTGAGTAAAAGTTTAAATGATATGAGTAAGCGTATTTCTACCAGATTTTTAAACATCTGGACCATTCGTCTAAGCATTCTGGTCCTGGGCAGGGCTCTATTAATTTGTATTCTACTGAGAGAAGTTATTCCCCTTTTCCATTCACCTTTGATAATTAATCACTGTAAATAATGTATTTGAAAGGTTAGTAGAATAAGATAATTATGCAAGAATGTTTATCGTATAATTAAAAAAGTACTTTCTTAGTTTTAATAATCAGGTAGACCTGTAAGTAATAGATAAATAAAAATGAGACAAAAATAACTTATTAAAAGTTCTTCAAAGACCATAAGAGAGGTCAATGCTAGAGGTCTTAATATGGGTTTAAAAATAGTACAGAAGCACTAATAGTTTGTTAATAGGCTGCATGGTGATAGTGTTAAGTGGGGGACAGATTAGAACTCAATTTCTGAGTTGATAGTGAATACTAGACTAATTATTTTGTTGATCCTGATCTTCCTACTTCTCTTGTTTTTGTTCCTCTGCTCTGCCTTCGGGTATTAAGTAATCAAAGTAAGCATGCTAACTGTATAGTTATGATGAGCAATAGTGCCTCTTTCAAAATTGTGAATTACATGGCCTCTGGTTTAAAATACAAACCAAATTCAATTGTTGGAAAGTTGTTACACGATACTCAGGTGACCTATAAGGCCCGTGGGCCTCTTGTTTTATATATTAAACCCAAAATGTTAAGTAAAAAAAGAAAAACATCAGTCAGAATTTTTTTGCGACATTTAGATATTTCTTCATATGTATCGATATGCGTATCGTCCTCACACAGAATTGATATCTCGATATATCGTCCCAGCCCTAGATGAAATACATGTACTGTAAATGTTAACAGTTACTTGTGTCTGGGACAGAGATAGATAAAATGACCTGCTTACAACAGCAGTGATGGAATAATATCTCTAAGCAAATTTTTGTAAGATGTAAAATATAGAAGATTGATATAAAATATCTATCAGAGAACACTGGGAACAAAAACTAGTGGAACTTTTACCCGTTTTTTTTTTTTGTTTATTCATTCATTGATAGATTTTTGAACAGTATTTTGAATTCATCGCTTCTGAAGTATTAAAATACCATGCTGCTGTATCCATTGACAACCACTTCATGAATGTAGTATGTACATACAGTAAAAGCATCTTTGATCATATTAAGTAAGGTTGTCCCTAAGACCTAGGGGCCTAGGAATTTCCCCGCCTATAATGATGTAATTTCCCGGTTATTTTGGTATTTCTCCTAAACTCCCCATTACTGGAAGAACCCCAGATCTGCTTCTACTTTTTAAATGTCCTCTTCTATTTCAATTCTTTAAGTCTCTGAATATAGAAGGTACTCACTTTTACCTACATTGTAAATTATATTCCAGGTGAGGAATTACCTGATATACCTGGATCTGAGGAACTCCCCTCTTGCTCAACTCCAGGTGTGTATTGTGTAAGCAGTTTGGAGAACTGACAGTTAATAATCTTTATAGTGAATTTGATGAACAACTATGAGTTTAATACTCATGATTTTAAAGTTTTACTGTTTGAAACAAATGTATGTAGACTTGCAATATTAGACCAAAATTAACTAGCATGTGATAAATTTAATTTTAATTGAAATTTTGACCATGCCAATCTTCGGCAAGCAGGACTTACAAATCCTATATCACATACATATGTATATCCTTATCAGGAAGCAGTAAATGTGGGAAGTTCTCGGGAAGAACACAGACAACAGGAGCACGGGCCACTCTAATTGTTTGTCCCTTGTCTGTGTTGAGTAACTGGCTCGTAAGTTATATGTCACTAAACAATAAATGTGTTAAATGTTTTAAAAATACATGTATACCATGTAGTAAATTTCTGCAATTTTTGAAGTTTTGCAGAGATTTGCTGTTCTGTCAAAATTGCTAAAGAAGATTTGTGAACAAGGCGAGCAAAATGCCTATTGTGCGAAAAATATGATAGTGAAAAATTAAATCTCAACTGGAACAAAATTTTCTTTAATATTTCATCTAACATTGAAGTATTTATTTAAAATCTATACAGTTTGCAAGAATCTCATAAAATTGATTTTATTTGCCTATGAAATAGCATACACACACCAAAGAGAGCAAAAAGGATCATTTTCTCATATTATAACACAACTTTTCCATAAGGTTTTCACTACATTTTTAGCTCACCTCAATGAAGTTGGGGGAGCTTATGTAATACCCTCGGCGTCGGCATCCCAGGTTAAGGTTTTTGGAGCAGTTTTCTTTTCAAGTACTTCTATGGCCTATATTAGTCAGAGGTGCATGGAGGATGCTTCTAGTGTGTTTTATTGTACCAGTCAAGGTTTCAGATGCTGCAATTTCAGCTAAAGAATGACCAGAGTAATGTTTTTGGAGCAGGTTAAAGTTTTTGGAGCAGGTCTCATTTCCAAGTAACTATAAGCCCTATATTGACCAAACTTGCATGGATGATACATCTAAGGATGCACACTACTGAACTTCAGGGGTTGAAATTTTCCTGGAAAACCCACTAGCCCAGGGGCTACGGATCAGTAAAAAATTACTAGCCCAAACCTCAAACTAACTAGCCCAAATATTTTTTATGCAAAATGAAAACATAACAAGTTAAATTAAAGTTTCAAATGCTGTGGTGACAGAAACAAATTAAACTACAATGTAGTTCTCATTCAAAAGAAACCAGTCTGCATAGAAAAGCAAAAGTAAACTGATGAGATTTTTTTTCTGTTCTGCTAGTCCGACAGACTATCATTACATTTAAATTAGCTAGCCCGAGTCTTAAAATGACTAGCCCCGGGCGTCGGGCTACCGTATATTTCAACCCCTGAACTTGCTTCGGATGCTGGATCTGACCTACATTTTTCGGATGAGTGACTAGGTTAAAGTTTTTGGAGTAGATCTCATTTCCAAGTAACTATAAGCGCTGTATTGACCAAACTTGCATGGATGATACATCTAAGGATGCACACTACTGGACTTGCTTCGGATGCTGGATTTGACTTACATTTTCCGGATGAGTAACCAGGTTAAAGTTTTTGGAGCAGATGTCATTTCCAAGTAAGTATAAGCCCTATATTGACCAAACTTGCATGGATGATACATCTAAGGATTCACACTACTGGACTTGCTTCGGATGCTGAATCTGACCTATATTTTATGGATGAGTGACCAGGTTAAAGTTTTTGGAGCAGATGTCATTTCCAAGTATCTATAAACCCTATATTGACCAAACTTGCATGGATGATACATCTAAGGATGTACACTACTGGACTTGCTTCGGATGCTGGATCTGACTTAAATTTTTGGGATGAGTGACCAGGTTAAAGTTTTTGGAGCAGATGTCATTTCCAAGTAAGTATAAGCCCTATATTGACCAAACTTGCATGGATGATACATCTAAGGATGCACACTACTGGACTTGCTTCGGATGCTGGATTTGACTTACATTTTCCAGATGAGTGACCAGGTTAAAGTTTTTGGAGCAGATGTCATTTCCAAGTAAGTATAAGCCCTATATTGACCAAACTTGCATGGATGATACATCTAAGGATTCACACTACTGGACTTGCTTCGGATGCTGGATCTGACCTACATTTTCCGGATGAGTAACCAGGTTAAAGTTTTTGGAGCAGATCTCATTTCCAAGTAACTATAAGGCCTATCTGAACCAAACTTGCATGAATGATGCATCAAGGGACAAACAATCTCAAAACTTGCTTCGGATGCTGGATTTGACTTACATTTTCTGGATGAGTGACTAGTTTTAAGTTTTCAGATAAGTCTATTCCCAAGTAACTGCAAGCCCTATCAGACCAAAATTGCATAATTGTTGCATCTAGGGATGCACATTACTAGATTATTAGTTTAGTGTCTTACTTTGCCTTACTTAAAGACAACATTCATTGAGGTGAGCTCTGTAATCTCTGATTACCTATGTTTTTTAATTTTATCCACAAAAGTTGCGTAGAAATATGCATTTTTTTATTAAACAAAAACATGGAGCAAAGACCCACTATACCTTAAAAATACACTTTTATGACATAACATTAGTATCTTTCTGAGAAATACATGTACTTGGAGTCCATTAGGTCAAGGGTCATATCACAGACATTATTTAAATGCTATTATTCATTAGGAGTTGTGTAGTGTAGTGGTAAGCTTGTTAGTCTCAATGGAAAATGATACTCAGGATTATTATTGCTAGTGTTCAAATCCCAAGAATACTACATTATTTTTTTTAATAATAGAATAATATTTGCCAAGAAAATTTTCCTCAGAAATGTTTTGATGGTCATCATTTCATAAATTTCAATCAAAGAAAACTTTACTTTAAATACTAAATTCAGAAACTGAACATGATTTTTATATATGTATATCTGAAGCTATATGCATTCTGCATGCCTTATTTGCCCATCTCCTTAGTATTTCGAAATTTTACAGCTTATACCTTTGACACTGCATATTGAATGGAATTTCTCAAATTGCAGACTCTGATATTTATGAAATATATAGAGGATATAATGCCAAATTTAAAAGGTTGCAATATTTTTTTCTGAGAGGAGGTTTTTTTTCTGTTGATGTAAAGCCCTGATTTTACTTGAGTCTAGGATCAGTTGGAGGATCATATACATGAGAATGTACACCTGGATATCTACACATACTACGGATCCAGTAGAATCCGGGATCCGGCCGTGTTAGCCAAACAAGACATCGTTCTCACCACCTACTCCACTCTCTCATGTGATGCCAAGGTAATTCCTGACAAGTTTACATAATTCTAACATACATGTATATGCTTGCTTGTGTGAACAAAGCATAGAAGTATTGGATGTCAAGAATGCAAAACACTGGGATGAACAAGTTAATAGTGAATGACAAAAGTGTATTTTCAGGGTGATGGAGCTCTGCAGAAAGTGAAGTGGCTGAGGATTGTCCTTGATGAAGGGCATGCTATCAGAAATCCCAATGCCCAACAAACCAAGGCTATATGTGCCTTACAGGCAGACAGAAAATGGGTTCTTACAGGTAAAGAAGTATGACGTGTATTACTCACAGATTTAGTGTGAAGGAGAGTTGAAACGAATGTTCGAATATTCGCAAATAAATAGTAAATGGTGAATATTTGAATGGAAATTTAGTATTCAAATATTCAGTCACGTGTCTTACACTTAAATATTTTCTTTGTCGATAAAAATGTATGGGTACTTTACCAATTAAATCTTATAGTATTAATAGATTTAGCTTTTTTATCCTATTGATGCTCCCACTGAACTGTTGACTCCCAAATTTAATTACTATTCGAGAGTACCGGTAATATGATTAGAAATTTAAACAGAAATCCAAATTTTGAATTTTCTTGGTGTAAATCTCATTGAATAAAGGATATTTCATTTTTAAATGGAGTTTTTTTCATGCCTACCAGTTTCACCACCGATCGTATGCATTTTCCTGCCATTTCCATGCATTTTTCTATCATGGGTTTCACTAAATCGTGCAAATGACTACTTTTTGTATGTTTTCTTCTAAAAAGAAATAATCCTAAAATCTAATTATTTACTTAAATTTTTTGAAACACACTTATTTAGAAATTGATCTCTGAAACAAGTGTCATTTTAGTAGCATGTTCAGTAATGTGTAACGTGAATACCCCTATAATGCACGTGGACTTTCCCTTTTCTACAGCAACAAAGCATTCACTTGGGGGTTGATCTTGCTAAAATTTTAAATATTTACAAAAAGTGTTGGTTTGTTATTTAGTATGGTACCTAATATGAAATCATTGGTGTGGTGATAAGTTTTGTGATACTTAACTAATCGCAGAATTTGCAAAAATTTCTCCCACACTAACAGTTCCACATTTACAGCATATTACTATGACAATTCAGAAAAATATATATTGTTCATGTAAAATTTTGATGCTAGACTGTTCACAAACTATATAGTATTGCATTTCTTATTTTCATGATCTGTTGTATATACATATATTTCTTGAAGGAACACCCATCCAAAACTCTATTAAAGACCTGTGGTCCCTGGTAAGCTTTCTCCAGATCAGCCCGTTCACTGACAGACAGTGGTGGACCAGAGCGATAGAGAGACCGCTGGAGCAGGGAAATGAGAGTGCTATTAAGTAAGGCCAGAGTTTTTTTATTTTCTGTTTAACGGGAATTTTTATTAAAAAGTTGGGTCGGGGGGACGAAATAAAAATAAAAAAAAAAAAGATAAAAATGTTTCGGGTCGGGACCAAAATAAAAATAATATTAAAAAAAATGTCGTTTTTTTTTTTTTTTTTTAAAATACACAAAAACAATGAAAATCTGTAATTATTTTATTTGAATAAACCAAACAGATATTTGATATGTTAGTTTTTGCGTTTTTTAGCGTTTCTAGTGGGAATTTGTTTCCCAGATTGAAGACACTGTCCGCATATAGGTCTAACTATGGCGAAGTCCTCCTGCAGCCTGCGGACTTCATCGCAGTTGGTTACGTCTGGGTCACCACAGTGGAAACGGACAGCATCAAATATCTGTGTCTTCCCTGTCACATAAAACATACACAGCTAATGAAGAATGTAGAAAAAACACAATATTCACTTGATTCACTTTTTTTTTATACAGACAATCAATAAATAAATTTATTAATTGTTAACTTAATAGATACCTGAGTAATACTGTGTCTCTATGGGTGAAGAGCAGGAGATATTTTGTCTGCATAGTATGACGTCCTGATACTGACCCCCTGGAAACAAAGGATTTCCACAAATGTAGAGTAGTTCTTCTTGAACTCGTTCAACTGCCCTCTCCTCTGTTCTATTCAATTTTCTGCTTGCATAGATAACTCTTCTCTTTCCACACTCTGTACATAACACAAATCCTCTCACTTTTGCTGCAAAATATCATAAGAATTGTCACTAAATATACAATGTATAATATTTATCAACTAATACATGGGATTTGTTACATGGTTGTGTACTTACTTCCAACCAAAACAGCTTTAAACTTCTTGTCTCTTTCTGATGATTCTCCATGTTTCCCTGTCATACTTGGTCTATTCATATCATTAGTTTCCGTTCCATACAGGTCCTGAAAATCTTTGTACTGCCCATTCTCATCCTGTGTAGGATCTGGCACAAAATGAAGTCCACGAAAGACATCATCTGGAAGCCTAGGAGGATTGAGAACACAATACCCACAGTTGTCTGCCATACACTTCTTGATCTAAAAATTAATTGCTCTATCAAACAAATGTTGCACTGTATGTACAAACATAAATTAAATACATTGTATAAAAGTATATGCAGCATGCACTTTCAATCTTTATTTATCAATATAAATATAACCAAAAAATCTTTCTTTATTTTAATACACACCTGAAAAGAGTATTGACGGCTTCTGGAATGGGATTCCAGGAAAGCATCAATTGCTGTAGATTGCAGGGTTGACAAATTTGCATCACAGTGAATATTCTCATCCAGCACTTTCAACATTTCCACCAAAGCATACATTTCTTCTTGACTAGCTGGATCATGCACACATACATTTTCTCCCTTCCATCTAAGATGCTTAAATCTTTCTCTTAAAATGTTCAATGAGACTTCAACTGCTTGTGTATACTCTTCTTTAAGTTTCTGGTTTTTACTTCCCAAATTTCTCAGCTTCTTAAGTGAACTTGCAGACTTGACTTGCATTTCACATTCTAGAGACATAGCAATTGCTCCAATGCTACATTCTGTAATGCTAAATTAAGAAGACTCATTATTCTTTCTGCTGGATTAGCATAACTCCCACAAGGTGCTGTTCGTGCACACACTATCATGTCCAAGTCCAGAGCAATGAACTCCATAAGAGCACAAAGTTTAACACTTTTGTATGTTGTCCTGTGGTCTGGTCCACCGTCAGTATAACGAATGAGCACAGGAGTTCGCAGGTTCACGTCATCAACCGAGTTGCACTGTCGCATTAATGACACGTTTTCAGTAGAATGTCGCAGTGGTGAGGAAGCTTGAAAAACCTTATCTTTGACAGTAACATTAAGAAGTCCATTGTAAAAAGAGTCCTTCGGATTTTCTGGTATGTCATTTACAAAGCAAACAGAAGGAATTATCCCACCAACATGAAAGTCGTGGTCCAGTGCTACAACTTTCATGCATCCACCTGCAAGTCCACCATGGTGAGCACGTACCCCAGTTGAAACTGGATGACCAGGTTCCCCCAGAGGTATGATGGCCTTATCATCCATGCATTGAAATGTTGAAAAATCACGCATCCGACAGGCAAATTCTTTTAACATGGAAAAAAGGACTGCACAATAATGGGAGTCGGGGTGCTGCACTCGAACCAATCTCTGTTGCACAGCAAATCTTACATTATATTGTCCAGTGTAATTCTTAGCTGTTGTGTTGTACACATTTGATGGACTAAAGTTCAGTTTTATCCAAGACACAGATGGAGCTTCTGAACCCTCAGGCAATCTATCCAGTATTTGACTTATGAGCTCATCAACAGAAATTGCAAATGGTAAGTAAAGTCTATCATTTGAACGTCTTTCATGAACAGCTGCTTTTTCATCAAAAAATTTCCCAAGCTCTTTCCAGAATGGCTTGAATTTCTCTTCTGCAGGTCTGCAATTATTTTTTCGCAAATCAAAGATCAATTCACAATCTTCACTATCCAAAAGAAACTTCATGAAGCGTTCATCAATCTGTGAAGCATTTGCAGAATTGGCCTGATATTCAAACTCTGTGAGATAAGAGTACCATATTCCTTAATATTACTGGCTGTAAGCCGGTACAGGATTTATATCGATCTATAAAGTCTTTTTGCATCTTTCTAGTTGAAAATTTCAGTATGTTTCTTTTTATTTTGTCAATAACTTTAACTTGTTTCACTGTGTCTCTGCAAGTTGACTCTGGAAGTTTCCACAAGACATTCATGTTTCCAAGATAGTTTCCATATTGGAATGAATACAATGCAACAGAACTTGATAAAGATAAATGTTTTATCCATTTTCTTCTTTCCTCCTTATCATTAGGTTCAAATCTAATGAGATCAATCGGTTGATATTCTGCCAGATCTTTAACGCACAAATCCAGAGCTTTATACTCTACGGGCACATTTTCCACAGACTCAATGACTCTGAGTATCCAGTTGTCTTTCAAATCTCTAATGGGCACTGTACTTTCGTGGTTTGCCTTCATCTTCTTATTGCAGTCACATAAATATTCCTCATATTTCTTCAGATGTGAAATTAAATCTTCTATTGAAGTGTACAACTCTTTAAACTGGGGATTCATCATCCATGGAATAGTGAGAAGCGATGACAAATTCTGTGCATTTTCTTTCAAGTCAATGGAAGTAACCTTAAAAATATAAAAATATATTCATAAAATTAAACTCTATAAACAATTTGACTACTGTTGTATTACCCCTATATTATGTGTTTAAAAATCAGTTGTAAATGAAGAAAATAACACAAAAAACATTACCTCAAATTAATTTCGCTTGTAGGCATATTTTAAATTGGTAAATTTCAATCAGTTTTTTTTTTTTAAAATTCATGGATGCAAGGGCAAAATACTTCTTTAAATTAAGAGGTTTTTTTTGTAATTCTCATCTAGTATATCAGTCTGACATTAATGGTACACACACCTGTGGAATTTTTTTATGTTGGACTTTCAAATCACGGTACCCAGATAAATCCTTGAAGAGCTTTGGCAGTTGCAAACCTCTTTTCTGAAATTTCTCGTGATGTGGATCCAGATACCAAAACGTCTGGGTTAAAGTGGAAACAACGTGGTTACCTACACTGTTGACTTGGTGGTTGGTAAACCCAAAGCTGTGCTTTCTCATTATTGAAATTACATCATTGTATAATCTATCCTTGGAAGTATTTTCCTTTCTACAAGATATTAATTATTTTTTTTTATTTTTATAAGGCTTAACAAGAATTTCATTCTAAATAGTTTTGCATTTATATGCCATTTGGAATTTTCCTTCATATTTAAATCCAACTGGTACTAAAAGTATTTCAATTGAGATATTTACCTTTGTGCAGGATATTGTGTGTAGCTCCTGGTAGCTGTCATTAGTACATCAAATATACTTTTACCCTGGGTTGGTTTGTTGTTGGTGGTGTTGGAATCCTGCTCTAATTTGCACACCCATGCGGAAATCGTTTTACATCTGAAAAAAGTTCATCCATCCTTTACTCTCCTTACGTGATTATTATTATTAAAATAAATGAATGCAACTTTGCGTACACCCATTCATACAACGACTTTTCATTTTTTTACTACATTCAGAACCGTGGAGAACAGTAAATTGTGTATTAAATTACTCAGGTTTCAAAGACTTACCCAAAATCTTTGAGAACACTAATAGGTGTCTTAGGGTCAATGTCTGTGCCCCTGCTTTCAATTCTAGATATTTGAACAGCGTCAGATTTACCGGATTCTTCCAGCAATACAGATATGACACGTCCGATATCATCATCAAGTTTTGCTTTCACAAATTTGCTCTGACGTATTGCAGCGTCAATGCATCTAATGTCGATTTTAACATACACGTGATCCGCCATTACGATGATTTTCTTTCCCGGGAAGCTGTCGTTTTGTAAACTGGTTCTCTGAAAATTCGTGATCAGTTAGACGCTTATTTATATTGAGCTCAATAGTGCATTAGATCAAACATTTCATTGGTTTATTTAAAAAAATTTAGAGTACAACGATCCCGATTTTATTTTATATAATCGATCAACAACAGGGTTGGCGCGAGTTTAAAAAATAAAAACGATTTCAACCTCTTTTATTTTTTTTCGGTATTTGGAGAAAATTGAGTCGGCGCTTCCCGTTAAACAGAAAATAAAAAAACTCTGGCCTAAATAGAATTTTATTCATTTGTTGTTTTTATATCCGTTAAAAATTATAATGTAGAGAACAGCAAAACTACACGTGCATGTACATTCTAAATTTGTTTCACTCGGAATTCTGTAGATTGCTGTCGCAGCCTTTCAGATCAAAATTTGTCCGTTGTCTGTCGTTGTCATTCTAAACTTTTTACAATTTCATCTCCTCCAGAACCATGGGCCAATTTCAGCTAGTATTCTTTGTAAAAGAGGATCCAGATTTGTTCAAATGAAGAACTACACCCTCTTCTAAGGGGAGATAATTAAGAAAAAATGAAAATTGGGTGATATTGTTTAAAAGTCTTATTAGGAACCACTGGGCCAACTTGTGCAAAAGCTTCCCGACATTGTAGATTCAGGTTTTGTTCAATCATGACCCCTGAGGGTAGGGTGAGACCACAATGAGCAATCAAATTTTTACATAGGAATTAACAAGAAAACTCAAGATTTTCTCAAGAATAGCAAAGTCACAAGTGGTCATATTTATATTGAGACATCTTCAAGTAATGTAAATACAAGTTTGTTCAAAACATGATCTTCTGGGGTAGGGTGGGGTCATAATATGTGGTGTAAGTTTTACATAATAATATATGAAAAAGAAATTGCTGATGAAGAATAGACGGACCATAGTTACTCAGGTGAGCATTGTGACCCATTGGCTTCTTGTTTTGTGTATGTGTATTGTACAAGTGAAATACTGTATTGCTGCTGTAGACGTGTTCAGCATTTAATGGGTGCCATCGCCCTGAGGAGAACTAAGAACCAGAAGGTGGAGGGGAAGCCCATCGTGGAGTTACCAGAGAGAAATGTCTTTGTGGAGCATGTCAAGCTTTCAGAGGAAGAGAGGTCTGTGTATGAAGCCATGCAGAATGAAGGCAAAATCATTGTCAGCAGGTAAATAAAAAGTGTTACTTTGTGAACTCTGTACATGTTCAATAGGAGAGATTATGGCCCAGTGTCCATTCTCTTTTGTCTCAATTTTTTTTGTAATAATTCAAAACTACATACAAGTACATCTATTTCGCAAAGGCTTTGAGATGGTGACTTTAGAATAGGTCTCTTGTGAAGTTACTACATGCACTGTATGTGCTCTTTCATTTGCTTGATTTGAAAAGTATCCAATCTCCTTTTTAAATAAATTGGTCTTTATGTTAAGGACTGTTTCAGTAAAAATTACCAGGGGAAGGGGGTTGGGGGGGGGGGGGTTGGATGCCAATGATTTTTAGACAACCCCTTACCTATAGATTTTTTGCTTGCCAAACCATAAACTAATACTGTATTTATATATATTTAAAAAAAATAGGAAGAAAATACTGAGTAGAACATGCAATCCCCTGTGCCCAAAATTAAATCTATGACTTAAATATTTAATTTATATGCCCCCGTATCAAAGATTCAGGGGTATATAGTTTTTGCCCTGTCCGTCCGTCTGTCTGTTTGTCCGCAAAAACTTTAACATTGCCTATAACTTTTGATTGGTTGGAGCTATGGCTTTCATATTTCACATGTGCATTCCTCGTGACAAGACCTTTCTTTGGGTACCAGCAATTTTGACCCTTTGACCTTGACCTTGGAGTTTGCATACTTTTGAACAAACTTTAACCTTGGCCATAACTTTTGAACCACTGATGCTAGGGCATTCATACTTCACATATGTAATCCTTGTGGCAATACCTTCCTTTGGATACCAGCAATTTTGACCCTTTGACCTTGACCTTGGAGTTTGACTTACTTTTGGAAAACTTTAACCTTGGTCATAACTTTTGAACCATTGGTGCTAGGGCTTTCATACTTTACATATATAATCCTTGTGACAAGACATTCTTTTGGATACCAACAATTGTAATCCATTGACCTTGGAGTTTGACCTACTTCTGAAAAACTTTAACCTTGGTCATAACTTTTGAACAATTGGTGTTTCAGCTTTCATATTTCACCTGTATATTTCTTTTGAGAAGACCTTTCCTTCGGCACCATAATTTTGACCATTTGACCTTGATGTTTGACTTACTTTTGAAAAACTTTAACCTTTTCCATATCTATTCAATGGTTGCTGCTAGGGCTTTCATATTTCACAGGTATATTCCTTGAGACAAGGCCTTACTTTGGGTACCAACATATTTGATTTGCTTTTGAGAAAGTTTAACCTTTGCTATAAGTTGCCATACGGGGGCATCAGTGTTTCACAAACACATTATGTTTTTTAAAATTTCACTTGCCCTCTCCTAAAATTCACTAGCCCCGGGCTTCGGGCAATGGGATTTGTTAGTCTCTGGGAACCATCCTCAGGTTGTGTAGATTTAAGTTTGTTCAAATTATGATCCCCTGGGGTAAGATGGGGCCACAATGGATGATCAAAGTTTTACATAGGTATATATAGGAAAAATCTGAGAAAATCTTTTAGGGGTAGGTTGGGACCACTTATGCATTTGAACTTTTCAATAATGAACTGATTTCTGCATTTTTCTTAGCAAGGCCACAACACTCAGGTGAGCGATGTGGTCCATGGGCCTCTTGTCATTGTTTACAACATTGAACATTGCATGTCTAGTCTATTTTTAAAGTGTTTTAAAGATTTAGATCATTAATAAGGTGAACCTTTTCAATTCGTCCCCAGGAGAAAACGGTCGAAACAATGGAGGTTTATTTTTCTGTGCAGTACGTCATCAAACGTGGTTTAAAAAGCTCCTTAATTCCAATTGAAATAGGATATAAATAATGAAAAATCGTCATATTAATTGAATCATTTATCAGAAATAAAAAAACCAACAATATTTTAAAAAAATAGGCACAAGTTCTTTTAAACCCACACTGTTTAGAAACTCTTCCATAATGAGCTGACATTTCTCAGCTATCATGCCACAACTTTAGCAAAGCTTATGTGAAGATTTATAATAGAATCATTCATTACTACGAGTGTGGGATAGTGAAATTCCATCAAGGGGACAAGATTCATGGTCTAGGACGAGGCTATTATTCTCGCATAATCACTGGTGTTAGTGTGAGACAGCAGTGTGAGATTTTTCTTTCTTACACTGTGTAATACTATGCAGCGAACAGTAAATTATATATTCCTTCTTATATAATACTTGTAACAATGTCAAAAAAAGAATCACATGTTCTTAAAATGTTGTTGTTTAATAATTGCCGTATTCTCACTTTCTAAATGGCACTATTTGTAGGTCACGGAAGGATTAAATTCTTCTAAAATGTTACGCTATTGTTTATTTTTAAATCCATTATATATAATTCAGAATGATTTAAGTGCACTGAAATTTATTTTCTGATTTTACACATAATGTGTAAACCATTTTCAGGGACGATTTCTTTGATGGTGTATTCAGATTTTTAATTGGATGCTAAATTAAAAATATAGATTTTTCAATGGTGATGACATGCCATTATTTTAGATAAAATAATGCGAGAAAAATAATCATTACATACTCATGTGGGATAGTGAAATTCCACCTAGGGGCCATGATTCTCTGTCTTGCAGGTTGGTGGAAGAAAACTAAAAACTAGATAGAGAAAAATCGGACTCTATTTCATAAAAATGTGCATTTTATTAGGCTTCATTGTTGTTCAGTTTGGAAGCTTGAAACTGGAACCCCCACCCACCCAACCACATGAAATTGTCTATCCCCAACCTCCAGAATAGAACCACTTGAACCCCCCCCCCTTCCCGAAAAAAAAAAAAAAAATTGGGATTCCACCCCTCCCAGATAATTTTTACTGGAATAGCCCTAATTAATTCAGTTAAAATTTCAAACATTTCAATAAATGTAAACAAAATAGGCCTCAGCAAGAAATTGAAAATGAAGTCCACTGTCCAATGTCACAGAGCGTGATTCCATTTGTAAGATGATGTAGCCTATGAATTAAGAGATGTACACTGTAAATCATTAATGTCTGTCTTCTGTAGTGACACTGTAGGCAATCATTGTACCTTGGAGGCTTCTAGCTATTTCCTTGACATTTTCAATTTGCTTACAGATATTTCCAACAAGGCACTCTGTTGCATCACTATGGAGATGTCCTTGCTATTCTGATGAGGTTGAGACAGATGTGCTGTCATCCTCTTCTGGTGGCCAAGGCAGCAGCTGCCATGAAGGAAATCATAAGTAAGATAGGAGGAGGGGAGGAAATAAGTAAAGGAGAGGAGGAAATCATAAGTAAGATAGGAGGAGGGGAGGGATTCATTAGTAAGATAGGAGGAGGGGAGGGATTCATATGTAAGATAGGAGGAGGGGAGGGATTCATATGTAAGATAGGAGGAGGGTAGGGATTCATAAGTAAGATGGGAGGAGGGGAGGAAATTGCGATTGAAATCATAAGTTAGATACGAGATGGGGAGAAAATCATAAGTAAGACATGAGGTGGGGAGGAAATCAAAAGTAAGATAGGAGGAGGGGAGGAAATAAGTAAAGGAGAGGAGGAAATCATAAGTAAGATAGGAGGAGGGGAGGGATTCATTAGTAAGATAGGAGGAGGGGAGGGATTTATATGTAAGATAGGAGGAGGGGAGGGATTCATATGTAAGATAGGAGGAGGGGAGGGATTCATATGTAAGATAGGAGGAGGGGAGGGATTCATAAGTAAGATGGGAGGAGGGGAGGAAATTGCAATTGAAATCATAAGTTAGATACGAGATGGGGAGAAAATCATAAGTAAGACATGAGGTGGGGAGGAAATCAAAAGTAAGATAGGAGGAAGGGAGAAAATTATGATGGAAATCATAAATAAGATAGGAGGAGGGGAGGGAATCATAAGATAGGAGGAGGGGAGGAAATTATGAAGGAAATCATAAATTAGATAGGAGGAGGGGAGGAAATAATAAATTAGATAGGAGGAGGGGAGGAAATCATAAATAAAATATGAGGAGGGGAGAAAATTATGAAAGAAATCGTAAGTTAAACAGGAGGAGGCGAGGAAATTATGAAGGAAATCATAAGAAAATAAGAGGTGGTTAGAAAAATATTATTCGAAGTAAAAAAGGAACATATATTTGTAGAAATTATAAGTAATGTTAAAAACAGTGTAGAATTTCATACACCTGTCAATCTGTCAGAAAGCTGTCAGAAATATTTAATGTGTTTAAGATGAAGCTGAGGCCAGTGGTGGGATGAATGATGCCTTGAGACAGAAGTTGGTGGACACTTTAATGATGGTGCTGAACTCGGGATCTGACGAGGAGTGTGCCATCTGTCTGGACTCGCTCAAGCGTCCAATTATCACACGCTGTGCTCACGTCTTCTGTAGGGGATGTATCGAGGCTGTCATAAAAAATGAAATGGTATGGAAACCATTATACAATAGTCATGTGTCATACAATCATCAGTTATAAAGAATTTGAAAAGAAATTCAGAATTTTTAAGAAAAACTAAAATATACTGACTGTGAAGTGAAACTTTTGCTATAAGGATAGATGAAACAAGCAAAAAAAAAAAAAAATGAATGCCTGGATTGGTATATCTTTTTGGACTTATCTTGGTGGTAGATGATTCAAATATTGAATTTCTAAAATATTAAGAAATTGTAAATTTTCTATGATGAAAATTTTACCTTTCTGTGATCACCCTATTAAGACTATACAATTTTTTTTATCACTTTGTATAGGACATTTTTGTGAAATTTTAAAGGAAGAATTAAAATCTGTGCAGTTAAACTTATTCATTTTATTTATGTAAACATGACTAAAGTTGTTATTTTCATGACTTTTGAACAAAGTTTGTTTGTATCATCTGTTCTTAACAAGTGCAGTTGAACTTCGGTATCTTGAACCCTGATATCTCAGATAACATGGATCCATGGATATGTTGGCATGTTTTTGAAGTCTCAAGCACTTATTTCTCAAGTATTTTACCTTGTTTTGAGGATATCTTGAATCCTTAAATATCCCGAAGTATTTTATTAGTCCCATAGAGTTTGAGATAACAAGGTTTGATTGTAAATATATATACGTTACTCAGTAAAAAATTTTATTTATGATTAATTTTTGATAAATTAAAAGTTCATTCTCTCATGGACTACAATCAAAAGCTGGAATAAGACTTTTTCTTCAATATCATTCAATTTTGATGTAAATTTATTATATTTAGCCTCTACAATATTTGACGGATACTGTACATCATTTTAATTCCACGGTGTTAAAATTTCATGATTTCTCAAAATGTACTAATCGCGATGGTTTTAATTTCACTCTGCAAGAATTTAATTTAAATTTGGTATAAGCATTTAAACGATTTTAAAAACTAATGATAGCATTCACGATGGATTTAATTTCGTGAAAAAACGAATCGCAAACATAGTGAAATTAAAACCACCGTGATTATTTGCCAATCTACAGTATTTATTTTTTAACAACTTAGTGTAGATTTGATTTAGTGCATTTCTGAAATATACATTGTACCTTATTTTACAAGACATTTAGCAATGTATTTGATTTAGTGGAAGCTGCTTTCCATCAAAAGTGTGTCTAGAATACACAGCTAAATGTAATGCATTAACAGTAATCACCCAAACAACCCTTTTGTACAATAAAGATGTCACAATGACTATAGTTACCTTAAAAACAAAATTTCAAAACATACCTTTCTAATTTGAAAAAAAATCATTCCATGGATTTTCAATTTATAGATTTATGAATGAAAAAGTTACAAATTTTAAATAGAATTAATATTTATCATATTTTGAAAAATTCATTTATAGAGTATGAACTTGGATTCTCACACAGGAATATTGAAGTGTATTTATTAGATTAAAAATTCACCTTAACAGCTGCATGCCAGGTGTCCATTGTGTCGTGGAGAGGTGTCTACAGAGACCCTGACTGAGGTCCCAGCAGAACACTTACAACAGAGTGCAGCAGAGGCCGCAACACAGGGGGAGTGGAAGTCCAGCACCAAAGTATGTCCTTTGTCAGCAATAAACCACCATCAGTAGTAAACTTCTGTCGTTACTAAAGATAACTTGACATTCTTAAAAGGTACAAAGGGAACATGATATTGTTACTTTTTGAAGGTGGATGCCTTGATGAATGGTTTAGTAAAGCTGAGAGAGGAGGATTGCAGTATTAAGAGCCTTGTTGTGTCTCAGTTCACTAGTTTGCTGACTCTCCTAGAAATTCCCTTGAAGTATGTCTGCATCAATTACGTTAATAACATACATGTATGCTTTTCAGTGAAGAGTTTTAGAATGATTCAGCAGTCTATCCCAAAAGCACCAGTCCGTTGGATAAATCCAATGAAAATCGATTTGGTCTGATGATGAAGTTACAATATTCGGTCCGAATGTCCAAATGCCTCGTAATTGAATTTTTTTTTCTTTTTACTTACTTTGATCGTTTTTAAAATATATATAAAATCAATATATATAATATATATATAAAATATACATACATGGGACTCTTGTAAGCTCCGAAGTTCAAGGGACCACTTATCTCAAGTTCAAAAATCGGCATTTTCTCCTGATGGTTATAAAGATACTGTAAATTCCTTATTTTACGCGAGTACTTAATATCGCGAAGTGGCCCAAGGGCGCCAAACCGTGAGAACAATAATTCGCGAATGTGTGATTTATCTAGAGATTTTACATACATTAAAGTACCATAAAAATAAAAGCGAGTAATTTTATTTCGCGAGTGGTGCTTCTCGCATAATTACGCGATAATTTATTCCTCACGTATATTTAGGAATCTACAGTACATAAACAGTTTTCCTTTCAGTCGAATGTTTTGAAGAAATAATTGCACCAAATTTACAGTACTACTAAACAACATATTCTTTGTTTATCTAAGTGTTTCATTTAAGATTTATTTCATCTATTATTATTAAATTGTATTAAATTTTAATACAGTCATACAAAAACGAAAGTAGAAATGGCAGTGTATATAATGTAGATAAAAAAAACAAAAACACCATTCAAAAAAGTTTCTCAGGTAATACCTCTGAATAAATAATGTATTTAATAAATACATTGCTACTTTATTTTGTTTCTTTTTTATGTGTTATTGTTTGCCTTGTTTACGAAAATAAACACAGCAAGAGATCACCAATCCATAACGCACTTGATGCAACTGACTCGATCTAAATTTTTGAAAATCTTGAAAAACACCTTATAAAAATAAATGCCCTTATTGATACATACATTAAAGTCTTGTGTCTAACCATAAGAGATATACATATCCTGGTAAAGGGGATGGTTTCAATGTCAAAAGTAGAAACTGGCCTTATTTTGGAATTAATTTCTTTTTTTTAGTTATTTATAGTAAAATTGTGTTTGACCTTTTCCCATCTTGAAAATATCAGGATAAAACAGTTTTACACCAAAATGTACTAACTCTTTGGCATTCTGATTTTAGTGCCCTTGGCTTCAGCTTTGTACGATTAGATGGGACTATGTCTATGAAGCAGAGATTGAGAGCAGTGGAGGAGTTTTCTAATCCAGCCCCAGGCTCGCCTACCATTATGCTTCTGTCCCTTAAGGCTGGCGGGGTGGGGATCAATCTGGTCGCTGCCTCTAGAGTGTTTTTAATGGATCCGGTATGCTAATTTATAACAGTCAAGATAAAATAGTGTTTTTTTATGAGTATAACTTGAATGATTTGAGATAATACTACACTGTATCAGTGTTTATCTTACAATTGTGAATCTAAGGACTGAAATGATAAAACCATAATAAACTTGAATTGGGTTGAAAGGCATTGGATTTCCAGGTCAATTTGAGTCGTTCAATGTCCTTTTGTTATCAATTTTCATGCATCATCTGTTGTATGTGGCCTTTTCACAACTTAAGTTCTTCAGTAACACACTCATATTGATGTGCAAAAAGTCACTAATAATGTAGTTTTAAGTTTATAGGGTGTAAAAGGTCTGAAGGAACACCTAGACTACTGTTTGTAAACTTGACATCACTCTAAATTACTATGATTAAAACTGTTGATTCATGGACTGAAAGTTGTGAATTTAAAAATTTATTGTGTACAAAAAAAAAAGAAAATCAATTTAAATTAATGTTTCTTAATGTTTGAAGGCCTGGAATCCTGCATCTGAAGAACAATGTTTTGACAGATGTCACAGATTAGGCCAGACCAAAGATGTAGTCATTACAAAGGTACTGTGTTAATTAAACCACTGGTCAAATTGTTGATGGCCTCCAATAACTACATTGTTTTTCTGTTTTGTTTTGTTTTTTGTAATCAAGGTTTTATTGTGACTTGATACTAAATGATTAATTTTCCTAACTCAAGTTGTGGAGGGTCATATCAAAGGCAGTTTAAGATATAAAAGCTTAACATAGATTGACATTTTTCTCAATTCATAAAACTTTAGATAATTAATTTCTTTTGAAAGAGTTAACATAACAAGATTTAAATACACAAAAATATAAAGAACTCATACCACTGACTGAGTTCTATTGTCTTATCTATTGTGTAATAGTTTGTTGTGTTTAACTGTCAGTGGAGTGACCTGTGTCTTATCCCTTGTGTTACAGTTTGTTGTGTTTAATTGTCAGTAGAGTGACCTGTGTCTAATCCCTTGTGTTACAGTTTGTTGTGTTTAATTGTCAGTAGAGTGACCTGTGTCTTATCCCTTGTGTTACAGTTTGTTGTGTTTTATTGTCAGTAAAGTGACCTATGTTTAATCCCTTGTGTTACAGTTTGTTGTGTTTTATTGTCAGTAGAGTGACCTGTGTCTAATCCCTTGTGTTACAGTTTGTTGTGTTTAATTGTCAGTAGAGTGACCTGTGTCTTATCCCTTGTGTTACAGTTTGTTGTGTTTAACTGTCAGTGGAGTGACCTGTGTCTTATCCCTTGTGTTACAGTTTGTTGTGTTTAATTGTCAGTAGAGTGACCTGTGTCTAATCCCTTGTGTTACAGTTTGTTGTGTTTAATTGTCAGTAGAGTGACCTGTGTCTTATCCCTTGTGTTACAGTTTGTTGTGTTTTATTGTCAGTAGAGTGACCTATGTTTAATCCCTTGTGTTACAGTTTGTTGTGTTTTATTGTCAGTAGAGTGACCTGTGTCTAATCCCTTGTGTTACAGTTTGTTGTGTTTTACTGTACGTGGATTGATCTGTGTCTAATCCCTTGTGTTACAGTTTGTTGTGTTTAATTGTCAGTAGAGTGACTTGCTTCTAATCCCTTATGTTACAGCTTGTTTTGTTTTACTGTACGTGGAGTGACCTATGTTTAATCCCTTGTGTTACAGTTTGTTGTGTTTTATTGTCAGTAGAGTGACCTGTGTCTTATCCCTTGTGTAACAGTTTGTTGTAGAGTGACCTGTGTCTTATCCCTTGTGTTACAGTTTGTTGTGTTTTACTGTACGTGGATTGATCTTTGTCTAATCCCTTGTGTTACAGTTTGTTGTGTTTAATTGTCAGTAGAGTGACTTGCTTCTAATCCCTTATGTTACAGCTTGTTTTGTTTTACTGTACGTGGAGTGACCTATGTTTAATCCCTTGTGTTACAGTTTGTTGTGTTTAATTGTCAGTAGAGTGACCTGTGTCTTATCCCTTGTGTTACAGTTTTTTGTGTTTAATTGTCAGTAGAGTGACCTGTGTCTAATCCCTTGTGTTACAGTTTGTTGTGTTTAATTGTGAGTAGAGTGACTTGCTTCTAATCCCTTGTGTTACAGTTTGTTGTGTTTTATTGTCAGTGGAGTGACCTGTTTCTAATCCATTATATTACAGTTTGTTGTGTTTAATTGTCAGTAGAGTGACTTGCTTCTAATCCCTTATGTTACAGCTTGTTTTGTTTTACTGTACGTGGAGTGACCTATGTTTAATCCCTTGTGTTTCAGTTTGTTGTGTTTAACTGTCAGTGGAGTGACCTATGTCTAATCCCCTGTGTTACAGTTTGTTGTGTTTAACTGTCAGTGGAGTGACCTATGTCTAGTCCCCTGTGTTACAGTTTGTTGTGTTTTATTGTCAGTAGAGTGACCTTTGTCTAATCCTTTGTGTCAGTTTGTTGTATTTGCTGTCCGTGGAGTGACTTGTGTCTAATCTGTTGTGTAACAGTTTGTTGTATTTTGCTGTCATGGAGTTACCTGTGTCTAATCCCTTGTGTAACTGTTTAATGTATTTGCTGTCGGTGGAGTGACCTGTATCTTATACCGTGTGTTACAGTTTGTTGTGGAGGATTCTGTGGAGGAGAGGATGATGGCTCTACAAAATCAGAAGAGGAAACTGATGCAGGGGGCATTCGGTCAGAATAAACAAAGCGCTGAGGAAAAACGCACCAACAGAATTCGTGACATTAAAACACTTATGGATCTGTAAAAAGTAAACATCAGATAAGGCCATGAAAATAATGATAAATCTTTTACACATATTTTGTGGATTTTTGGGATCTGTATTTCAGTTCTGGGTCTGTGCATCAGAGAAGGAAATAAACATATTGATTGTTGTTGTGACCCAAGACCCATGTGAAATGACTCTTGAAATCTGTTTTCTATTTACTTAGTTGGAATTCTTAAAATGATTTTTTTTTTTTTCTGAAAAGTCATCAAGGGAACTAACTCCACCAGTCTAAGTTTTAGAAAAACAGATGATATGTGCATTTGAAGTTCATTAGAAGAATTTATTCTGAATGTCAATTTCCCTAATTTATGTTTCCTGATATAGTTTAGCAAATGAGATCCTGATATAAATGAATGAAATAGAATACCGGTATTCTCTTGTGTTTTTTTTTTAATTATTTTTATAGAATGGTTTTGATGCATTTATAAACTATTATTTCAAGGGAAAAATCAACTTTTTTTTTCATTGAAATTCCAGAAAAATTTATTTGTTAAACTGTTATTTCTTACTAATCCCAGCATACCTGAGGTGGTGTTTTTTTTTGTTTTTTTTTTTTAGGTTTTTGTTGCACTTTGCAGCTAAGATAGGTCTGCACATTTTACTTTTTGCTTTGTATCAACTTTTATTTCATCTATTGTGCTGAAAATCTTGCCTTTATATGTATAAGTATTAGTGCTTTTATTCTTTTATTTTATTTTTGCAGCTAAATTGATCGTTCTACAGTAGTGCTTAATAAAACTTTTAATAAATCCTTGATAGAGTCCTTTGGTATCCTATGTTGGTGTAGTATTTGTAAGCCACACATGAAATCTAATGAATTCATATTGAGGCCCCTGTGTCAGGTTAGGATTGAAACAAAAGTCATTGAAATCTCAGGCTTGGAATTTATAGAAAGAATCTTGAGAAAATTTTCTTCTGATGAACAGGTTACAATATGTATGCATTCAGAATGTGGTTGTAAATGTAAAAAGGGGCCACAACAAGGGTTCTTATCTGTATAGGAATGATACAAACTTTTTTTTGAAAACCGAGCTATAATGACTGACTGATGTGCAAATCTTTGTCGATACTGTGGATCAAAATTGTTTAAACCTGGCCCTTTTGAAGTCTTAATAAGGGGATTCATTTATCAGATGTACATATTTATCTGGCAGTATCAAAACAACAGATTAGTTCTATACTTCAAGGAAATAAATTGTTTTGTACTTATCAAATAAATTCGATCTTTTCTCTTCTCTTCTATTTGTTTTGAGAACTTTTTCTTTTTCCTGTAGTATAAAAAAAAAACTTGTTTTTTTTTTTAATGTACACCAACCAGTCATGAACTTGTAGTCTAGAGCAGTTGTTTTGTTTATGTTAATTAAAAGCTTTTAAAAACTTTTCTTTGCATTTATATTTTGTGTACCCATGAATTGGAGGATAGTTGTGGTATGCAAGTAAATTGATTCTTTCAGTATTGATGTTACTTGATGAAACTGAAGATATCCAGGGGAAGCTTTGCAAATGGGGGATGGGGTAGGGTTTGTATAGTGTTTAGAGAGGGACACAAATACCAGTTTGTTTGTTTTGTTTTTTTTTTTGTTTTTTTTTTGTGCAAAAGATTTCTCCACCAAAACTAATTTTGACTTATTTGCTATGAAATATATGACACTATAATTTGAAGAGAACCAAATATAGTAAGATGAGTCTACTTAGTAAAGTGTTCATATACCAGATTTAGTACAGACTTAATATCATGAAAATCCGGGAGGTAGTTGACCACAGGAGTAGAAGTACATATCATTTTTACCAATATTTTTATGCCCCTGCCATGAAATGGCTGGGGCATATAATATTACCCCATTCTGTCATTCTATCATCGACTTTCCATTCATTATCTCAGAAACAGTTGCACACATTCAACTCAAATTTGACATATGGATTCATCTCAGGAATACGCAGGTCAAGTTTGATTTTGGTCATGGTCCAATTATATTTGAAAGAGTTATCCCTCTTGAACTTGGAAAAAAATAAATTTTTGATTTCTGCTCTCTAACTTTTGTAGGGATGTATGTGTAAGGATGAAATTGCATTTGGAGGTAGTTTACCAAAATGTTTTATAAAGGTCAAGTTCAAATTTGGTCATGGTCTAATGATTTTTGACAGAGTTATCCCTCTTGAGCTCAGAAAAAAAATAAATTTTCAGTTTCCACTCTCTAACTTTTGTAAGAATGTATCTTTTAAGTTGAAATTGTATATGCAGGTATTTTACCAGAAAATACAGGTCAACTTCGAATTTTGCTGTGGATTGGTGATTTTTGACAGAGTTATCCCTCTTGAACTTGGAAAAAAATAAGAAATTTTCAGTTTCCGCTTATAACTTTTGTTGAAATGTATGTAACTATAAGGCTGAAATTGCATTTGCAGGTATTTTACTAGAAAATACAGGTAAAGTTCAAATTTGGTCATGTCCAATGATTTTTTGAGAGAGTTATCCCACTTGAACTTAGGAAAAAATAAGAAATTTTTATTTTCTGATTTCTAACTTTTGTAGGGATGAAATTTATATATAAGGTTGAAATAGCATATGCAGGTATTTTACCAGAAGATGCAGGTCAAGTTCGATTTTGGTCCTTGTCCGATGATTTTCTTGAACTTGGAAAAGATTTAAAAATTCACAATTTCTAATCATTACCTCAGCTACAAATGTGCAGTTTACAATTTCTATTTATTATCTAAGTTATAAATGCACATTTTGTGCATGTCATTTGAAATTTAGGCTGCTGGCGGGGGCATTCATGGCGTTAAGACACATCTAGTTAGGTAAATTTTTAAATTCACTTGAGTTGAAAGCTCGGATTCTTATTTGTTCAGATTGAACCCTTAGGAGTAAGGGGGGACCACAATAGTGGATCAGAGTTTTACAATAATATATATATATATATATATATATATATATATATATATATATATATATATATATATATATATATATATATATATATCTCAAAAATCATTGGACCAGAAAACATGAAATTTATGGGAAAGTTTCCTGAGAAAGTGTAAATTCTGTTCAATTCCCAGCTCCCAGGGGTAAGGTGGGGCTACAATAAGGAATCAAACTTCTTTTTAATATTAGGAAAATTATTTTTCTAGAGAACTACTGGACCAGGAGAAACTTGTGCGAAAGCTTCCAGACATAAAATAGATTCTAAATTCTTCAAATCATGAACCCTTTGGGTAGGGTGGGGCCACAAAGAGGGATCAAAGTTTATATTGAGATAATAGGAAGAATCTTAAAAAACCTTCACAAGAATCACTGGACTAAAAAGATGAAACTCGTGTGAAAGCTTCCATACACAGAAAGATTCTAAATTGTTCAAATCATGGATCAAATATGTTTGGAGATATTACCAGGAGTAGGCACCTGATAGGTGTCAATTTAAAAGTAGGTCACAGTGACCTACTTTATGAATCTTATGTTTTGGAATCTTGATATATCTTTGACACTATGAGGCCTAGGATCATCAAACCTTGTCATTCAATGGATCTTAGGACCTCAAGATTTGTTGACCCAAAAGAAGATGATAGTAACCAACTTTTAGAATTTATCATTAGTCATGACCAAATCTGTTTATCTTCAACACCATGAAGCCTAGGAACATAATCTTGTCAGTTGATGCATCTTAAGACCTTAGGATTTGTTTAATGAAAAGTAGGTCCCAATAACCTACTTTTTTAAAAAAAACTTTTCATTCATTGTCATACCTTTGATACTTAAAGACCTGGGATCATCAAACTCCATCAGTTGATGCATCTTAAGACCTCAGGATGTGTTGACCCAAACTTTGGTCACTGTGACCATCTTTTTTTGCATTTTATCATTATTCATTGTCAAATCATTATATGTTTGATAGAGGACTAGGATCATCAGACCTTGTCAGTTGATGCATCTTTAGGTCCTCAGTGTGTCACAGTGACCCTGTTTCTGAATTTTAAAGGTGTTCATTTTTAAAAACATTTTAGCTAAATATTTGGAGGATTAGAATTATCAAATCTTGTCAGTTGGTGCATGTTGGTGTCTTAGAGCCCCAAGATTTGTCAAATCAGAAGTAGGACACAGTGACACTGAACTTTGTCAAATCAGAAGTAGGTTGCAGTGACACTGAACTTGTGCAATTTATCATGAGCTATTTTAAGCCCTTTTGGGTCTCTTGTTAGAACTTTTTAGCTCATGTGAGCTTTTTTTTTAAATCAAAAATTGTTTTCTGTTTACTTTCCACATACATGTATTTGACTTCTTCTCAACCAAAGGACAATTTCAAACAAACTTGCCATAAAACATACTTGGGTGATGGGTGTTCATTTTTTTTCTTTTCAAGGACCACACCCTCTTTTTAGTCCCCTACCGGTGACTTTTGACGGAATTACGACCTTTTCAATTTTTCAGGGTTCTCCGCAATTTTCTTCTAAACGCTTGCAGATATTGGGCAGATTTTTGGTATGTGACTTTTCCTTGATGAGTTATGGATCAAGTTTGCATTTTGTTCCACTTCATTGATTTTTCATGGAATTATGGCATTTTCAATTTTTTTATGGGAACCAGATTACACTTGCCGGTAAGGGACTAGTATTGCTAATGCAGTACTCTCAGAATGCTTGTTAGGTAAGGAATAACTGGAAAAAAAATGTGTTACTAAAAGAAACTTATGTGTTACTTAAGAAAACCACAGTGCTACAAAAAAGCAACTTGCATGAAACTATGTATAATTGTTATTAGTCCCCTACCGGTGAAACAGGATTCCTCTGAGTCTGTCCGTCCGTCCGTCCGTCTGTCTAGCTGTCAGTCTGTCCCACTTGGTTTTCCGTACTTTTTTCCTAAATGCTTGCAGATATTGAGCTGATTTTTGGTACGTGACTTTACCTTGATTAGTTATAAAGATCAAGTTTGCATTTTGTCCCGCTTCGTTGATTCATTTTTGACGGAATTATGTCATTTTCAATTCTCAACGGGAACCAGATTACACTTGCCGGTAGGGGACTAGTATTGCTAATGCAATACTCTCAGAATGCTTGTTGAATGTACATTCAAATCTTACAAGTCATAATCTGCCAGGCTAGGATGGGAATACATTGGAACTTTTAAAAAAAAAAAATAATCTCAATGAGTTAATCAGTTCGGCCATGCTGAATTTTTTTTGATTTTAGAGTGCAAGTATCAAGGGTTGGGCCAGAGGATCAACATCTGAATGCATTTAACAATCTATAACTAGTACATTAACATAAACTGATGTGTAAGCATCCTTCTGTAAGCTCAAACTTATTCTTTAAGCAAAACATGGCCCTTTACAGCTAGGATGAAGCCTCAACAAGTGGTCAAAGTCTTACAAAGAAAACAAGCATTCTGAGAGTATTGGATTAGCAATACTAGTCCCTTACCGGCAAGTGTAATCTGAGTCCCGTAAAAAAATTGAAAATGCCATAATTCCGTCAAAAAGCAATGAAATGGAATGAAATGCAAACTTGATCTATAACTAATCAAAGAAGAGTCACATACCAAAAATCAGCTCAGTATCTGCAAGCGTTCAGAAAAAAATTGTGGAAAACCCTGAAAAATTTAAAAGGTCGTAATTCCGTCAAAAATCATTGAAGCGGAACGAAATGGAAACTTGATCTGTAACTCATCAAGATACACTCACTTACTAAAAATCAGCTCAATATCTGCAAGTGTTCAGAAAAAAAGTGCGGAAAACAAGTGGGACAGACTGACAGACGGACAGACTCAGAGGAAACCTATAGTCCCCTCCGGGACTAATAATAATAAAACAAGCATTCTGAGAGTATTGCATTAGCAATACTGTCCCCTACCGGCAAGTTGCATTAGCAATACTGTCCCCTACCGGCAAGTGTAATCTGATTCCCATTAAAAATTGAAAATGCCATAATTCCGTCAAAAATCAATGAAGCGGAACGAAATGCAAACTTGATCTGTAACTCATCAAGATACACTTACATACCAAAAATCAGCTCAATATCTGCAAGCGTTTAGAAAAAAAGGTGCGGAAAACCAAGTGGGACAGACTGACATACAGCTAGACAGACGGACGGACAGACTCAGAGGAAACCTATAGTCCCCTCCGGTTTCACGGGTAGGGGACTAAAAAAAATTAAGCTTGTCAAGAACAGACTGCTCATGGTTAATCTTAATTTGCAAGCATGACACTAGGTTGTGTAAATTAAAGAGGAAGAGTCGTTATGGGTCATAATCGGCCCTGTTATTAGTCCCCTACCGGTGAAACCGGAGGGGACTATAGGTTTCCTCTGAGTCTGTCCCTCTGTCTGTCTGTCAGTCTGTCCCATTTTCAATTTTTAACGGGAACCAGATTACACTTGCCGGTAGGGG